CCCACATTTTAACTGCCAATTTTTCCTCTTTCTCTACTAATACACGAGTTAATGACCACAAGATGTAGTTGTCCATGGATTTTAGATGTGAAAGCCAGTTAAGCGAAAGCTTCCTCTATTCTGTCAACAACCGTTTGAACCATTTGAACAATGCCCAAATGTTGGTAACGCCAAAAGCAGGTTCCCTTGCAACTGCATAAATGAGTCAGTTTATACTCCAATTATACTCAAAAGAAAGAGCACTAGGTTGGCCAAACCAGTCAGCGTTAAAGATAAAAGAAACAACTCTACATGTCCAACATGTGATAAGAGCGCAACGCTTTATGTTGCAGCAGAGGTAAAGCCTAATCGAAGCGCCATGGCTTTTGTGAGAATGAATTTCGGTCATTAAGTGTGACATTGTCATCCTTTCTTGAAATCGAAAGCTTGAATACCTCTGTAGAGGAACTAAGGGCAGAAATACGCGAACTGAACGATTACAAAAACAAGAATGTGCCACACGAAAAAATGATGATGGCATCCGGTGTGTCTTCAAAGCTACAACATACTAAACCATTAGGTATCTCTTCTAAAATACCCAAGCCTGAGATGTCTCCTTTCTCCAATCATGCCAAGTCACATGTACAGAGACTATACTTGCAATGAGTCAGAATCTGTGCATATAAACACCATTTGCTCACTGAATATCGTAAATAAAAACATCATCCTGCTCTCCCTAAATAGAGGTGATGCTAATACAAGTCACTATGCGGCCGTTCTACCACTAGGATGTCCCAGCAACTCAATAACTATAAGTGAGCTGGGTGTAGAAACGTTTCGCAATGCAATGACGTCAGAGCCTGCTTAATCAAGCAATACTGAAATACATTTTCGTCTGTTTAGTGAATCAGAAAGCTTTACATATTATTCCTCCTCTTGATTGTGCAGCGTCATACACTTCCCCAAAGTCAATAGCCTAGGGTTTGACGACTTCGACATTGATGCTGACCTTGATAGTTTAACTGGACTCGCTAAGCTGAAGGCACCCGGTCAAGCATCCTCGCCATTTGGCACGCTGTCGTGTCACGTTGCATTGCTCGTATTCGACTCTCTAGCCAGTTAGTTGGAACGCATCGGTATTTTGGCATAACCATCCAAATATACTATTCCATCCGACTACGCTATCGTGTTCTTCCTTGGTCTCGTATTCGTGGGCATATAACAAGTCCGAATAATTAGTGATTGGTCTTTGCGTCTGTCAAGTTTGCACCAGAACAAATCCTAAAATTGCAAATCGTTCTCATAAACACAAGGCCAGTTCCTAGCAAACTGGCAGTATTAAGAGGAGTTACGCTCATATTTAAACGGCCTGTTATAATTTTCACTGAGTCTTGGTGTCACGCAAATATACCAGATGAAGAGATAAGCATTGATATGTACACAGAATTCCGATGCAACCAGAGAAGTAAGAAAGGAGGAGGTTGCCTGATGCACTTCCTGAACACCCCAACCGTGTTCAGGTTGGAAAATATGTTTCTTGATAAGACAAGTGGGTATATATGGGCCACAGTACACTACAGAAATGTTACAATACTGGTTGAATGTGTTCACGGAGGACCTGATGCTTACAATAATCTAATAGATATGTGTGAAATATTCAGTAACCCGTCTGCAGTTGGTTTTCTGGAACCTATAAATCTTTCTCGAAACACTAATACGGTCTGCACCATCAAAAATCATTCTTCTCCTCCACCGACGTCAATAAATAAATATCTTGTTCTCAAGTTATGAATTTAACACAGGAGAAGCCATTTTACAGGCATCATCAAATTGATAATTGCAGAGGACCCTAAAGGTTTTGAGCAATGTTGAATGGTACAGAAGGAGGACATTAAACTGTGTCATGATATCAAGTGTCTAAAGGTTTTGAAAAGGGTAGGAAAATATCAGTACAAAATATGCAGTACACACATCTTTCTGAATTCAGATCTTTCCTACTCACAATTAATTTTTTTGCACCAAAGTGGCATCCAATCGGCGCAATATTCGGTGTCTGTGTTATGAGTAGTCGACATGTCTGACCCATCTGCGTCAGACAAACACCAGTTTTAACACCAATTCTTATGTTCGTAGCTTTATCGACCAATAATAACTTACAGCAATGATTTCAGGAATAAGTAAGTATCCAAACAATCACTTATTTCCAGGTGAATATCCAGGTTCAAGCATTCCTCACTCTTCAAGTGTTGTTTTTCCCAGGATTATTTCAGGTCGATAACACTGAAAATGTTTGTTGTGGTGCAGGTAATTGAAGACTGGGAGACCGTCGTTCAACAACGGTGAATTTTACAGGTAAGTAAAACTTCGTAGATTTAACATTAAAGTATGCATCTTTTTCAAGGAGATACATTGGGTGTTAATTGGCTTCTATTGGATGGACTGATACAAGACGAAGTACTAGAGAAATCTGTCGCATAGCATCATTATGAATGTGTTGCCGTTAGTAAAGTGATCCCTCTGGTTTGATTGTTTACCCAGATTTTTGCTGCATTTGTGGCGGACGAGAAATAGGATACCAGTAATTGCACTTGAGGTTTCGCATGTGGTACTGGTAAGGACATGAGTTGATTGTGAAGCTGTTCAGGAAACAGGAAATCGGGAAGGCCAGCTGAATAATTCTTATACCAGTTTCCAATATTATGTACTAATGGGACTTTCAGTGAGTTGATACTGTTTCATCAAATTAATGCTTCAGATTTTCTCGTCAGGTTGATGCCGAAAAGAGAAGAGGAAAGGATGCTCAAGGAGAAACTGGACAATGGAATACCAAGCAAAACAAACTGGGAGGAGAAAAATTCTTGTCTTTTTGGAGCCATTCGAACTATATGTAAACTTTACTTTTTGCACATGAGAATAACTCTTGTGTTCTTCTCACATGAAGTTCACGCGAGTTTTCAGATAGGCGGTTTTGTCAGTAGACTTGAAGGAAATACTGTCTGTGTATGTTCTGCAAACTCCAACCAGATGGGCTAGTAATCAGACACCGTTTGTGAGTCCATTGAGATTTCAGGTACTTGAGGTTTATGACAGACCTAATTTTTGCTTTCGAAGGTCCCAGTATGTTTTAATTAGCCCAGAACACATAGGTAGTGCCTAGGTGAGTGGTAGACTCATCGTCTGTTAGGAGCTTATTAAGTGGGAAACGGAAGACGGATAGTGAACCTGCAGTACGTATTTCCTCAGGAAGTCTATTCCGGATGTGAGGAAACCTGCTGAGGAAGATATTTCCTCGCGAAACTCATTTTCAGCCAATAAATTGTGATTACATAAATAGTGAGTAGACGTTACAACTACTTTAATTTCCGGACCACATGTGTGCATTTACTTACGAAGTAACTCATAGTTAAATATATGATTCATTCTAAGTCGCCTCTTCCAGGGAGATTCCGGTCCTAGCATGCTGCACCTGGAGATGTACTATGGGCTTCAGTCAGTTCCTAGTGTTCCCAATGTAAAGTGGCGTCGCAACCCTTCAATTTTTCCTTTGTTGCTTATACGAGGGCCACTCAGGATAAACAGGGAGTATTCTAAAATTGGACGGATGCTCACTCTGAAGAGTAGGACGATTGATTCAGCACTATAAAAGTTACGGGCGATGCATCCAAGGCGTCTAATTGGCCTATATGTGATACAAGCAGTTTGTTCGGAGAATGCTAAATCACTGGAATGTCTGAGACCAAGATCCAGCACTGGAGAACGTCCAGGTAGCTCTTGTCCACAAACTTCGAGAGACACTTCTGGGCTATCGCTGCCTATGCAAAGCCAACCACACTTATCAGTGTTGAACTTGAGATGAGACTCATCACACCATTTGGCAACTTCACTCACTTTGAACAGCAGATAGCGTACTGCTTAGTTCATGGATGTAACACGAGCATACAACCTTAAGGTCATCAGCGTATGGGAATGTTTCCCCTGAGGTGAAACACTTGCACACACTATTGGTATAAGTCATGAACAACAAGGGTCCAAGGACACCACCCTGTATTACTCCACTGGTTAATGCAGTAGATACGGTTGAATTTACATACTGCAGTGGTAACGAAGTAAACAAGATGCCAAAATGCCACAGAAACGCTGGCATGGACACAGTATCATCACTTCCTTTACATATGGTGTCCCTGATATTCCATTATTATTGCCCCAAATATTTACCATGTTTCTAGAATCTTTCACACGCCCTGATATAAATCCGGTTCAACGACGCCAGCCAGTAACTGCAGACCAGAATATTATGCGCCTGCAGTTTCTAGAATTATCGAGAAAATGTCAAGGGGAGCGTTCTTCAGCACATACTTAGTAGCAACATCATCGCATCGAACCAGCATGCGTTCCTAAAATAGACGACCTGTGTAACTTGCCATCTTGACTTCTTTCACGTCATGAATTGTTAACGTGACCGACACCAACTAGTACCTACATTTTATTTTGACATTTCAGAGACATTTGACAGAGATGATCACTAACTGTTAATATGTATGTTAGTCTTTGAGATCCTACAATCCATTATTGGTATTGATCAAGTCTTTCCTCAGTAATCGCATCCAAGTAATGAAGGTAGACTCACACGCTTTAAAACCTAGGCCGATTACCTCTGGCGTAGCTCATAGCAGTGTATTAGGTCCCCTTCTCTTTACTTTGTACGCCGATGACATTTGCAGCTGTCCGACACAGTCTAAATATAGACGGTTGTGTGCTAACATTAAATAATAGTAATAAATTTGGACCTCACAGACAATTGAGTGCAGGTCACAGTCTAATTCACAAACCTGATTTACATTTATTTCTGTTCTGCAACTTTTGTGGAGATTGTGGATATACGCTTAAGCATTTTTACAGTTCTAATTCAGTATTTCTCTGTGTATGAGAATGTGAACTTTGAATGTCAGTCACACATCTCATAGGATATATATAACAGGTGAGGAAGCTACATAAAATCGTCACTACTTTTGTTGCTGGGCATGTATTACGAGGTGAGTGGCTTCAATTTCAAGTTGAATTTTAAGAGTTCTAAAACAGCTGACTACTAGTCTCACTGAATTGTTGTTTGGTGGTCAATCAGTTAGTCAGCATCAGGATGAGACCTGACACTAATGCATGACCCTTCGAGTTGACCCACATAAAATCGGGACATGAGCATACATGGCAGAAAGACACGGCATACAGAAATAGAGAGGGTAGGAAATGTAGTGAAAATTTGTGTGGGTTCTTCGGAAGGGAGAAGGAAGATGGAAAACGAAGGTGAAATTCGCTATGAGGATTGTGGGTGAAGATAATTTGTGATATCAGTTCTCAACCCTGAAGTGTCCAATCGGTGACGTAGGCTATGGCATTGACCCCAACCCAAACGTCTACATTTGTTCGCGTGTCTCAAAGTAACACTCAGAGGCTTCGTTAGATGATAACCCATTTTTGTTCGGTCTCCCCTGTGACCTCTTTTCAGCCTGAACCTACTTCAGCTGAGATTGGGTGACGTTGATACACAGCATTAAGCGCGCCTAATGTATGTCTCAGTCATCTTAGTCAACAAATGCTCACAACTTCATCAGTCACTTTTCCTCTCTTGCCTCAAGCTTCGCATGTAACTTCCACGTTACTGACATGGTGGTTCCGCAACACAGCCTCCTGCGTGCCCCCATAGGCTGAAGCCTCTCAGACAGGATATCGAGAGTGGCGCTTCTGATGTTTTGGGAGAGTTGAGCAACATAATGTGAATGGGCTTTGTTCAAGAGGGATCCCAACTATTCAGTGTCATCAGTTGGTCTGCGTTGCTCAAACTTCCAAGGAGAAATCTATGTTGACAGTCAATTGGAACTTAATTCTTAAGTGAATGATCGTGAAGTGAATCACATAATATTCTTTCCATCACCTTTCCAATCGAAAAGACCAGAGTGATCGGTCCATGGTGAAGGGAAAGTAATTTGTTTCCACATTATATGCAAGAACGGCGGCCACCCGTTTGCATTTAGGAGGGCGTCTACCTCATAGGAGTGAAAGTCTAAAAAGATTTACTAATAGGACTCTTAGAACACGATGATGATAATAATGACAATTTATTCTTGGGAATATAGGCACATGCCACTTCACAGGCGTGATTTTATGCTTAAACTGGTTTCATACTTTCACTGGTGGAGTTTTACCACCCGAAGATATTCGGCGGGTTTATGTGGGCAGAATTAATGTACGGAACAGAATAGGGAAATGGATATCCATAGTATGTTGCTTGTATTAGTAGTAATGGTCCGGTTAGACTCTGTAATAGATGAGAAATCATTAAGTCGTACTTCTACAATAGTGAGCAAATATGAGTGGAACATGACAAGGGTAAATTGGCAATTTAACGCGCAATATTCATCGCCGGCGTTACAGAAGAGCAAGTGGCTACAGCTAGCACCTGGGACTTAGTATAGCACACCTTTTAAGTACCCTCTAGTGAATGCCGTTAATCCTGGGGACTTACTAGGACTCAGGCTCCCTAGGGTTTCCTTGATTTTAAGAGGCTGGGATTCTACATAACTCGACTTGCACTACGAGTGTCCGTCTAGTCCCTGGTGTCCCTTCCACTCAACGGAAATTGGTTTGGAATTCCTGAGCTGGCGAGTTTTGCACCTCAGAGGTGGTGTGGCAAAATAATTAACCAGTGGGTTCTTGTACTTAGCGGAACATCACCCTTCTCTTTCATCGGCAAGCACAGTGTCTCTTGATTACCATTTAGTTTCCCATGATAATGTGCCCACTAATCTACTCCGACACTTCCGATTTCGGTTGCACATCTCTCACCGATGTCACTGTAAATTTTATGGTCCCTCGTGCTATTAGAAAGACTGCACTGGTTCCAAGATACCCTTTTTTACCGTATGAGCTCACGAGTGCCTGACTTAAGCCGGCTGAGTATATATTTCGATCTCTCATGAATAGCTCATTGGGGCTTGATACTCGTTGATCGCTCTCACTTCTGTAGCGGCCAAGGAAAGTTCTTCTGTCCCTCTACCCTCAGCTTTTGAAGCTGATATGTTTCTTCGCGTTGGCATTTCCAGCGTGTAAGCTGAAATGGCCAGTCATGAAGCTGTAGGTTCCCGCGAACCTGGGGATCTTCCGTGGCTCCCATCTGTTAGGATTCCTTAACAGAAACACCATGTTCGTGGGAGAAGGTACATCGAATGCTCCCTGGAGATACAAGTAGGCGGCATGAGAACAGTTGTTAGAGAAGAGTTGAAAGACAAGGTGGGTGTATCGGAACAAAAGGGCTATCGGTGGCAAATAAGAAAGTTGCGGTAGGCTGGTGAGATCAGCGGTACCCTGATTGTGACTTCGACAGGCCATACAAAGTGACATAACTGTCTGACCTTCCTTCGAATTTGTTTACTGAGCAGGCCGCAACTACATCCCAAAGTAAAGCATTACATGAGGTCCATACATTTGATGAAAGGGATTCTGACTTGATCTTCCTGTTGTCACTCTGATGAACTACACTGTTGGGATAGTCTCATAGTCACCCCCACATTGTAGGTAATAATGGGTTGCCCTGATTTATGCAATTTCAGCTTCCGTACGTTGTCGTCTTGCGGTGAACAAAGAATACAAAGTGCTAATGTTTCTGTCTGGAATTCCATAGACGCTAACTACCAGCCTTTTCACCACCATCTACAGACTTTATACGCATCCTCCTACGAAGGAAAACCCCTTAATTAAACCTCTTTATTTGAAGAAAGCGTTCAGAGGAGAGATGTGAAGGAAGTGACCCAGCTAGAGCACAGACCTTGTCTGGACACCATAGTTGCTCTGAAGCTGTACTTGGATCAACAAAGGAGAATCGGAGGGGATTTGGTCATGGTGTTTGACACCGCCTATTGTCCTATTCATCCCAAACGATAGCTCTTAAACCTCAACCAATAACACCACCTTACAAGCCATTTCTTCGGATAAGAGCAGTAGAGAACACATGATGATCCACGTTAACTCATTTGCAGCTGGAGTAGGTGGAGAGTGTAACTTCCTCCCTGAACATGTGGTCACAGCCCCTTTCTCTCGATTATTTTGAAAGGAGGTTTGATGCACACCTGGAGTACTTTGATATTGGTAGGCCTTACTCAATGAATGGGAAACTTTCGACTGAATATGTTACTCCATGCACTCAATGGGTTGTCTGATGGTAAGCCATCACGACTTGGTCACGTTTCGACAGATCGGTATTTGGGACAACTACCTCAGACGTCATCGTCCTCTGAGAGTGAATGATCATGCACTAGTTTCCCCTAATATTTCCATGTCTAAGTAACCCACTCCTGATAAGCCATTAGTCAAGAATTGTGGCAGGACTGGTCCTCAAAACTTCCGACAAGATCTAGAAGGTTCCGCTGCCTAAACTGCAACTAACCACTGTTGAAGGATACGATCCTTCAAATGATAAGTAATAGCGCTACTTTGATCCTGCGAATAACCAACAAGTTTTACTCTTCCTGACAACCGTAGCCACTTCAGACCAAGAATACTGTCTAAAAGGGCAGATCTGGAACTCAAGGAACCAACGTTTACTAATTCTGAAGGCTTGGTACTTACTTAAAATGTGGGTGGGATCTGCTCAGAACCACTGAAATTTTCAAATTCTGACCGCCACTCTAATCTCTCTCTCTCTTCATTTGTACACCGATTAACAACTGCAAGAACTAGTGATCTATTGAGTCTGGACACAGAAGCCAGTTAAACGGCAGCTTCTATTCCGTCTATAAGCATTTGAACCATTCCAAGTTTGAACACAATTCGAACCGTGACCTTGGATGTAAGGTAGTGTAACCTTTTACAGGCATGTTAAGAGGAATACAAATATGACAAAAGATGAGAAGAAGCATGGACGTTTCTTAAGTCATAGTGATGTGGACAGATTCTTTGTCACTTGAACAAATAGTGGGAATTTCACAGGCAGCTGTATTGGTTTGTGTTTAACACCACCCGCTAAATATGGACTTTGTTCGGACACTTATGGAGTTGCCTAGACTCTTCTGAACTTCACTATGTTCAAGCATGGTTCCGCTTTCCAGCCAGGGTTTTGAATGCACTTTATAAATTCTGTGGAGAAATTCTGAGGTCATTTGGACACACCCAGGGACGCGCAATATCTCCCTCTAAAGACTCGAAGTGTTTTGTCAAAGTTATGGAGTCTACAGGTCCTAAAAGTCTCGGCAGCGCGCCTAAAGGTTAAGAGGCATTTCTGCCTCTTTACCTGATATCCAATACTGACAGTGCAAGCGTAGAAAACTGGTAGTTTTTGAATTCTCGCGCCTAGTTCTTAGGGCTTGGTTCCAGTTGTTCTATACACTGTTTTAAAATGCTCGTTCAGTCAGTACTTACCTTTTGTAGTCGAATACTTTTGTATGCTTAGAAACCGTTATAGTGCAATTTTTAATGTAAAGCTCAAGGGAACTCTCCTGTGTCAATCCGAGAGATACAGTTAATAGTCATGTAGTGTTTAGATCATTATTCATCTAGCTAGCAAAATCTACAGATCAGATCAGATAGTATCAGTGGTTGTTATACAGTTGGTATCACTTAGTGCACATAGATGCTGAGCTCCAATTATACTCATATTCGCTGATTCACCTTCAAATATCAGTTTACTTTTTTCTAATTATTGTTGTTTATGACTCTAGTGATTCATTTTGGAAGTTTTGCCATCCATCCAAACCAACATAGGACCAGGCATTACTGCGTAACGGTCTGAGTTGCCACACCTCATATCAATACATCAAGTAAAAAGGTAGTGAAGTGGAAGATGAAGACAAGAAATCTCAGTCAAAAGAAATTTAAAGTACTCAAAGAGAGAAGGGAAGAATGATAAAATGGTGAGATCCGGTATAGCGTTGTTAAGATGACGATGATGTGTGTGGACACACACCTGCGCCACTGACATCGGTTCTCAGCCATCTCGTCACCTAGAGTCAGTCTCCAACCACTTGTTCGTCTTGTCCCGTGGACCCCAACCGACTAGTCCTGCATTGCCTCACATGGCTCAAACCAACAGTCAGAGACTTCATACATTGGTGGCATGCTCTAGTATGGCCATCTCGAGCCTTTTTCCAGTCTGGACCTGGCCAACATTGTGTGACTAGGCATGCTTAACACATGTCCCAAACACTTCAGTCGTTGGTTGGGACACGTGTTTTCGCCAGTAGAGGCTATTCATGATTAGAATGTCATGAGTTACTTCGTTTAAATTTTATAAAAAATTTTACTTCTTTGTTTTTTCATACTTGTAGACTGCAATATCTATTTGGCGTAATTGTGGTCGAACAATTATATCTGAGGGTAGAAATCAACGTGATTTAAATTTATGGCGAGCTTATGCAAGAGGTTTTTGGCAAATTAGTCAAGATTTACTCGCTACTGCTACAAGTCAAGATGCTGAAATTCCAATTCAAGAGTCAAGGCGTATATTTGATTCTGCTTTAAGCATGTATCCAATACTTGAAGACTTTGAACCGTCAATGGACAATATGCCTAAACTGATAGAATTTTATCAGACTATATATACTCCTAGATTGAAATTGATACAGGTATGTGTTTGAATTGTGCTTGGACAAGCAATGTGAGTATGACCAAACGGTAGTAATACGTTGCAAATTCATGTGATAGTCGGTAAAAACTCTTGGTGATTGAAGTGAAATAAAAATCTGATCAATAGTTGGACTTTGTAACTCAGTTGGTTAAGTGCTGGGCTGGAAACCTTGATGATCGCTGGTTGGAGTCAGACCGTGGTCTAGATTTTCATTTCACGTTTCAATCACCAAACCCCTCCCTCTGTCGCCCCATAACTGCCTTTCATACCGACTCTGACTTTAATTTAATCTGGAAATTAGTAAAGACTGAAGTCTCATGGGATTCATACTCAGTAGAAAGATACAGGTGTAAAAATACACGAAAGTATTCAGGTGATATCTCGGAGGCTGAAGACCCTGGGCTTGATCCCTGCTGGAGGTCATAGGTTTTCACTGGTGAAGGGTCCCATACTAGGAGAAATCAGCTATTTAGTCCTCTCAGGTGTCAGTTTATGATGAACACGAACCTGGATTATCAAAAATGTGTTGAAAAAATTCTGTAGGATAGTCAGTTTTACAAAACTTTGAAAACTTTTATAAATAAACTACTAGAAGCTTTACTAAAGTGTTTAAAAGGTCTGTAAATTTTTTTGCGTTTGGCACTTACTACGTTACTTCTTTCGCTTATTCAGTACGGTAGGTTCTTCACGCTACCGACGAAATATTTTTATAGTCTTAAAATATCCTACAACTTCTGATTACCTTTCCACTTATTTCTTTACTTTCCTTTTGTTGTATGTTTTTATTTTTACTTACTGATTTGAAATGTGACTACTTGAAATGTTGTATAGTAGTGTACTGGTGAAGCCGAACCACCGCCTACCTTGATGTGCCATACTGGGAGAAGTTGGATTAGGTTGGAAGAGAGTTCAGAGTGACCAAACCAAGTTGTGGCACCAGGGGATGATTGTCTCTGCCTGTCAGTATGAGTCGTTTAGTGAGGTGTAAACTCATCATCCATCCATCCAAATCAACCAAGGACCAGGCATTAGTGCGTAACGGTCTGAGTTGCCACACCTCATATCAATACATCAAGTAAAAAGGTAGTGAAGTGGAAGATGAAGACAAGAAATCTCAGTCAAAAGAAATTTAAAGTACTCAAAGAGAGAAGGAAGAATGATAAAATGGTGAGATCCGGTATAGCGTTGTTAAGATGACGATGATGTGTGTGGACACACACCTGCGCCACTGACATCGGTTCTCAGCCATCTCGTCACCTAGAGTCAGTCTCCAACCACTTGTTCGTCTTGTCCCGTGGACCCCAACCGACTAGTCCTGCATTGCCTCACATGGCTCAAACCAACAGTCAGAGACTTCATACATTGGTGGCATGCTCTAGTATGGCCATCTCGAGCCTTTTTCCAGTCTGGACCTGGCCAACATTGTGTGACTAGGCATGCTTAACACATGTCCCAACACTTCAGTCGTTAGTTGGGACACGTGTTTTCGCCAGTAGAGGCTATTCATGATTAGAATGTCATGAGTTACTTCGTTTAAATTTTATAAAAAATTTTACTTCTTTGTTTTTTCATACTTGTAGACTGCAATATCTATTTGGCGTAATTGTGGTCGAACAATTATATCTGAGGGTAGAAATCAACGTGATTTAAATTTATGGCGAGCTTATGCAAGAGGTTTTTGGCAAATTAGTCAAGATTTACTCGCTACTGCTACAAGTCAAGATGCTGAAATTCCAATTCAAGAGTCAAGGCGTATATTTGATTCTGCTTTAAGCATGTATCCAATACTTGAAGACTTTGAACCGTCAATGGACAATATGCCTAAACTGATAGAATTTTATCAGACTATATATACTCCTAGATTGAAATTGATACAGGTATGTGTTTGAATTGTGCTTGGACAAGCAATGTGAGTATGACCAAACGGTAGTAATACGTTGCAAATTCATGTGATAGTCGGTAAAAACTCTTGGTGATTGAAGTGAAATAAAAATCTGATCAATAGTTGGACTTTGTAACTCAGTTGGTTAAGTGCTGGGCTGGAAACCTTGATGATCGCTGGTTGGAGTCAGACCGTGGTCTAGATTTTCATTTCACGTTTCAATCACCAAACCCCTCCCTCTGTCGCCCCATAACTGCCTTTCATACCGACTCTGACTTTAATTTAATCTGGAAATTAGTAAAGACTGAAGTCTCATGGGATTCATACTCAGTAGAAAGATACAGGTGTAAAAATACACGAAAGTATTCAGGTGATATCTCGGAGGCTGAAGACCCTGGGCTTGATCCCTGCTGGAGGTCATAGGTTTTCACTGGTGAAGGGTCCCATACTAGGAGAAATCAGCTATTTAGTCCTCTCAGGTGTCAGTTTATGATGAACACGAACCTGGATTATCAAAATGTGTTGAAAAAATTCTGTAGGATAGTCAGTTTTACAAAACTTTGAAAACTTTTATAAATAAACTACTAGAAGCTTTACTAAAGTGTTTAAAAGGTCTGTAAATTTTTTTGCGTTTGGCACTTACTACGTTACTTCTTTCACTTATTCAGTACGGTAGGTTCTTCACGCTACCGACGAAATATTTTTATAGTTTTAAAATATCCTACAACTTCTGATTACCTTTCCACTTATTTCTTTACTTTCCTTTTGTTGTATGTTTTTATTTTTACTTACTGATTTGAAATGTGACTACTTGAAATGTTGTATAGTAGTGTACTGGTGAAGCCGAACCACTGCCTACCTTGATGTGCCATACTGGGAGAAGTTGGATTAGGTTGGAAGAGAGTTCAGAGTGACCAAACCAAGTTGTGGCACCAGGGGATGATTGTCTCTGCCTGTCAGTATGAGTCGTTTAGTGAGGTGTAAACTCATCATCCATCCATCCAAATCAACCTAGGACCAGGCATTAGTGCGTAACGGTCAGAGTTGCCACACTTCATATCACTACATCAAGTAAAAAGGCAGTGAGGTGCAAGATGAAGATAAGAGAATGCAGTCAAAAGAAATATAGAGTACGAGAAGAAAGAGAAGAGGAATGAGAAAATGGTGAGATTCTGTATAGCGTTGTTAAGATGAGGATAATGTGTGTGGACATACATCTGCGCCATTGACATCGGTTCTGAGCCGACCGATAGCTGCTACCTTGACGTGGTGGTCGGGCTTGCATATGAAAATGACCCAACGAACTATGCTGGTAAAACACTTGTTCCCTAGAGGTCCTACCATGCCAGTGAGGTCTGTTGGATATTGGTTAGACGAAAAGCAGTTACCTTTGTGGTGTAAATTACTACACTACGATGGGGGTCTGAGGGCGAAGTTGTACTGCTTCTAGCTGGATGGAATATGACACCAGTAAGGTTTTTTCCTCTGATAATCAGCAGTGCAATGCTGATGCTATTGTCTCAGAGGAAGGGGGATGGGGTTAGAAAAGGTCGGCCCCCAAAAATAAGACACTTCACCATGCCTCACGGTCTCCGGGCCGGCGGTGTTGGTTCATTTGTCGTTTCTTTTCGACTATCCGGCCCCCAAAATACAAAGTTCAAAATAATCATACACAAAAGGCTGTGTGTGACAGGCCTCAAGCAGATATCCGATGGGCTCTGCGGTCATACAAACCTGTTTCAGGAGAAGTAAACTACCTGATTGGTATCTGAAAGATGATTGAAGAGTTTTGGTTACATGGCTGAAAATGGATACAGATGTATTCACTCCTTGACATCAGATTCTCTTACACAACTTTATCTACTTTGATATCACACTTTTTTCCATCCACTTGTTCTTTGTATACTACTTTGAGGTATAGTGAGCGGATAGACCTGTATTCGTGGTCCTATATGGATTTTGTCAGTCAGTCGTTTCTTCTATGTTTGTGGATTATTATGAAGTTTAAATTAGCTTAGGGATTAAAAATTATACGTGCCTGATGTAAATCAATCTATTGTTTACTTTGCATGGTAAATTTCACTGAGCTACTGTTTTTTGGATACAGATAACATAATGTAATTACAGCTTATGGTCATGATTTTTTATGAATGTCGTTGCATTATATGAATGTAATAATTTTCACTGTTTTCAACACCCATCTGTCTACGGTTTAGTTGTTCTGCTTTACTTCTGGAAGCTCCTCATCTCATAATGTATTGGATGAATGTAAAATAGTGGAGAGTTTTCGATTTTCACTGTCAAATAAATGACTTTAATATCTCCGCAGCACTTGACGCGGCTCTATGGATCACGAAAAGAAAATCATTTTTTGTTCAGTATTCCTTACGTCATTGTGTTTTTTTCTGAATTTACTTATTATTATTATTATTTGTTCCTTGGGTTTCTAGTGGAACATAGGGCTTCAGTAGCCCGTTGCCATTGCACTCTGTTCTCTACAGTCTTTTTAACCTGGCTCCACGACTGCCCAAACGGTCTTCTCAGTGTATGTCCAATCCAATCCAATCCATCTCCACTCTCTTCTTCTGCATATTTGTTGGGCAGTAGGTTCTTGGTTGGTTGGTTGCAAGCCAGGCCAGAATGCCTTGTTGCTTATTCTTATGGTTCTGGCCATCTGATGTTCAGTATTGAGTGAGCGTAGGCGGCAGCTGTTGACGATGTATGTCTGCAGTTTGATGAATATGCTTTTGGTAAGGCGCGAAGTCTGTGAACCATATAGAAAGACTGACTTGACTGACTTAGTATTGAAAATGCGGATGTTGTTCACGCTTTATGCTGAGTGGAGTGGAGTGGAGTAGATCTGCACACTGATTTCAGATTAATGGAAGAAGACTTGTGTTGCTGTCTTTCCGATCATGGCTTTGACGTTCTCATGTGTGCCTCTGCCTGTAGTTGAGAGGATGCTGTGTAGGTGATAGGTGAAAGGGACAACTTTCTTTATATTTCTCATGTTGATGGTGATTGTTGCTTATTTTGTTGTTGTTGCTTGTGTATCTTCATCACCTCTGTCTTCTTTACGTTCACCTGAAGGAAGTCCCGTCTTCCTTCTATGCTTCGCCTCTTCTGCTAACTTGTTAGTTTTCGCCTGTTTGTTTTTCCTGAAGCCAGCCAGCCAGCCTGTTCTGCTTGCAATTTTGGATCCAGATGAATAGTTGATACAGACTCATCAGCTACACTCAGGAAATACGAAGTATTGGATTCCGACCCAGTGGCTTAATGGTAACGTGCTGGCTACGGGACCTGAAGGTTGCCGGGTTCGATCCCTGGAGAGGCGGAGTCAGGAGTTGTTACTGGTGAGGAGTCCTATACTATGACTAAACAGCTGTTGAATGCCTCGATTTCCAGTGTTCCTCTAACTGATACCAGTTCATGATGAATGACAACCTGAAATCACTTAGTAAATCTCCACAAGCCTGTAGATAATATCATTAGGGTGATTATGATAGGCAGTTTTTCCGTAGAGTTAGATTATTAACTAGTCTATCATTTATTCTGCAATTGGTACATTTTGAACTAGATTACATTTTAAGCTAAGGTTTTTTCTTGAGAGTTTCAAACAAAATTTTCATGATTATCTGAAAATGATACGTACATGTATACAATTTGTGACTACTTTGATAAACTGTCGTAAGGTGTGTGTAAGACGCTAAATATCATCCATAGTGTATAAACTTTGAACCTTCGTATAAAATGAAAAGTAATAGATTATCACCTTATCATTGAATCTTTATTTCTGACTAGAAGTTAGAATGTTTCTTTTTTAAAGATTCGATCTTTCAATTGAGTTGTTTATGAAGGTGATTGTTGATTTCAGTTTGGAGGAAGTTAGACGCACTGCTATTCCATTTTAATTCATTTATTAATACTACGATACAGTGGAAGAGTATTCTTTACTTGTTATCTTTTCGGATAGAATTTGTTGTCTATATTCATATGAAGTAACTAACTTCACAACTTTGAGATAGAATTTATATGGTCCTTCTCCAGAGATATAGTTCCGATATATAGATGATACATTTACAGTACTGAAGTCAGAATACATCAATAGGTTGTTGACATATATAACTTCAGTAGTAAATCCAATCGAATTTACCTATGACTTGGAAAGTGATGAAGGTGACCTAGGAATATTGGATTGCAAGGTTAAATTAAAAAAAGATGGAAGTTTAGAGAGTATTGTCTATAGGAAACTTTTCCATTCGAATGGCTATTCAGACTTTAAATCCTCCCAATCTATTTCAGTCAAAGTAGGCTTACTTAGATGCCTAAGTGATAGGGCGAAAATGCTTACTAGTAGATAGAGAAATCTATGACAAGAAATTGGACACAACAAGAATACCTTGGGTCTCAATAATTATCCACCTAAATTTATAAATAAATTCATGAGAAATCGATGAAAAATGTGAGTAGTAGTAGTAATACTGGTGTTATCAATAATAATTCTGTTACTAATAGTAGTAATGGTGATAGGGTCGAGAGAGAATTTAAAGTCTCTGCAGCGTTACTGTACACGAAAGGGACCTCAGAAGTATTGAGGAGAATTGTCAATAAGGCTGGCAGGGATTAGAGTGTCATTGGAACCAACAAACTCACACTTAGAAACAAGCTGTTGATGCAATTAGACGATATAATATAGTTTACCAAATCTCTTCAATGGTTGCGAGGTTAAATACATAGGACAAAGTAGTTGACCATGGTCAACTGGAATAACAGAGCACAAAACCTTAGGTAAATCAAGGTTGGGATAGAGCGACAGTATTAAAAACTAACTTAGTTGGGTGGAGGGAGGGAGGGAGGGAGAGACTGATAACCGAATCTTTGTTTCTCGAACCAACAGCAAATACATGGCGTAATCGAAACGATTCTGCATCTGTTCCAGACGTATGCAGAATTCTACTACCCTCATCACAAAGAACAAAGGGGGATTAGAACTTTATAAACTCTATGTCAAAGTTGTGGAGTTACCTGATATGAATATGAACAATGAACTCTGTTCGAAAAGTGCGTTATCCAGTAAATGATACTGTCCCTTCACTGTGTGTGTGTGACCTTTCTAATGAGCAGACTAAAATGGAATTACAATCTACCACAATGCCCAAGTTGTACTTCTATATCAAGTCAATTTGTATGAAACCGAAGGACAATTAAGATAAGCAAGGAATTAGAATTAAGAAAGGTGAGAGCAAAAAGAAAGAAGAGTACCATCATAATTGATCCTAATTTTGACAAGAAAATAAAGTTGACCAAGGTAGATGTAGCGTGTAAGAACTAATTGTTTTTATACACATAAAGGTGGTTCGAATGATTGATAGTGACTAGCAGTGGAATCCTGAAGTCTCTGACTGTTGGTTTAAGCCGTGTAGAGCGATGCAGACTAAGTGGTTAGGGTCCACGGGACAAGAGGAACCAGTGGTTGGAGACTGACTCTAGATGACGAGATGGCTGAGAACCGATGTCAGTGGTGCAGATGTATGTCCACACACATTATCCTCATGTCAACAACGCTATACCGAATCTCACCATTTTCTCATTCCTCTTTTCTTTCTTCTCTTACTTTATATTTCTTTTGACTGCATTCTCTTATCTTCATCTTGCACCTGACTGTTTTTCTACTTGATGTATTGATATGAGGTGTGGCAACTCTGACCGTTGCTCAGTAATGCCTGGTCCTATGTTGATATTAGTGATACAGTGGGATCCAGGATGCGCATTTCGTCCTATTTGGGACTTGTCAGCCGGATGTACCTGCTTCCCGGTGAGTGTTGTTCCCACCGGGATTCGGACTCGGGAGCGACCGCTTCAAACGCCAGAGTGTTATCTATTACACCACCGAGCGATGATAGCCACTTCTTGTTCGATGGGTATAGTTTTTGGTGTCTATAATTATTTTGTTTTTTCCAGACCGTCGTTGATTGGACCGAATCGATCGTTCTCTATCGGTATGTGTGCGGATGCCTCGATATTACCTGTGCTCTTATGATAGTAATGATGGATAATGACTAGCAGTGGAATCGAGGATGAATTCGGTCCAATCAACGACGGTATGATATAAAAAAACAATAATATATACTAAAGGTGGTTTCTTTATCAATCTCGTTCAAGAACTATATGAAGACTCCACATGCCAAGTAATTCACAATGGGAAGCTCAGTGATGCTTTTGAAGTTAAGTGAAGACAAGAAGGAGTGAAACAAGGTTGCCTACTATCCCCATAATATTCCTGATTGTGGTCAACAGGACTGGATCATGCAGGAAACAGTGGAGAGCTGTGAGAAGAGGGGATACACTGGCTGGAGTGCGGAAAAGAACCTAGAAGATCTGGATTTCGCCAACGATGACTTGTGTGTGATGTCACACAAACTTGAAGATGTACAGGCGAAAACTAAAAAGTTGACAGAAGAGGCGAGGCAGGGCAGGGCAGCGAAGGAAGACGGGACTTCAGGTGAATATAGAGAAGACAGAGGTGGAGCCAGGTTCAACAGATTTCGAAGAACAGAGTGGAGTGGAGACGTGCTACTGAAGTCCTATGTTCCACTAGGAACTCAAGGGACAAATAATGAAATGAGGGTGGTCTCAATTTGCATATTGCCTATCGCTTCTACAAATCTCAGTATATATTCCTGTCTGTTTCTAGGTAAAACTTTGAAAGCTGTTTGAACATTAATTTTCTGACCCATGTTTATATATCTCCTACCTGTGCTTATCAAAGTTTCATACTTCATCTGTTTGTTTGTTTTAAATCCATTTAGGTACATTTTCTCCTCTACTTAGTCATTTTGTTGTCTTTATTTCAATTTTACAATAGGATTATATCGATTTAGAATTGAATGTATGCCCTGGAACAGGTAGTTATCGAAAAGGATTCAATGAAGAGAATCGTGTATTATATTTACTAACATACATGGCAATTGGTGGTACTTATACACCATACACTCAAGGATCGAATAAAATTACACCATGTGTTATATGGTGAAAACTAATTATCGTTTTGGTGAACGTATTGAAGCTGTATGGACAACTTTAGTTGGTTTACCGGAGGATATCAGTCAAATTACTGATTGTCAACTATTTTTAGATGGCCTACAAGGCTCAGTACCAATTTTTTGCTATTTGAATTTAATGTTTGATATGTTAACATCGGATGAAAAGGTGGGGGTAATCAGTGGATAGAAAATTCAACAGCTTGTTTTCATGTCTGCCAAAATGTGTTTATGTCTATCTCATTTAAAACTTGATCCCTTTGTTGATGTAAGTAGATGTAAACGAAATCATCAGCTAACTCCATCATCTAGCGTAACTGTTTTCCAGTGTTAGATGATATTGTCCTACTGGTTGAAGACACTGACAAAATGTATAGTCTCGTAAACGCGTTGAGCAGAATTCTGATTATGTTTAACATAGGTTTTGCACGTGTTGAATGTAAGATTATGCTGCAGGACTGGTCTGTAACCATCCTCAATTTACACTGATACGGAGTGAAGTGGTTGGATGCATCAGCTTGAATGAGCTGGTTGTTGATGAAATCTCAGCTGGGATACAGAAGGCTCGTTTGACATTTGTCAACTTGTATGATTACTGCCGCCGACTGTCGAGATATTTGACTATCTCTCAAAGGAGGTGTATACTGCACTGATATCAGTCCGTTCTGTCATGTTGTGCCGCTGTGAGACATGGCCATTGAAGGTAGAAGACATAAAGCGGTTACATGGTGTTGATCATAGGTTTCTTCGTGGCATTCCTTGTGTATGATGCAGTCATCATGAGAGCAATATTGAGGGGGAGGGTTCTATGAAAGAGAGGCAATTCGGTGGATGAATTTGTGAACTTTCATCGACTGAGATGGCTTAGACATCTACTGCGCATGCTGATGCACTATCCCTACCTCGAAGTGTCATACTGAGGGGAATGTGGACTAGTGTAGAGGAGGATTCAGGGTGACCAGACCAAGACGTGGCACCAGTCGATGAAGTCTGTAACGATGGACAAGTTTAATTGCTGGTGTATCTTGTGAATATGGTCAAGGTAGTTATTAAGTTTACTTGTTGAACTTTTTTTTCACTTAGTTTTTATCATCATCATTGACCTCCATACAAAAGAAGTGTAAACTAAAACATGGGGCTGCTTTTTTGTTTTTGTTTTCTGAAGACCAATCATCTTTTTCGATTGGAAAGTCAGCTGTGTTACGGCCAATCACATTCAAATGTGCACTGACCAATCAGGACCAAGAATACGAAATACAATATAATCGTTAACGAATGGAGTGGGACTTCGAGGGAAAAAGTGTTCCACCAACATAGCTTGTTTCATCATTGTGATATGCAAGCCCGACCACCACGTCAAGGTGGCAGCTGTCGGTCGGTCAACGAGGAGTTTTTCTTGTAAACAATAGCTGTATTGGGGTAGCCTATTTCAGATGACTCCCAAACATTTATGCATTACTGCCAGGATAAAGTTTGTTGGACTATCCTTTATCCATCGAAAATGTTCTTTCATTATTCATTTGTTTCAACCACAATAGCAACTATATCAAACTTCTAACACAACCTACAACGTAATCGTCGTCATAATCCATCAGAGGTTTCTTCAGCGTCAACGACACGGTAAATGGACGTAACGGATACCATGAATAAGTCATCTACAACCTGATTGGTTATCCTCGAAACTTCTCTGGTGTTATTCTCAAGCTTGAGACATTTTAAAAGTACTAGAGGTATAGTAACACATTTCACAGCCTAAACTCTACCTTCTTCTAACAATGTTATTCGAATAACTTGACCTCTATTGGAAGTAGAGTGGATCTGTGGCTTGTTGATTAAGGCAGTTGACTTCCAACCAGGTACGAACCCCACTCCACTTTGTGAAGTTTGAACAGTCCTTACAACATAATTGATGTAGCCTATTGTATAGTACATAATCAGGAAATTTGTTGCTAAGACTGTTCGAGTATGTACAAACTTGAACCCCGAAAGTGTTTTCTATCATCTTATGATATTTTTTATCTAAATCGTATTCCTCTCGACATTACCATTCAGTTTTCTAATTTTCAATCACATTCATTTAATTGAACTCTGACACTATTCAACCTTATGTTACTGGATTAAAAAAAGCTCTCTTATGTGACTTGACTACAGTGGATAACCATAAATAGGCGAAATGGATAATAAAGCAATGCATAATTGAATTGGAAATGAGTAGTGACTTTTCTGTCTTGGACCTACTACTTCACTAAACCGCGAAAACAAAGACTGACTGGTGATTGTAGGGAAGGCAACTTTATTTGACAGAAAGCACATTATTTATACACAGTTTTCCCTCGTAAAATGAAACCATTAGGTCACAAATTGGATGGTTATTTTCATTGGTCAGCTCAAGGTCAAGACTACTCAACAAGGTTTTTCCACCTACACAGTAAAATGGAATCAAGGTTGTAATTCAAATTTTCGACCTTGACGGTTGATGACTTTAAATGCTGATTTTGATTTCACCTGCTTACTATCATTCTGATGTAGAGTTATAGTCTTTCAAATGACTGCAAACATTGATGGAAACTAAAAATTCATGGAGTATGCTTTTTTTTGTTAGCAAGGAAGTATGTAATTTATACACAACTATGTACAACTTGAAAATAATACTAGTGAAAAGGCAGTTTTAACTCTGAGTAGTCTTCATCAGTTTTATCATGAGATTCCCTTAACATGACATTGTTATGCTTATGAATAATTTTCATTCTATTCTTCCTATGATATATATATATATATATATATATATATATATATATATATATTTTGTATTTCTTTTTCGAGCGTAGAAAGAACATCGATTAGTGACCAACGAGTACGTAATGCATTTGAGAAAGCTGTGCAAACTAGTCCATTTATTACGCCTATTCTATCTCCTGAAGGAGGTTTAATTCATGTGGCTTTAGCTGCTAGTACACCATCATTTTGGTCTGCACATTTACGATTAGTTATATGGAGAGCTTATATGGCATTCGGTTGGATGGCTGGTCCACCACACATATCAAATCCATCTTCTTCCGTTGCTGCTTCAGTCATTACAAATAATTTAGATCCTCGTCAACGTCGTCAAGCTGTGAAGGCTGTGTTTTATCGTGCTATTGAAGATGTTCCATGGGCCAAAGTAAGTGATACAATTTTTACTTCTCACACTTTCACGTTTGTTCTCCCAACGATAAGAAGAATAAAAGGAATCATTCAGTGACGAAGTACGCCTTTTTTGTCTGCTTTATCTTGCTTGCTCAATTTACTTATTCTTTATAAACGTAATTGGCTCGTTTCAGCTAAACGTAGTCAGACAGACAGAATCCTTTTGTCTCAAAGGCCTCAACGAGGCAGTCTACATTGTACCCAAATGGCTCAAACCAACAGTTACAGATTTCATCGGCTGGTGCCACACTTTGGTCTCGTCACTATGATTCCTCTTCAAACCTAATGGAACTTCCCTCAGCATGGGACGTCGAGGTAGACTGTGGTTTGGCATGCGCCAAGCCATCTCAGTTGACTAAGGTTCACAATCTCATGAGTCGGCTTGCCTAAACTTAAGCTGTACAAGACCATATGGAAGGTATCAACTAGAGTATTGTTCGCAGAAACTAGGTTACCTAGGCCATATTGCCTTGATTCGCAACAAGCAAATGCAATATAGGTATAGGTAACGCCAAGAGTCCGTTCTGTTCTACTGTATGGCTGTGAAACATGGCCATTGAAGGTGGAAGACATGAGAAGGCTTGCCTTCGTAATACAGGCCGTATTCCATGATGTCACCACGTGAGTAACGCAGAAGTCAGGTGTAAAGTTTTAGGGAGAAGAGGTAAGTCAGTTGATGAGGTTGTGAACCTTCATCGACTGAGATGATTGGCTGGGACATGTGTTGCGTATGCGTAGTTGCCGTCTGCCTCATCACACAATGTTGGGGGAAGTAGGTCCAGGCTGGAAAAAGGTGAGGGAGGCGGTCAGAATAAAACATTACACCAATGTATGAAGTGTTTGACTGTTGGACTGAGTTATGTGGGAATGCAGAGTAGGCGGTTAGAGTCTTTTGGATAGGAGAACCAGTGGTTCGAGATTCTAGGTGATGACACGGCTGAAAACCGATGTCAGTGGCGAGGATGTATGCCCACATACATTATCCTCATCTTAACGACGCTATACCGAATCTCACCATTTTCTCATTCCTTTTTTCTGTCTTCTTGTACTTCATATTTCTTTTGACTGAATTTTCTTCATCTTCTACTTCACTATCTTTTTACTCAGTGTACTGATACAAGCTGGTTAGTTAAACTGTGAGCAGTATTGAGGTCCAGTAAAGGGTACTAAGATGGGATCTGAGAGGACTTGAGTAATGACAGGGTTGTGAGGCCAGTGACGTATGCTGTCTTTAAACGTTTTATATCTAAGCTCCATCGTTTCGAATAGGAGTGTGAACGCATATCCCTGGCTCCGGAATGCTATGATGTAGGAGAGTGTGTGCTATAAGGAAGGCAGTATCTCAGCATAGTAGTGCTGGTCATTGACTGGAAACACCTGACCGCTGTCAGAACTCTGTCCAACCAGCAATATGACTTCATTCTCAGACTCTCATCTTAGCGTAGTAATTAACACTGTGACGGTAACTGCTTTTTGTATTACCACTATCCAGCAGACCTTCATGGTATGGGAAAAACCCTAAGGGAACAAGAATTCCACCAGCATAATGGTTAGTGCAAATACTCAAGCTTTAGAAGGTGTTAAAGAATGACCGATTTTTAGCCATGTCACCAGGAGTTCTCAGTTCTCTATCGTCTTGGCCAACCCCAGCTAGGTAGTTTGTATCTTTCTAATACGACTCACACTAAAAGTCATCAACTGATGACACATCTTGATCTGGTCTTGCTGAACCCTCTTTCAACCTAATCCAAGTTCCCCCAGCATGGTACGTCAAGGTAGAAAGTAGCTCATATCCAAGCCATCTTAGTCGACTTAGTTTCACAACTTTGTCAATCGACTTGTCAGCCTGTCTTGTTTATCACCCTTTGCCTGTCTTTAACATTGTTCACACGGTGATCCCACTAAACCCGATCGATTCTGTCATTATCTCATTCACTCTTAAGTATTGAGTACATATGTGTTTGTCTGATAGTCATTCTGTAATCTTATCACCTAATTTCTAAATACAGACATCTACTTAATCTTTTGGACCTGGCTCCACGACTGCCCACAAACTCTCATTCCTTCCTCACACGATCTCCATGTCACCATCGCCTCGGACGCCCAACTTGCCATTTCTTATCTGGGTTCCACTCGAGGAACTGGCCTGGCGCATGATGTCCCTGAATGGTCTTCTCAGTGCATGCTCAATCCATCTCCACTTCCTTCTGAATATTTGTTGGGTGATAGGTTCTTGGTTGGTTCATTCCCAGCCAGCCACACTGAGTTTCTTGTTGCTTATTCTTTGTGGCCATGTGATCTTCAGTATTGAGTGAGCGTAGGCAGTTGTTGATGAATATCTGTAGTTTGTTGGAAATGCTTTTCGCAACGCTCCGCCAAGTCTCTGGACCGTCACATAGAAGCACTGTCTTGACTGAGATTACTGTTGGAAATCCAGATCTTGTTCCTGAGTGCAGTAGAACTCCACACTGATTTCAGGTTAATGAACGCCTGTCTTTCCGATCCTGGCTTTGACGTCTTCGTCTGTGCCGCCTATAGTTGAAACAGTGCTGCCTAGATAGGTGAAAGAGGCTACTTCCTTTAAGTTTCTCCCGTTGATGGTGATTGGAGCTTGTTGGTGGTGGTGTTGGTTGGGTATCATCACAACCTCCATCTTCTCTACATTCACTTGAAGTCCCATCTTCGCTGCCCTACCTCTTCTGTCAACTTGTTAGTTTTTGCCTGTAGATCTTCGAGTTTATGCGAAGACTAATTATACGTAATTGTATATTTCTTTTTTTCCTTCTTCAGGTTCTTTATACAGATCTAGTACGTTATTGTCCAGAGGATGTTGAAGAAGTAGTTGAACGTGAACGTGAATTACGACTAAGAACACCATTAGAAGAAGTTGATTTATTGTTGACTTCTAAACCTCATGATTAAACTTTACATCATAACTTGTAATCAGTAATAATTATCCAGTAAATAAACTAAACATATGATAATTAACTTTTGTACAGTTTTTCTTCCTTCTTCTTCTGCTTCACTTTTTTGTTGATGTTTATGTATGAAGAAGTATTTCTCTAATACTATTGTTCCGTTCCTATGTCATTTCAATTTTCTTAATAAGTCTATATCATGAAAATTAAAGATATATTTATTCATTTTTCAGTTCATTTGACAGATTGTTTATTTGATTTGTGGAGATTTAGTGATTTTTCAAGTTTAGTATTCATCATGAACATTGAGAACCTGGAAGCATTGAATAGCTGTTTTTTCTTAGTATAGGATTTCTCAGCAGGACGCATTCATGACCCCGCAAAGGATCGTAATCAGTAATGTTACTATAAACTTGATTGGTTGGAATTTTCACTAGTCCATATTTTCAAGTTTTGTCAGTTCATGACATAGCCCAACCGTCATCTAATGTCATCGTTGAGTGTTTGTGGCTGTGGGGAAAAATTTCGTGAACTGATAAAAGTTGGAAATATGGACCACTGGACTCCAACTCAGTGGCTACGAAACCTGAAGGTCCGTGTAGGGTGGGGTGATGGGTGCGAACTATTGAAGAGTCTCATGCTGATGGGACAAAACAGCTGTGAAATGGTCCCAGGTTTCCAATGTTCTTCCAACTAATGTCAATCCAAGATTATTTATTCATCCAAGGTTTATGAAGTACCATACACGAATGAATACTAGTATGAGAGTGCAGTATCTATCTGTCGGTTAGTAAACGCTGAGTAACCCGGATTAGCCACTTGAGCAATCCCTCTGTGAGCCTAAACAACTGGCCTCTGCTAGCATGACTATGTTCGTTGAGTACACCTGGTAGAGGTCATTTAGTTAATGGCACAATTCGTTCAGATTGCATTTAGTCGGGAAACAAACAAAAATGACGAAAGGACATCATTTCTCTTACGAGAATGTAGTGGACGGCGAAGCTAACGAGAAACGATGAAATTAAACAATGTTGCACCACCTACCTATTGATTTGGAACAATGTAAGCCTTCACTCTACCTGAGGTGTTGAAGTAAGGTTGTTTCAGGATGTTATAAAGCGTCTGAGTGACATTCATGTGTAATCGACAATTCTAGAGTAGAGTTCTGTCCAACGAATCTAAGACAGCACTTATATTGAGGAATACATCGATTATTGGTCATAAATTCGTTTAACAGCGTTTGAGCATGTGACGGAGGGTAAACACGTGATCAATGCATCCATGATCTAAACAAAACTCGGTCCTCACAGATAAGTTTCTCACGCGTTTCGAATAATCTGTGAAACGTGATAGCAACCAACACTTTAGATGCTACTATTAGCAGACTGATATCCAGAAGATTATCATATGTGTTATACATAGACCATTTTTAGAGAAGAGCATAACAATATTGATGGGACACTCTCATCTGTCTTACTTTCTCAAACAATGTAGTCCATCCTCTGACTGCAGTCTTCCCTCTATCCTGAAGAGAGTCCAGGGTAGGTTGTATGTACCTGGGTACCTGATGGGTCTTTAGAAATTGGAGCTCGTTACAGACCTTGCTTCTAAGGTGGATCGGCTCTGAGATATAGCATACACTAGTAGGGAAGCTTTCTGGATCTAGGAAACCTGTCTGTTATCCAATTAGCATCAAGATTTAAACGTAGTTGACCAGTAGAGTGCATGGTTTCAGAGTATATATATATATATATATATATATATATATATATATATATATATATATATATATATATACAATACCTTACTGAAAGCTAATAACTCAGACACTCAGGACCAAACTATAGTTTAAGGTGAGGTATTTCCATCTACTGATGCTCAGAAGTTCCGTAAAATTGCTTCCGGAAGTTTCACTCTATTCTTTCCAAATCACACAGACTAAACTCTTCGGTGATGATACCTTGTCCCACTCAGGGTAGAAATACAAAACAGTAGTGTCAGGTGAAGATCCTAGTAAAATACTGAAAGGTTTTAACTCGAAGATGATTTGGAACTTATTTCTTGTACAATAAATGCAAATATTAAATTCACAACATATAAGCATCGATTTCCCCTCTGACAATGGAAATCCGCATGATTGAAGGTGGTAACCGATTCATTCACGTAGGAATTCACTTCAACTCTGATGGTTATCCAGCCAACAAAATATTGACGTGGATGTAACAGACTCCTCTGCAAACTACATCATTAGTTGCATCGGTCCGATACTCAAACGCCTATTTAAGGAAATATTTTGTTTTTGTAGCAATACATGCGTGTGGTAGAATCATAATTTATTTTCGGAGAGCCAAGTAAAGTGGATTGGTTAGTTGATGAGGCTTTTTGCTTTCATCGATTGGATTGGCAAGGAAGTACATCACACAAGTTTAACCTGACGACACGTTAGCATCGCAATGCTGAACCTTCTAGCTTCGTGGCCACATTGTAAACGATCGATAGGATTCGGCCTGTACACACGACTAGACAAAATGAATTTGGTTGCACTCATGTGACCAATCAATTTATGTACCGCAGTCCTACATGAGATGAATCGCGGCTAGAACAGCTCAGTGTTAGAGTCGGTAACTACAGCCCTGGGTGACGCGGTTTCGAACCTCACGCAGGACATCAGTTCCGTCGAGATTGCAGGTACGCCCAGCTGACGAATGTAAACAAGCATAGTACCTACATCTAGAGCTTTCTGCCGATTACCTTTAACCAACTAATATCTACTGATGGCTACCCTAGTAAATGCTGAGGCAACCTATCAGGCTCCTAGATCCGATAACGAAACTACCTGTCTAGACAAAATATCAAAACCTAACTGGTCATTTCAGCTATTGCTAAAAGTGAACGTCGGAGTTACCCGTTCCTCATGTGTTATTGTGAAGCACCAGCTCTAGTGAATCTTAAATGCGAATAACCTAATGCATAATCCAATCACATAGGGTCATCTAAATCTCGAAGATGTCATACCTAGCATATAAGTAAGCATTAGACTCGGTGAATACATCAACCACTGAAACGATTAGTGGACAGCGTGCAATGAAAGTTCTTATTATTCTGGCCATCTGATCTTCAGTGTCAGTAACGAGCCAGCGTAGGCAGTTGTTGATGAATATCTGTAGTTTGTTGGAAATGCTTTTCGTGACACGCCAAGTTTTTGAACAACATAGCAGCACTGACTTGACTGATGTCGGTGTTGAAAATGCGGATGTTGTTCACGCTTTATGCTGAGTGCAGTAGATCTCCACACTGATTTCACATTAGTGAAAGCTTGTCTTTCTTTTCCGATTCTAGGTTTAACATCCTCATGTGTGCCACCACCTGTAGTTGAAACGATGCTGCTTTTCCTAGGTAGGTGAAAGAGACTACTTCCTTTAAATTTCTCTTGTTGATGGTGACTGGTGCTTGTTGTTGATGCTGTTGCTAGTTGGGTATCTTCATCACCTCTACCTCTGTCTTCTCTACATTCACCTGAAGTCCCGTCTTCTATCGCTGCCTCTTCTCTCAACTTGTTAGTTTTCGCCTGTAGGTCCTCGAGTTTGTGTCACAAGACGTAAGACATAAATCATCGGCGAAATCGAAATCTTCTAGGATCTTTTCATTAGTCCAGCGCATGCCCCTCCTCTTACCCCTTACGGTTTGCTGCATGATCCAGTCGACCACAGTCAGGAAGATCATGGATGATAGTAGGCAGCCTTGTCTTACTCCTGTCTTCACTTCAAAGACGTCACTGAGCGTTCTATTGTAGATCACATAGCATGAGGCGTCGTCATATAGCTGTTGAATGAGGTTGATAAAGAACTGTGGCACTCCGATGTGTTGAAGCAGCTGCCTGCCAAATTACTTCTCCATTGACGCTGTCGAAGGCCTTTTCAAAGTCGATGAAGTTGAGGTAGAGAGTTAACTGCTATTCTATACTCTGTTCTATGGTGATGCGCAGCGTGGCAATGCAATTTTATCCGCACATGATTTGCTACATCTGATAGAGTCAATTCAACAGTAGTCATGGACAAATTGGATTATTTCAACAAAATTGACGAACTTATCCAAACTGGACGAGATTAAGAAACCTTTAGACATGGACATGAATAAAATTTCGAAATGTACAGACGGTGATATATACTAACAGAAGTCATCTCCAGGTGAGTCTAAATGGTTCAATTTAATGCCTAAAACTAATAATCCTAGCAGAATTTATGGTACTTATTAGGGTTCATAAGCCACGTTATCCCATAAGACGTATAGTTGACTTCAGAACTGTCAAACTTCATAGCATCGTAATTAGGAACCGTTCAAATTCTAGACCTCCATATAGAAAAGGATGAAAAAAAAATGGTTGGTTTCGATGTAACTAGTCTTCATACTAAAATACCAATCAATATGACACTGGAGGTAGTCAGAAGTCAACTAAATATTGACTCACAACTTAATCACACAACTAACATATCAGTTGATGAGATGATATGAGGCATACAGTTGTGCCTGACCTCAACACTTTTCAACTTTCAGAACAAAATATACAGACAAACAGAAGCAGTAGCAATCGAATCACCATTCGCAGCAAATGCATTTATGGATAGTTGGGAAGAAATGGCTTCACAAACATACAATCCTACACCTAAGATATGGTGGCCATATGTGGATAACACATTCCCCTCACTGTGTTGAAATCGGAACATATCCACACTTTACCCACACATATATAAACTCAGTAGTAGGCTAATCCAATTGACTTACGAGGCAGAAAATAAAGAAGGATAATTATTCATATTGGATTGCATAGTAAAATGAAGGACAAATGCTGCTCTCCATACTACCATCTTTTCCCGGAAACCAACACATTCCAACAAGTAGGTATCTAGACTTCAAGTCATCCCATCCAATGTCACTTAAGGCAACTGCTCTAGTCAAATGTCAAAGTGATACACCTAGAAAACTGACTAGTGTCAGTGCAACCATCATCTACATAACAAGTTGAAACATATATAAAAGAAGCGCTAATACTTAACAATCATCCTCCGCAGTTTATTAACAAATTCGTAAGGACACACGAGTACGAATAATTACGACAACACAAGTAGAAAGGAGTTCACAGTCTCCATTCTGTTATCCTATAACGAAGGTACATCACAAACTTCACGTAGGTTCCTCAACTAAACTCGAATTACGGTGGCATTCGGAAACCTGCAAACTCACTCACAGATAAACTTTGTCACCTGGTGGTTTAGGGATCCGATAGAACCAATTCACAAAAATAATCGAATCTATCAAATTACATGTAATGACTGCGAGTGTCGTCAAGTACATAGGTGAAACTAGCCCTGTTGGTGTCAGGGTCAGTTAGAATAGCCGAACATAGGATTTAGCTAAATATAGAATGACAGGTTGCAATCAGATCAATAATCGGAAGGGAAACTCACCAACTGCAATGTATGCATGGATTAACACACAACCATACAATAGGGTGGTGGATAAAACCACTTTACTCAAGTCAAATATAATGAGATGGAGAGAGAGGGAGGAATCGATTACTGAATCCTTATTCGTCGAATCGTCTGAACTGTTGACTAACATTATTTCTACAGCTGTTCCTTTGAATCTCTACCACAAACACAACTACAAAACACTAGCAGGAGGAAACGTAACTCGAACATGACTCCATATAAATTATATTTTGAAACGTTTTCTTCATATTGAAAATATAATATTGTTAAACTGAGTATAAAAGTGATATTTAATTACAATGGATCAAAAATGATAATAGTTATAATGTATTATACAGTTTGAAGTCTTCTCTTCATTTTATCAATCATTCACTTCGTAACATGGCTAGGCATAATCTTAAATTTACTGACTTCTGTTTTAGTACACCAGCTAAATCTGGGATATGAATAACTTTAGGAGCAGATGATGATACACTAGTCATTTGTAATACATCTGGATTGATATCAGTTTTCCATATTACACGTAATAAATGATAACGCCAACCTTGTTGAGATGCACATACAACTTCAGGTAATGAGAATTCAAATAGATCTGTTTCAGCATTGATATCCATCTCATTATTACTGTTATTATTATTATTATCGTTATTATTACTGTTATTATGATTGGTTGCAGACTTCACAGTTGACTTAACCTCAAGGAATATAGGACCAACTGATAATAGACCTGATCTTGAAGATGAATATGATGAAGAAGTATCTTGACGTGAAGAAGGACTACGCAGAACACGAACAACATTGTTAGCTAGTTCATCTTTTAAACTTCTTAATAATCCTTCCCATTTATTTGCATCACATTCAACTAAATAATAATTAAAAATTAACAAAGAGAAAAACAATGGAATGAATATATTTACCAGAATTAACATATATCTATTATGGGCATGGTAAGAACATTCGTAAACGTTCTCACTACAGAGCGAAGCAAATTACAGTTGATATGATCTCGTCTACTTAAAACTTCTCAATTCTTCTTTCTTTCTACATATCTCGCCCACCCCTACAGTTATCGATTTTTTATTTGGGTTAAGTGAGGATTTATTGATTTCAAGTTAGTATTCAGCATAGACTGAGACCAGCTGGAGGAACATTGGAGACCTGAGAGCACTGAACTAGTATGGGACTCTTCAACAGTACGCACCCATGACTTCTTCAAGTTCGGTGTTCAGCTATTTTTCGAGAGTCTTTTCTAACCCTTTTATTGTGATAAGGAGAAGCAGCATCAGGAAGGACTATTGTTCATCCGTCGAAAACACCTTACTCTCATCATACATCCGTCTAGTGAGCAGTAAGACTTAGTCTTCGGAACCCTACCACAACCACATCACAAACTTTACGTAGGTTCCTCAACTAAACTCGAATTACGGTGGCATTCGGAAACCTGCAAACTCACTCACAGATAAACTTTGTCACCTGGTGGTATAGGGATCCGATAGAAGCAATTCACAAAAACAATCGAATCTACCAAATTACATGTAATGACTGCGAGTGTCGTCAAGTACATAGGTGAAACTAGCCCTGTTGGTGTCAGGGTCAGTTAGAATAGCCGAACATAGGAATTTAGCTAAATATAGAATGACAGGTTGCAATCAGATCAATAATCGGAAGGGAAACTGCCCAATTGCAATGTATGCATGGATTAACACACAACCATATAATAGGGTGGTGGATAAAACCACTTACTCAAGTCAAATATATAATGAGATGGAGAGAGAGGGAGGAATTGATTACTTAATCTTTATTCGTCGAATCAAGCCCACCCAACACATATAGAATAGAAGTGATGCGATACTCGCCTATATCGGGGATTAGATGCCGTGAGTAGGAATAATGAGCAGTGATAATTCATGCTCAAAACATGGTCATCAAGTAAATAATACTAGATCACTGTCGTGTTCGCCGAAGTTGATCCAGGCTGGAAAAAGGCCCGAGGTGGCCATACTAAAACATGGCACCAGTGTATGATGTCTCTAACTGATGGTTTAAGCCATGTAGGACGATGCAGACTAAGTGATTGGGGTCCACGGGACAAGAGGAACCAGTGGTTGGAGACTGACTCTAGGTGACGAGATGGCTGAGAACCGATGTCAGTGGTGCAGATGTATGCCCACAAACACTATCCTCATCTTAACTACACTATACCGAATCTCACCATTTTCTCATTCTTCCTCTCTTTCTTCTCGTACTTTATATTTCTTTTGACTGCATTCTCTTGTCTTCATCCTTCACCTCACTGTTTTTCTACTTGATGTATTGATATGAGGTGTGGCAACTCTGACCGTTGAGCAGTAATGCCTGGTCCTATGTTGATATGGATTGATTAATTAGATCACTGTGTGTTATAAATCAAATGAACAAATCTAATATGGAATTAATAAAGAAAACACTGATATATAAAGTATACTATAGGTTTACCTTGAACATCCACTTCAACATCATATGGTCTTAAAGACTCCGTATCTGCATTACACCAATTACATCTTATAAGTCGGCCAACACCAAGTATTGGATGACCTGTAGGGAATTCATAACTAGTTACCTCATCAAAATTACTCTGATGATGTTCATTACGATGAATATATTCCAGAAGTGTATGATAAATATACAATTCACCTATACGACCAATACCAGTTGATCTTTCAGATGGATTTGATAGGATACGATGTAAACGAGTTGTTAAGTATTCAGGAAGACTTGTATTATCATGTGACCAAAAGGTTGATACAGACTGAAGATTATCAATTATTTCTCTTGTTTCTTTTGAAAGGCGAATAAAAGGAGCTGCAGCAGCTGTATTGTACAAAATAAATTTCAAATAGGGAGAAAAAGTTTTTTCTTAATTATTGATTGGTATCAGAATGCTGTTCAACAGATAAAACGAAGTGCCTAACGATGAAACAGACGAAATTAGTCAGTCGATCCCATGATAAACTTTCACTTAATCATGATACCTCTCACAGCCAGACATAAAGATAATGTAAAACTTAGGAACAGGCATTACCGCATGACGGTTCAACTCCCTACACATCCCTATCATCACATTAAGAGACAAAGCAGCATGAAAGACGAAAGAGAAATAAGTAAATAAACTACCGAAAACCTCCAGATAGAATGAATGAATGAGGATAGTTACTCAACGACGACATTGGATGAAGTCGAGCTATACATCGTGAACTGAATGAAGTAGGAAGTGTGGACCATTGGATTCCGATGCAGTAGCTCAAAGCTAACGTGCTGGTCACAGAATCTGAAGGTCCTGGATTCAATTTTTGGCGGGGTCATGGGTTCATACTGCTGACGAGTCTCATACCAGTGAGACGAAACAGTTGCCCAGTGCTCCCAGACACAAGAAAATACTGAATTCACTATGATGATTAATATAAGAATAGTGTATGCGTACATCTGCACGACTGACATCGACACTCAGTTATATCACCTATTGGTTTCTATCGTCTTGTGGATGCCAACAAAGAAATCTACATTTCTGTGCATGGTTTAGACAAATTGTAAAAGATTTCAATGACTGATATTATGTTTCAGTTCGGACATCTTGGACATTTTTTTCAACCTAAGCCTACTTCACTTAACACTGTAAACATTACCTCTTAATTATAACCTAAACGACAATAACAATCACTATAACATAACACAATCATCTTTCATCACATAAACCTACTTAAAGTTATTGATAGATAATGGAACACATAGCAGTACGTATGATCACCAGTTCGAATCCTGCCGCGGTCCAAATTTTTATCTCACCTTGAATCATCACCCAGCACGGCTATCTCAGATAGTCAAAATGATAATATTACTCAGTGTTAAAAGCAGGCTTATTACCTCACTAATGAAGTGGTCGAGACGTCGATGAAGTACTGAATGTTAGTCCAAGCTGTGTAGATGAAGTGTAAACTACTTGATTAGGGTCTCCTAGACCAAATTTGATGGATGGTTAATTGCTTAAATTCAAGTGTCTGACTGTTGATTTGATTGAAATTCTCAAGATAATGGGAAATAATAGTTCAAGATTCTTTGTGATATATATAGCCCAAAATCGATTGCAATAGTATAGATGTATTAACTATTTGCAGTTTTGAGTATTCTGATTAACCTTTATGCATTTTTATTCTCACATTTCTTACAAATTTCACCCCCACCCCACCCCTAAACAAACGAAACATATTCAGCTACCTTGTGCACATATCCATGATGTAGACAATGAGTAACACAAATTGTGTGCCTGCTCAAACCTGCATAGTTGTAGTGGGGGTTCGAACCCGTGACCCTAAACCACAGCTCTCACTTTATTTTCCACTTTGATACTACTCATTTTCGATGCATCTTTTCTTAAAATGATGCTTTGACATGTGACAACTTGAAGTGAGGTACTTCTATGAGAGAGTTTCTACGCTGTCTTTATGTTTACATATATATATATATATATATATATATATATATATATATATATATATATATATATATATATATATATAGTTGTCGTCCGCACTGTTTTTAGCTAAGACGGATTAGTTATGAAATAGTCGATTGTTTGTTACTCGATGAATCAATAATCACTTATCTATGACCATTTCAACAGATTTAAGCATTGAGTTACCTGGTTGATAAATACCTGAAATATGCGAATCGCACTTACAGTTCTCGTTTTTCTGAACTCCTCTAATGGTCACCCTGGTGAATGCTAAGATAACAAACCAGGTTTCTAAATCTCATACATTAACTACTTGCATAGATAAAATATCGAAACCTGATTGGTTATTTCAGCTGTTACCACAGTGACCCTTGGAGTGAGAGAGGAGAGACTTGACAACATTATATAATATAACGAGGTTATTATCTGAAAACAGACCAACGCAGATGAAACTTATGAAACATAGTGAAGGGAACCTAATTACCAAAGACGAGAAACAAACGAAACCATGGAGTGAACACTTCAAAAAGCTCTTAAATCGACCAACACCATCACCACCAACACCTGCAACTCGTCCAGAAATACCACCACCAACCCAGCCACAGAACTACCAGTGAACACAAGCCCTTCGACAAAAGCAGAAGTGAAGTCCTGAATACCATAAAACTGCTGAAATCCGGGAAAACAGCAGGACCAGATGGAATTCCTCCACAAGCACTGAAAACAGACACAGAGACAACAGTCGACATACTCACACCACTATTGCAGAAGGTTTGGAAGGAAGGAAAGTTCAGTTTTATCTCATCTCGTTGATAGTGGTCACTTGGTAGATAAGAAAAATGCTTTCATGATTATTCACCGTATACCGTCTCACCTTTCTGAAGTTATTCAAATTCGTCTTTTACACATAGCTGAAGCTATGAGGATTTCAGATAATAATCCTAGTCTTTGTATCCAGAAGAAATTTGTACATCTCTTATCTCTCACCTGGTCATAGTATACTTAGTTAATAACTTTATCATTCAGTTTTTTTCCTACCCCTTTTCTTATTCTTCACTCCTATCATATAGTTAGTGTATTTGTTTAAACTTTGTTTATCCACTTACCTAGTCCTTCAGTATTATGTAACTTTTATTTTCCCAAATAAACTTTTCACTCAGTTTGATTATCTAAGTGTCTGCCTACATTTTCATGCTGCTATCTTAGTTCTTATCATCATTATCGTCATCCATATTGTAAGTGCTTTAGTTAACATTATCACTTTTACTATTTGTATTATTATCATCATCGTCATTTTAAAACAGTCATCATATTAACCGACAAATCTACATGATTAATTTAACTCTTCAGATAGATTAAGCTAATTGTATTAGAGTAAAACGTGCAAAGGACCTTAGTGAAAGTGATATTGTTTGCTTATACATCTTGTTCAAATTTACAGTTGTATGTGTATGTAGCAAGGAGGTCTGTAGTACAGAGAGAATAGAAACGTATCCTATTCATTTACATTTTGTATATGACTTTGAATGGTGAATCACTTATGATGCAGTGATTAGTATTGACAAAAGCATCAATTATTACACTTTTCAGTAGTGAATCGGTGTAGTGTTTCTTTTTTAACCGGTTGAAATGAACTCAATATTGCCTTCATTTAGTCCATCATGAAATAAAATAAAAAAGCTTAAACTAGTATAATGCAACTGTAATGAATGAAATCGCCTAACCTCTCGTTTTCTCACCTCATTCAACTGCTATATAAAGACGCTACATGATAAGGGATTCACAATGGAAAGCTCAGTGATACCTTTGAAGTGAAGAAAGGAAGGAACAAGATAAGGCTATCTACTATCACCAATCATCTTCCTGATTGTGGTCGAATCGACTGGGTCATGCAACAGACAACTGTGAGGAGCGAGAAGATGGGTGTACGCTGTTTGACCAATGAGAACACCCCAGAAGAAGATTTAGATTTCACCGCCGATGATGATACATGTCTAATGTCTTGTGGCACTAAATCGAAGATCTACAGTCGAAAAACTTACAAGTTGACAGAAGAGTTGAGGCAGGGCAGTGGAGGAAGACAGGACTTCAAGTGAACGTAGAGAAGACAGAGGTGATGAAGATACCTAACCAACAACAACGAGCTCCAATCACCATCAACGAGAGAAACCTAAACGAAGTAGTCTCTTCCAACTACCTAGGAAAAGCAGCATCCTCTCAACTACAGGCAGTGGTACAGGCACAGATGAGGATGTCAAAGTCAGAATCGGAAAGACAACAAGACAGGCCCCCCTTCATTCACCTGAAATTAGTGTGGAGATCTACTCCACTCAGTCAGTACAAAGTGTGAACAAGATGTGAATTTTCAACACCAACGTCAGTCAAGTCAGTCCTGCTATGTGATGGTTCAGAAAGTTGGCGACGCGTCACGAAAAGCATTCCCAACAAACTACAGATATACGTCACAGCAACAGCTATCGCCTACACTCGCTCGATACTGAAGATGGATCAGATGGCCAGAATAATAATAAGAATAAGCAACAAGCAGTTCACTGTTGCTGGCAACCAATCAGTCAACCAAGAAGGTCTCACCTAACGTGTATGCAGAAGAAAGTGGAGATGGATTAGGCATACAGTAAGAAGGCGGATTGGGGACATCACGCGCCAGGCTAGGTACTCCAGTGGAATCCAAAAGGGAAACGATGAGTCGCGAATCTGAGAGGAGGATGATATGAACAAGATAATATGAGGAGGAAATGAAACCTTATAAAGAATAGTGAAGCTAGGTTCAAAAAACTTCAGAGAAAAGAATGAAATAGAGGCGTGTTACTCAAGCCCCTATGTTCCACTAGGAACCCAAGAGAAAAATAACAATAATAATATAAACTATATTCAAGAATTTCTATTTGATCTATACACTGGTCTAGTTCAAAATGACAAATATACTCTTAATTTGAAGAGAGAGAGAGAGAGAGAGAAACAAATCAAAACATTATTAGAATACATACCTTGCATAGCATTATTAAGTGTTGTATCAAATCTTGTACTTTGTTGATTAAATGTTTGTGATTTGGAACGTATTTGATCGAATGAAGTCAATGAAGTTGCCTGTTCATTCATAGATTGTCCAGTTGATAAATGATCAGTAGTATTAGAAGTTGTTAAGATTTCACTTTCTATTTGATTCACAGATGATAATAATAATAATGAAGATGATGTTTGTAGTTGTAATGGAGGTGAAGGGTATAAAAGACTTAATTCATGTCTAGCTCTACGTTGTTTCACTCCATGTGAGACTAGATAATTCTCTAATTGACTCAAGAATGTAGAGTTTATAGTTTGATTTATCAATGTCGTTAAATCAGGTTGAATAGATAAAGCTAGATTAATAAAACCTTGAATAAATTGTCTAAAGAATAAATAAAGAAAAGTAGTAAATAACAAAACAATATACCAATTTAGTATATTATCACTAGGCTAATTGAAATAATACATGACAATAATAAAAACAGATTTTATTAGTGATGAAATGATATCATTTAGAGGACTATTAAAAATCTTGGAGAATTATTTCGTCCTTTTACTTGATTCATCAGTAATGCGTAACACAAACCTGGCGATAGGTCAAAACTATCATAGATTTCGAAGTGGACACACCGCAATCCACTCACTGGAATAAAATCTAACGACTCATACCTTTCTACTGTCTGCTGTTACTATTATTATTATCATTATTGTAATTTAGTTGTTTGTGGCTAGCAGAGGAATCCAGGATGTGTGTTGCATTCCATTTGGAACTCGTCAGTCAGATGTGCCTGCACCCCAGTGAGTGATGTTTTTCCCACTGAGGTCCTAACCTCATACCCATCGCATTAAACGCCAAGGAGTTATCCACAACGTCATGTTTGTGTACAATAGAGATCGTCATTCAATAAGTGAAGTCATCAGAATACACCGACTTCGGTGGCTTGGACAAATCTTGTACACAATTGACTTGAGACGTTACCGGATATAGCCCAAAATCGAAACTAGGGGCGGTCACGCTGTAACGTTTATCTTCTGCTGGTGAAAAGGATTGAATGTTTTTTGCTGGACTGCCTTGACTATTTTCCTTTCTTACTTATCCACTCATTACTATCATTTGTCCCTTGGGTTCCTAGTGGAACATAGGGGCTTGAGTAGCACACCTCCAGACACCCAACTTGCCGCTTCCTCTTTGGATTCCACTGGAGTACCTAGCCTGGTACGTGATGTCCCCAATCCGCCTTCTTACTGTATGCCTAATCCATCTCCACTTTCTTCTGCATACACGTTAGGTGAGACCTTCTTGGTTGACTGATTGGTTGCCAGCAACAGTGAACTGCTTGTTGCTTATTCTTATTATTATTCTGGCCATCTGATCCTTCTTCAGTATCGAGCGAGTGTAGGCGATAGCTGTTGCTGTGACGCATATCTGTAGTTTGTTGGGAATGCTTTTCGTGACGCGTCGCCAACTTTCTGAACCATCACATAGCAGGACTGACTTGACTGACGTTGGTGTTGAAAATTCACATCTTGTTCACACTTTGTACTGACTGAGTGGAGTAGATCTCCACACTAATTTCAGGTGAATGAAGGGAGGCCTGTCTTGTTGTCTTTCCGATTCTGACTTTGACATCCTCATCTGTGTCTGTACCACTGCCTGTAGTTGAGAGGATGCTGCTTTTCCTAGGTAGTTGGAAGAGACTACTTCGTTTAGGTTTCTCTCGTTGATGGTGATTGGAGCTCGTTGTTGTTGGTTAGGTATCTTCATCACCTCCGTCTTCTCTAAGTTCACTTGAAGTCCTGTCTTCCTCCGCTGCCCTGCCTCAACTCTTCTGTCAACTTGTTAGTTTTTCGACTGTAGATTTTCGAGTTAGTGCCACAAGACAATGGATGTGTATCATCATTGGCAGCGAAATCTAAATCTTCTTCTGGGGTGTTCTCATTGGTCAAACAGAGTACGCCTATCTTCTCGCTCTTCACAGTTGTCTGTTGCATGACCCAGTCGAGTCGACCACAATCAGGAAGATGATTGGTGATAGTAGACAGCCTTGTCTTGTTCCTTCCTGTCTTCACTTCAAAGGCATCACTGAGCTTTTCATTGTGAATCACTTGGTATATAACATCCTTCAATAGCTGTTGAATGAGGCTGATAAATTTCCTGGTACTTTATAGTGTTGAAGCAGCAGGTGCCAAATTACTTCTCGGTAGACGCTGTCGAAGGCATTTTAAATGTCGATGAAGTTGAGGTAAAGGTCTAGTTGACGGTCATTCTATAATCTGTTCTGTGAGGATGCCTAGCGTAGCGTTACAGTTTGATCCGCACATGAGTGGCACTACCTGAAGTCAGCCGGTCAGCATGTTTCGGTCGTGATTTTGAATCCAGTGTATCCTTTATTCTCTCAAGGTTGACGCGGCCTTATATTTTGCTTGGGGTCGACAACAGCATGATTCTACTGCAGTTCTTGCAAAGGCACAGGTCTCCCTTGTTTGTGAATTTGACAAGATAGAGCTTCTTCCAATTGATCGGCAAGTACCTTTCCTTTCTTTCAGACCTTCTGCAATAGTGGTGTGAGCATGTCCTTTGTCGTCTCTGAGTGTGTTTTCAGTGGTTCTGACGAAGCTCCATCTAGTCCTGCTGCTTTCCAGGATTTCAGCAGTTTTATGATATTGAAGACTTCACTTCTGCTTTTGTCGAAGGGCTTGTGTTCACTGGTAGTTCTGTGGCTGGGTTGCTGGTGGTATTTCTGGACGAGTTGCAGGTGGTGGTGATGGTGTTGGTCTATTTAAGCGCTTTTCGAAGTGTTCACTCCATGATTTCGTTTGTTTCTTGTCTTTGGTAATTAGGTTCCCTTCACTATGTTTCATAAGTTTCATCTGCGTTGGTCTGTTTTCAGATAATAACCTCGTTATTTTATATAATGTTATCAAGTCTCTCCTCTCTCACTCCGAAGGTCACTGTGGTAACAGCTGAAATAACCAATCAGGTTTCGATATTTTATCTATGCAAGTAGTTAATGTATGAGATTTAGAAACCTGGTTTGTTATCTTAGCATTCACCAGGGTGACCATTAGAGGAGTTCAGAAAAACGAGAACTATAAGTGCGATTCGTATATTTCAGGTACTCGCATCAACCAGTTTACACCAGCTCACTCGCAGTAAGTTGTGTTCAATTGACAGCCAATAGATTGTTGTAGCATAAAACAGCAATAACCAATGAGAATATCATAAGATATTCAAACGTTATTCATGAATGGATCAGACATAAACTCAGGCATATCTGAACAGTCACAGTTCATCACAATAATGATGTAGTGTTTGTTTTTAGAAGTTTCAAGTGTAATATTTGATGTATTCGAAACGTAAGGCGATATCTCATAGGCTGTCTACATCAACTTTGGATATGAAATAAAATATGATATGATGGAGAATATTTGTAGCTCAGGTGGATGGTTTTGGTTGAATTGTGTTCTTTGAGCTGGGTCATTTATTCGTGAAATAAAATGTGCCTACGTGTATGAGTTGGTGCACATGGTTAGACAGCTTGATCATTCCCCTGAACGAAAAGTAGTTATGTCAAATAAGAAACTTTAAATTACGTTTTGCGAATGATCCCACTTGTAATTAAATACCGTGAGGTATCCAAACGCATTTTATTGACTAAGTATCTAGTGCATAGTTATTGTATATTTCTATTATCATTCAGCCAATATCCACACGGGACCTGCTATTGTAGCATCATAATCTCAAGCGTATCAGTACATGGAGGTACGAAGTAGCGAGATTGAATAAAGGTGAAATAATAAAGAAAAATGTTGAGCAGAAGTCGTGGAAATCATCAGAAGAGGAGGATAAGAAGAACAAGAGCCAAGTAGATAACTGAATGTAATATAAATGTTTGGATTAAAATAATGTATGGATCCATCTGCCTACTGAGAATGATTCTCAACCTCGTTTCCTGAAGTACCCAATCACTGATTTCGTTTGTCGCATGGACCATCGCAACGACGACGTTTCGCTTTGATTGATTCTTCAGATCAATGGTTTCATGAGTAGTGAAACTATGAGACAGTCATTAGGTAAACGATTTCGAAGTCAATTGTGGTATTTCTTAGAGAGCGTGGACCAATTGATGTAGCTTACAGGTGTCAAGTTGTCATTTGTTGACCAACAATGGAGAATAATGCAACCTTGCTGCACAGCATCGATAATTCAAGGACTTCAAGTGATCTGAGCTCAGCTGAAGATAATCAGTTAGAAAAAAGTATACAACGAAACATGCCCATTGAGTCATAGAGAAAAAAAAGTATACGCCTTGTAACTCCATTGTTACAGCCAACAAGAACAGCTGATGGAATGTTGAGTAGATCAATTCACAGAAATCCAATGTGGAATGATTAACTGATGAACCTAAACAGCTGGGTCCCTCCCTATGAGTTGTAAGCGAAACCTCGCAAAGAGAACCTTACCATCGTGCCAAAAAAGATACTCTATATGAATCTAAACTTCAAGGTGATTCTGCCGCTGACACTCTGAAAAGGAGGATATCAAACGCTTTAAGGATAATTTTCTTTTGAATTAACGCTGAGACTAGTATTCTCTTATTGCCCAACGATTTCCAGCAACTCAAAGAAGAAACTTTTGCATCTAACCACTTCTATGTCTATATGATTAATTCACCTGCTCGTTAGATGCAACTGTTATCAAAAAAGGTTGAAGAGTACTACCCGTGTGGTTACGAAGAGGTAACAATAGAGCGATAAGCAATGCTATAACTGAACGCATCGTGAACAAAATTACCCCGTCTCAAGAACCTGCTCGTTTAAAGTCATCTTTAAAGCGAAAAAAAATCACTCAAAGACTGTTTGTCTTCGTATTCTCTGCATAGCTGAAGCTCTTGTCATCCATATAGAGAAACCTGAACTGTGTACGCAAAAGAATATTGTTTAACACCTTCTCTTTTGTAGTTTTAGTTTCCAGTCCCTTCTACCTCCTTTTTTTTCTTTTCTGTTTCGGCACTATTCACTTCTTAAGTAATTTGCTACTGATTCTTGTTGCGATGGTCTGCCTGATCGCGATTCAGTTCCCAGTTATTTCGTCGTCATGTTCCGAAACCTCTTGTCCAAACTTATTTAGATTCATATTCACTACTACTCATCAGTTTTTAATTTTTCAATGAAGGTTCATATAATTAACACGATTTGTGTTGTCATGCTTGACAAACCATTTTTAACTATCAAGTCACGGGAGTGCAACCAATTTCATGTTGTCTAGTCCTGAGTAGAGACCGAATTCTATGGAACATATTTGCAATGTAGCAACCAAGCTAGGAAGCTCAGCATCGCAGTGCACACTAGTAGATGTTAGTTGGTTGGAGGCAATCAGTAGGAAACCCTGGACTTAAGTCCCGTGCTTTTTGGCACTCGTCAGCAAGGCGTATCTGCAACCTCAACGGAACTAATGTCCCGTCTGAGATTCGAACCCGCGTCACCCAGTGTTGTAGTCAGCGACTTTATCACATTGCAAATACGATCGATAGAATTCAGTCTGCACTCAGAATTAGACAACATGAAATTGGTTGCACTCTCATCACCAATCAATACATGTAAGCCAGTCCTACAGGATGTCAATCGCAGCCCCAATAGCTCAGTGGTAAAGTTGCTGACTACAACATTGGGTGATGCGAATTCGAATCTCAGGCAGGACATCAGTTACGTCGAGACTGCAGATACGCCTTGCTGGCGTTCTTCCCATCTGAAAAACAAACAAACAAACTTATGATCGAATGGAATAAAAGTAAAAGTATCCTATCTAATAGGTGTGTCACGCAACAAATATGCAGGAGGAAGTGGAGACGGATTGGATTGGGCATACACTGAGAAGGCAGACTGAGGACATCACGCGTCAGGTCAGGCCCCCGAGTGGAATCCCCATGGGAAGCGACGAGTTGGACGTCCGAGGGTGACATGGAGGAGGTCGTGCGAGGAAGAAATGAGAGCTTCTGGGCTGTCGTGGAGCCAGGTTCAAAAAATCTCAGAGAACAGAGGTCACTGGAGACGTGCTACTGAAGCCCTATGTTCCACTAGGAACCCAAGGGACTAATAATAATAATAATAATAATAATAATAATAATTTAATAGGTGTACAACTAAAGTATACAGTATTAATAATTACAAAATTTATTTCAACCAAACTTACATTAAACTAATTTTACTTTGTCCACCATATGGACAAATACAATTAATAATTTGTAATAATATTGAATCTTCTATAATATTATTGTTACTTTGAATAGTATTATGAAGAATTGGATCATTTATTGAACCAGATAGTAAATAAATTAATTGTGTACTATGATCTGGTAGAATTTGTGATAAATTAGCAAAAATATTAGCACCTAATGTACTGTCAAGAAATAATTTTTTATTTAGTAGATAAGCAATTAAACGTCTTGAAATACTTGATGTATGCAATAAACTTGAATTAGAGATTATAGAAGAAGGTATATTGAAACTGAGACATAATTGTAGATGATCAACCTTAGAAGATAATGGAAAAAAGAGAAAAAAAAACAAAGAATATATACAATCGAAAAGAGAAAGTAAACAAAGTGTACGATATAGAAGTTAAAGACTTCAACTAGACTATTATATTATTATTATTTGTCCCTTGGGTTCCTAGTGGAATACACTGCTTCAGTAGCACGCCTCCATTACACTCTGTTATCTCCTACCTCTTGAACCTGGCTCCACAACAGCCCACAACCTTTCATTTCATCCTAACACCATCTCCTCCATGTTACCCTCGCCTCCGACACCCAATTCACTGTTTCCCATCTGGATTCCACTCAAGTACCTGGCCTGGAGCATAACAAAGTTTCATATTCATCAGAATAAAGTCAACCTGTCAATATCAACTGGAACTTGGCATCATGATGTAACGATCCAAGTTACTACAACTTAGATGAACACATATTATATGTCAAGGTTTGCGCAGCCATGTAATATTATTGGCCTTCAAAGTCGTACTGTTGGTTGGATGAGAGTGTGACAGTAGTTGGGTGTTTTCCTCGTATGACCAGTAGTACCACGTTGATAGTGCCTTATATACAGGAAACGAGGGTTAGAAAAGATTCGCCCGTAAAATAGCGTACTCCTTCACGCCCTATAGGGTTCCGGTGCCAGTGGTATATTAGAACAGGCGAATCTCAAAACAACAATTTGCAAAAGCAACAATCTAGACGTTTCCAGTGTCTGTCATTAACCGTCACACAATAGGTGTGGTTCATCGTCTACTGCAGGAATGTGCACAAAGATAATAAGCGGATTTCGGCTCAACTTTCGAGTCTCCATTTCCCAGCATGGCCTAAATAAATGGTCAAAGACTATACGAACTAATGTCACGTTATTAATTGGCCGCCTTCAACGTTGTTTCCAGCCTAAATCTATCTCATGTGTGATAGACAATGACTGATTCAACTTCCCGAGTAAGTAAAGTGGCCCATGAACTCAACCATTTCACTCCCTACTGTTGGACGGAAAATCAAGACAGATCAGTTCCGGAGCAAAACTTTGCATTTGAACACACCTCAAACATTCTTAAATCTCCTTTCAAAATGTCTAGAAGACTTGGTATACTGTCAGCTTCCTCCTTTTACAAATCAATTTATCATCTGCCTACTCTAAGTCTACTAAAGAAGTACCAATGATAAGATTTATTTTTCTAAAATCAACTCAACAGCAGACAGACAAGACCATCAAGAAGCCAATGATCAGGTTAAAGTGCGTAGCCATGACTGATAACATTGGATAAACACAACACCTAGCTATTGGCACTAAAACACCCAAGAATGTTTGCATATAAAGTCTTCAACGGAGTGATATACTTAAACAACACCCTTTTCAGTTTGAGACATTACCACAAGATCTCTTCATCGTGGGAATCGAAAGCCACTATGTAAGGAACTGGAGTATTTATCTATGCTGGAGAATGAATATATGATCGGGTGTGTATAATCAACTGACTTAAATAGTTGAAACGCATAGATGAAGACCACATACATCGTATGAAGTGGAACTTACCAAAAATGCATCTATCTCCTTCGACTCAATTATCGAGTTAACAATATCCTGATCAATTGCAATTGTAGAATCATGATGCCTGATGTTGTTGGTGTTAATACCATTACCACTGCTGCTACCATCACTAGATGAATGAATCTTAGCATTAGACAAGGATTGATTTGAAGAACACCATAACATAATCAAACGCATAAGACCTTTTAAAAACATATCCAATGAACGACATGGTATCATGAAAGAATCAGATTTTATACCAGAGGCAGGATAATTTTTATCTTGATGATGCTTGATAAATAATTCTCCGGTACGATCTATGACCTATTCAGTAAAATCATGATATGAGGGAGAAAAAAAATACACGAATCAATTATCGTACATAGTGATTAAATTGCTTCCGGATCTAGGGAACCAAAAAGGAAGACAATACAGCAATTCAAATCAACGTTTTTAGTGCTTCAGGTTGTTTTGGATAAACAATGCTTATTCGATTATTATAAAAAGATATCAGACTTTCTTCGAAGTTATTAACACAGATAGTATAAGGTATATGTGAACACATAAACACATAAACTTCGGTGAATAGAATAATTTTTGAACCTATGACCTATTTGATTCAAAGTTAGTTAGTTAATCTGTTGAACCGCAGTTAGACGCCTAACTGATATCAGACATAATATACAACATGAATTTTAGAAAGGAAATGTTATTCTAAGGTGAATAGTAAAGTTCCTGTTGACTATCACTAACAATTCAAAGAAACTGACAGTAGAAATACACTACAACAGAACAATAAGCTTGGTTGATTGCTTTCTTACTTCAATTACTCTACTAAATTTAACTATGAGCTTTAGACTATAGTTTTTTTTTAACGTATACAGAAAATGATAAGAAACAAACCTCTTATAACGGTGTTCTTAAATTCAGTCGGTCAGTATTGACTTTCCAATGTGTAGATAATCATGATACATTGATAAGTATTTGAATTCAATCTAAGTATGAAGGAGCAGATGATCAATTCATGAGAATACTACTATCTTTACTAAGTGTATTCTATGCAGCTTCATAGAATTGACTTCAGGGATAATACCACTAAAGTGAAGACATGATGAACTACCGCTTCGGATAAAACATTCTTCGTCAGTAGAACAGCGACTCATTTACCTATGTAATAGAATTTCAACCAGTGGAAGATAGATTCATGCCTTTCTACAATCACCATGGTTAGGACAGCAAGGTAGTACCATCAGTCGTTACATAACAAGTGTGTGTGTGTGTGTGTGACGAGATATAACGTTTTACACATCAATTGAAAAGCGTCAAACAGACAAACCATGCATAATATTCACTAACCGGTAAGCCAAATAAATCAAGTAATAGACCATGTGCAGTTCCTTCACAATGATACTGTCTTGACGAAGATGATGATGATGTGAACTGATCCAGTAACAAAGAAGAGCTAAATACTGATGATGGTATACGCTTTGAAAGACTGTCAACTGGAACATACCGTGCGTGTAGACAACCTAAACTTTGTGCCATAACTCTGAATGGAAAATCTGACGTAGGCATAGATGAAGAAATAACATCAGTGTTATTATCTTTTCGATTCAATTGTTTACAGTAGACTTCTTCATGAATCATTCTAGCATAGATTGGTTTCGACCAAGCAAATAAACAAATTTTTGAACTTTTATCAGTATATTCAACAGTTGACAGACTAGTACTACTACTAATGTTAGAGTCATTGCCTTCTGTCACAGGTAGTAGTGTAACAACCTAACAAGAAAATAAAAAATTAAAATTAGCTGTGTATATGATATAAAAATAATGACAATAGTATTAAAACTACGGGGTTAGTAGTTGCTAACACAACTACAAATCATGAAAAAACTGTCAAACACTTCCGTTCAATAAAATAAATTAACATCAGAGTGTACTTTGATTTCGCGTCAGACATCTGGAATCAATCCACACGAAATCATTACACCTCACATTTTCTGGAACTCATCAAAGTCTAAGAGCCAGTTTACAAGCAAACCTGCCCTACAGAACTCGATAAGTACTAAAAACATAAGAATTATGCATTGATTATTTTATAAGGCGAATCTATGGCTTGATTAGTTGCAAGTAAACAAACTGTGAGGAACGAGAAGAGGGGGATACGCTGGACTGGGCAAAAAACATCCTACAAGATTTCGATTTCACCGATCACTTGTGGCACAAACTAGAAGATCTACACGCGAAAAAAACAAGTTGACAGAATACTTGAGGCACGACAGCGAAGACAGGACTTCAAGTGAACATAAAGAAGACAGAGGTGATGATGATACCAAACCAACACCACACCACCACCACCACCAACAACAACAACAACAGGTTCCAATCACATCAACGGGAGAAACTTAAACGAAGTAGCCTCTTTCACCTTCACATATCTAAGAAGCATCGTCTCAACTACAGCGGCACAGGCACACATCACGACGTCAAAGCAGCAAACATCGCAAACACAACAAGACAGGCCTCGCTTCATCAACCTCAAATCAGTGTGGAGATCTTCTGAACTCCACTCAGCATAAACAGTGAACAACATCCAGATTTTCAACACCAATGTCACTCAAGTCACTGCTTCCACGGGATGGTTCAGAGACTTGGCGCATCACGAAAGACATTCCCAACAAACTACAGATAGTCATCAACAAATGCCTACGCTGGCTACTTACTGACACTCAAGATCAGATGTCCAGAATAACAAGAATAAGCAACAAGCAACTCTGCTTAGCTGGCAACCAACCAATAACCCATCACTCAACAAATATGCAGAAGGGAGTGGAGATGGATTCGACTGGACTGGGCAAACACTGGGAAAACCATTCGGGGACATCATGCGCCAGGCCAGTTCCTCGAGTGGAACCCAGATGGGAGACCACGAGTTGGTTGTTGGAGGCGAGGGTGACATGGAGGAGATGGTGTGAGGCAGAAACGAGAGGTTGTGGGTTGTCGTGGAGCCAGCTTCAAGAGGTAGGAGATAACAGAGTATAGTGGAGGCGTGCTACTGAAGCGATGTGTTCCACGAGGAACTTAAGTGACAAATATATTAATTAAACAAATATGAATTTCATACCATAGGGTGAATACATCGAAGATACAGGCCTTTCAGAAAACATAAAACTTAAATATTCATGTCTGATAGAACTCATCAACCGCTGACTGACAACATACTTCCAATTCTATAGTAAGATATGCAAACACATGAAAAGAACTCAAATCGCATCACCGATATCCCCACTAATCGCACAAGCAGTAATGCTGACACTACAACCCATCATTCTACCTGTGACCAAAACAAAAATCTGGATTCCCTATATGCACCACACTTCTGTTATCATTAAAAAAACAACATGATATAGAAAACACTAACACTTTCATCAACACCCTCTTCACTGACGTCAAATTCACAATCCACAACAACCAGTCAAACAACCAACTACCATCCCAGCATGTTTTAGTCAATAGGACAAATACTGGAAAGCTGCAAACCCAACTGTACACGAAGCCAACACACACCAATCAAATCATCAACTACACTAAAAACACACAAAATTAGTTCCATCCACACTCTATTCAAAACAACAAGAACACACTGCACTACAACAACATCACGGAGAAATCAACAAAATTATTTGATGTCCACCCTAAAGAAGAACGGCTACCCACGAGTCTTTATTATCACAACATGCCTATCCCGTACATCATCAACCACAAAGTCACAGACACAAATCAAAACATCCATCAGCCTACCATACATAAAGGATGTATCGGAAATCACAACAAGATTTATGAGACCACTTGGAATTGGTGTGGCCAATCATAAACCAACAAATTCTTTCCAAATACTACTATGCAGACCAAAGGATGCAACAAGGAAAGAAGACAAACTGAATATCATTTACAAAATCAACTGCAATAACTGTAGTCAGCACTACATTGGACAAAGTGGTCGCCCACCTTCTCCTTCGTCTACATGAACACCAAGTGGCTATTAAACGCCACGACATTTCATCATGCATCTCTCAATGCATGCAGATAACAACTATGGACATGAATTGAACTTCGACAATGTACAAATATTGGAGGGAGAGAGGAAACACAAAGAATATCAGAGAATTTATAGAACCTTGGCATTCAGGTCAGTCAGTCAGCAATCAGTAGATGTGTAGACAGGAAGGTCAAAGGTCAAGCACAAAAAACAGCCAACAGGGAAATCTATACAGTCAATAACACAAGAATCAAAGGAAACAACTAATCACAGATCACATCGTCATAGCAAGCCAGTAAATCACTCACTTCATACTGAAATTAGTGCTGATGATGTTGGTGTCTAGCAAGACGATGAAATCTCCACGATTAAATAACCCAGCTCCTCAGAGAATACAATACAACCAAGGCATACTAGTGTCCCATGACTAAATTATAAACTAAGTAGAGTATCCACTATTAGTGTCCAGGGTTCCTGAGGAATGATGCCAAACACCTACAATTATAGTCATGAAAGTTAATCATACTCTGCATCAACTTTCAAAAAAACTAAACAGTTAAGATGAAGTCAAAATGGTATGATCGAGTACGTATTCAGTATTGATCTGTAGGTCAAATTAAAAGAAACCGGTATATAACGAAAAAGATTACCAGATTAAACAACTTCCGATATATGATGAAAACTGATCAATTCTGATACTAACCCTAACTCAGGTATGAAGAAAGAGATATTCCAGCGAACTGAAATATAAGTAATCCTATTGATGATATAAATGAGAACTTACATCACATGGTCTATGCCATTGTCCTGTTGAATCTAATAAAATTGGGAATTGTCTTAAATGTACCAATAAATGGCTTTTATTCAATTCTGCATCAATATTCATCATGGATAAATCTTGTCGTTTTGTTTGCTTCATTATACTTTGACTAGTTTCACCACTGCCTTCTTTTTTATTCTCATCATTTAATCTGCATTGAGTTAAATATTCTTCACGTAGACAATAATCTAATAATGCATACCATTGACTTAGTTGTTTATTGAAGTCATATAAAGACTTAGTGTATGATAACAATGACATTTTGTGTTTATTATTTAGAGTATTTGGTAGATTGGGACGTAGAGCGAGAACTTCATCAATTGTTGAAGTTGATGGTAACTGTGAAAGATGAAAATAGTCAGTTATTAAACAAATAATTGTAATTTAAGAAAAGCTTTATTAAAATTCTTTTAACTTGGCAACTGATTCAACACTACGTAATACTACAAACATTGATCAATTTCATTCAACAATTATATGAAGACGCCAAATGTCAAGAAAATCATAATGGGAGGCTCAGTGATGCCTTTGAAGTGAAGACAAGAGAAAGACAAAGCTGCCGTCTACCATCACCAATGATTCCCCAGATTGTGGTGGACTGGATCATGTAGCAAACAGCGAGAAATGAGGAGAGGGGGATACGCTGGACTGCGCAAAAAACATCCTACAAGATTTCGATTTCACCGATCACTTGTGGCACAAACCAGAAGATCTACACGCAAAAACTAACAGGTTGACAGAAGACTTGAGGCACGACAGCGAAGATAGGACTTCAAGTGAACATAAAGAAGACAGAGGTGATGATGATACCAAACCAACACCAACACCATCACCACCACCAACAACAACAACAACAGGTTCCAATCAACATCAACGGGAGAAACTTAAACGAAGTAGCCTCTTTCACCTTCACATATCTAAGAAGCATCGTCTCAACTACAGCCGGCACAGGCACACATCACGACGTCAAAGCAGCAAACATCGCAAACACAACAAGACAGGCCTCGCTTCATCAACCTCAAATCAGTGTGGAGATCTTCTGAACTCCACTCAGCATAAACAGTGAACAACATCCAGATTTTCAACACCAATGTCACTCAAGTCACTGCTTCCACGGGATGGTTCAGAGACTTGGCGCATCACGAAAGACATTCCCAACAAACTACAGATAGTCATCAACAAATGCCTACGCTGGCTACTTACTGACACTCAAGATCAGATGTCCAGAATAACAAGAATAAGCAACAAGCAACTCTGCTTAGCTGGCAACCAACCAATAACCCATCACTCAACAAATATGCAGAAGGGAGTGGAGATGGATTCGACTGGACTGGGCAAACACTGGGAAAACCATTCGGGGAGATCATGCGCCAGGCCAGTTCCTCGAGTGGAACCCAGATGGGAGACGACGAGTTGGTTGTTGGAGGCGAGGGTGACATGGAGGAGATGGTGTGAGGCAGAAATGAGAGGTTGTGGGTTGTCATGGAGCCAGCTTCAAGAGGTAGGAGATAACAGAGTGTAGGGAGACATGCAACTGAAGCGGTGTATTCCACTAGGAACCCAAAGGACAAATAATATATACAATATAATAATAAAATTACCTTAGTAGGTGATATCAGATATAGAGTTTCAAGCAACAAATACGTATTTCTTAACAAAGTTATAGGGAGACAGAAAGGTGAATTTTAATGTAGATTTTGTGCTCTTCACAACACCCAATGATTCATAATATGATTTAGCCATGCATCGCATATCTGAATGTAAATATAGGTTCTATGACTTGAGTACACAAATGACACTATAGGTATTTACAAAGTAATAATTGTGAGGAATAAAGTGGTATATAAAACCTGTACCCAGTCACTGAATTGCACGCAGAAATAATGCACTTTCATTTCGCCCTGCACAATGTGGCTGACAAAAACTAGATAGTATAAGTCCTCAAACAATAAGTGTGGCTCATTAGGATCAGCTCAGCAACTAGGTGCACGTTCGTGCAGTAAGGAATGAGCAACATCCACAGCGTGAGAGATTTCCAGATCATAGTAGGTACATCAGGTTTTGAACGCATGATATATCGGTTGTAAATCGAGTGCCTAGACCAATGAACCACAGTCCGAATATGGCTCATTGCCTAGTGCATGAGTATGTAAACGATTGTTGGATGCATTACAAGTTTTATTGTTGTTTTTGTCGATTAAACGTATGACCGGCAGCCTGTGTAGTACCACCTGCATGCAATGAAATCAAAGAATGAGCAATGCATATAGACTTGTGAGGTTTTACTGATCGTTAAAGTGTGTGCCACATACACACGCACACACATACACCCACGCATAATGTCAACTGGAGCAGAATAACATTGAAAAGAGACTAACAGAGATTATAGAAAAGCATTGGAGAAACCAGGTTCTAATTAAGTCAGTTGAGATGGTGTAAGCTCCCCGGTTAGGGTACTTGAGATAAGTGAAATCGCTGATTAAAAACTTCCTCAGATGTGGATTACAATTAGCGTCCATAATCGACAAAAATCTACAACTTATCATCTTGGCATACTCTCACTATATTGGGATGAAATGTGACACATAAGATTGATATGCAGTTATATTGTCTTCAACACGATTGATATTTCTTTAGAATAGATCATCTAGAACAATGTGGAAGTTCTTGATGTGCTTTATGCCTTCCCAATATCAACTGCATAACTTCCTCAAATTAATATTTCAATGAAACTTATTTCAGCGGTACAATGAACTAACATTCAATTTCTTTTCTATAAAGTATTGTTAGTACAACTATATATTGTTTTAATAATAAATAAATTACGGTAAAATCAGTATTTGACTATCTGAGATAGCCATAGTTTAGCAAACTAGTATTTATGCTGGGAGATGATTGAAGGTGAGATGAAAATCTGGACCGCACCTGGACTCGAACCAACGACCACCGGGTTACCGGGCCAGGTGCTCTACCAACTGATCTACGAGACCCAATTGCTGACCAGAATTTTATTTCACTTCAATTACCAAGGGTTTTTGTCTAACTACCATGTGAATTCATGACGTGTTACTACCGCTTGACTGGTAGTTTAAGTCCAGACCGGTCACGTGAATATAGACAAGACAGAAGTGATGAAGATACCGCACCAACAACTCCAACAACAACAACAACAAACTCCAGTCACCATCAACGGTAGAAACTTAAAGGAAGTAACCTCCTTCACCTATCTAGGAAGCACTGTTTCAACTACAAGCGGGACAGACAAGGATGTCAAAGTCAGCCAGGATCGCAAAAGCAAGACAGGCGTTGATTAGCCTGAAACCAGTGTGGAGATCTTCTGCACTCAGCATGTAGAACAAGATCCGAATTTTCAACACCAACGTCAGTCAAGTCAGTGCTTCTGTGTGATGGTTCAGAGACTTGGAGAGTTACGAAAGGGATTTCCAATAAACTACAGACATTCATCAATAACTGCCACCTACGCTGGCTCGTTACTGAAGATCAGATAGCCGGAATAGTCAGAATAAGCAAGAAGGAGCTCTGGGAACGAACCAAGCAAGAAGCTATCGCTGAACAAATATGCATTGGAAGGAAGTGGAGATGGATTGGGCTGGGCATACACTGAGAAGGCCGACTGGGGACATCACGCGTCAGGCCAGTCAGGTCCTCGAGTGGAACCCCCATGGGAAGCGACGAGTTGGGCGTCCGTGGTGAGGGTGACATGGAGGAGATCGTGCGAGGAGGAAATGAGAGCTTCTGGGCTGCCGTGGAACCAGGTTCAGAAGATCTCAGAGAACAGAGGTCACTGGAGACGTGCTACTGAAGCTCTATGTTCTATTAAGAACCCAAGGGACTAATAATAATAATAATAACAATAATATCAAATAACTTACACCAAGCCTTTCAATGAAAAACTGACGAGTTTCTAAATTATAACATTTCGACAAGGCAAATACACGTGGATGATTTGTAGTCTTAACATGAAGAGATATTTGTTCATCAATATTCTCTGAAGAGTTTATCAGTATACACTGATCATCTAAATATTCACTAATATCTTCATCTTTATCAACATCCACATCATGAAGAGAAATAATTGATGTATTTATTTCTTTATGATAATAATTAGAATTGAAAATATGATCTATAGTAATTGACTGCCAACAGACAATATCAATGTTAACTAAATGATAGATAGGTGTATATTCATCAAGATTATCATTCATATCGACTACAGGTGTATAACCAACATTTGACCAATGAAATCGTTTTCTAGGCATTACTTTAATTGGTGTCAATTTGGAATCAGTATGACAAATAGGACAGTCATAATCATTGATTTCAACGATAACATCAACTTCCTCATTATCATTATTATTGTTATTATTATCTTTACGTGAACGTTTACACATATATTTTGATGTAATTGTTCTTGGACATTGAACTAGAATGCATGGATAAGCAGAATTAGCAAATATAGATCGAAGCCAATATGTTAAAGACTTTTCAATACTTGTATTCATAGTTTGTAAATAATCTTCACGTAAATAATACTGTACAGCAGTACGATAAATAAACAACATTAAATCTGGTGTTAACTTAGGTAGATTTAAAGGGTTCTCTTTGGCTTTATGACCCAAACATTTCATTAAACTCTAAAAGAACAGGGTAAAATGATAACAAATATATAAACATGAATATTCAGCTATAATATTTCAATGTAAAAAAAAGAGGCTAATATAATTCATCATTCCAAAACCTTTGTGTGTGATGGAGGATATCTCCAGCTCAAGTGGATGATCTAACACTTTTGAGTACTACGCTATGAGTTAAAATGAACGTATACATTCATATAGCGGTTAAGTTAGAAGTAGGTAGAATCAGGTTTGAAGTTGAAAAGCAAAAACTTGACTCATCATCATCAATATCAACATAGGACCAGGCATTACTGCGTAATAGTCCAAGTTGCCACACCTCATATCAGTACATCAAGTAGTAAGGCAGTGAGATGAAAGATGAAGATAAGAGAATGTAGTCAAAAGAAATATAAAGTACGAGAAGAAAGAAAGGAAGAATGAGAAAATGATGATATTCGGTGTAGTGTTAAGATGAGGATAATGTGTGTGGGCATACGTCTGCACCATTGACATCGGTTCTAAGCCATATCCTCTAGAATCTCCAGTATTACTTGACTATTTAATACACAAGGTAATGGATAAGATCGTCTTTCTGAATTCCCCATGCTTATCACTGTAATGAGCTTAAGAAATATGCAATTCAGTAGTCATGTGTACGCTCATGCATAAGACGACAATGAACCACATCAATTGTGAGCGGGTTACACCTCAGTAGACAGATACACGCTCTGACTCACAAATGATTGATTGAAACTTGAGTACGTAAATTAATAGGATAGACAGATAAAATCAACGTAGAACCTCATACACAAGTGCATCGATTCAAGGTGCCACACTTCATCGAAATGAACGCTACTGGAAATATTCAAGCCTCAAAGATGCAATAAATCTGCTCCATTTCACCAAAAGTCTCCAACAACTGATTTTCATCATTTCACTGACCCCAACCAGATAGTTTATATCTCCAAACACATCTGAGACCAACAGTCAGGGATTTTACGCACTGGTGTTAGGTCTTGGTTTGCCGGTCCTGAACCCTCTTCTAACCTTATCCATTTCCACAAACTATGGTGCATCGAGGTAGGCGATGGATCAGCATATGCAACACATGCCCCAGCCACTTCAGCCGATGAAGGTTCACAACCTCATTAATCAACTTACCAATGCAGCAGATTGAAAGTCAAAAGTTCTCAGAGGACCATCATATTTATGACCAACTATCCAATGTTGGAGAATGTTGTGAACAAAGGAATCTGATATGGCTATTGAGTAAAATAATCTATAAAAATCCCAGTGTACTGCGCCTTTTCACACATGATGATGAGGTCATAAGTTTAATCAACTTAGAAAAAAGAATTGGGCTGACTAGTTATCTGGTAACAAAATTGTAGAATCGCTTCACCTCTGTTAGCAAATGGGCTGCTATGCGGATACCTCGATAGTGCCGGATATTCATGACGTTATATTGATCTTGGCGACTAGGAAAGGAATCTAGGACGCACGTTTCGTCCCATTTGAGACTCGTCAGCTGATCGAACAATTCGGTTCTGTATAGCAACAAGTAATCACAAGTATCATAACAACAACTAATACTCGTTGCATAAGGGGTAGCTATCGTGTTCCAGTGGCTTGCTGGGTAACGCTCTAGCATCTGAAGCAAAGGGTACTGGATTCGGACCTCAGTGGGAAGGACATCAATCACTTGGCCAAGTTGACTTTTGAAAGTAGTTAGTTACTATTAATCTTGATGGCTAACAGAGGAATGCAGGATGCGCGTTTCGCCCCATTCGGAACTCGTCAGCTAGATGTACCTACACCCTAGTGAGTGACGTCCTTCCCACTGAGGTCCGAATCCAGTACCCTTTACTTCATATGCCAGAGCGTTACCCACCAAGCCACTGGAACACGACAGCCACCTCCTAATGTGCTTAAGACAATAAATGCAGTGAAAAGTAATGAAGAAAAAATAAAGCGAAAAAACCTACTTCAAATGTTGATGGCGCCAGTTGGTTGATAAGACCAATTGCTTTTGTAAATTGACAATCTGGTGGATTTTTAAGAATATATCCACCAGGTGACCAAATATAACATGTTTCTTTAAGCAGTTTTGATAATTGTGGATTCTGAGATTCCAAATGGAAAAAAGCTGAAGGTGAATAAATCATTTGTGAATTAATTGGTTGAAGTAGTTGAATTGGAGAATTAGGTTGAATTTGTTCAACAGGTAACCAAGCAGTTTCACGTAGTTTGTTTAACCATGATGCATAAGATAAATAGTGCAATGTATCAACAACAACATTAGGTAAACCTGAAGTTGAATTCAATTTCTTCGATATATTTGTAGATGAATTCATTTGATAATCAACTTCAATTTTCATATGTTTATAGAATGCTGATTGAACTCTTGAAAAAGTTAGACAAGTAGAAATCAAATAAATCATAATTGAAATTATCGTGTAATTATTAAATGTAAGAGAAAGACTTGGGCATTGCATTATTTTATTTGTTCCTTAGGTTCCTAGTGGAATACACCACTTCAGTAGCACGTCTCCACTACACTCTGTTATCTGCTACCTCTTGAACCAGTCCAGTCCAATCCATCTCCACTCCCTTCTGCATATTTATTGAGTGATGGCCTATTGGTTGGTTGGTTGCCAGCTAAGCAGAGTTCCTTGTTGCTCATTCTTATTATTCTGGCCATCTAATCTTCAGTATCAAACCAGTATAAGCAGTTGTTGGTGAATGTCTGTAGTTTGTTGGAAATCCCTTTCGTAATGCGCCAAGTCTCTGAACCATTCAAAAGCACTAACTTGACGTTGATGTTGAAAATCTGCGTCTTGTTCCACATGCTGAGTGCAGAAGATCTCCACACTGGTTTCAGGTTAATGAACGCCTGTCTTGCTTTTCAGATCCTGGCTTTGACGTCCTGGTCTGTGCCGCCTGTAGTTGAGACAGTGCTGCCTACATAGGTGAAAGAGGCTACTTCCTTTAAGTTTCTAGCCTTGATGGTGATTGGAGCTTGTTGTTGTTGATTGGGTATAATTCCATGTTATATAAGTTTATATGATGTAGTTGGCATACATTAAGTGATACGGTGTTATCAACTGGATAACATCTCGAGCACAAGTCACTTCTCATACTCACATAAAAAGTAATCACACGACTTTCAAACTTTATATATAGTCCAACAGTTCATCATTCTTAGAACTTAAAGGTGGAAAAACATTCCACATACATCTGCAATATGTGATGGATCACTCTAGTTACATGAGTTACGTATTGATTCAATGAATAGAGTTTCCATGATCAATCTCTCCATCCATCCCTAGTTCCATTGGATTCTAGAATTGTCACCTTATCCCACCTTACAGTGACGACATGACCAATAGTCAAGAACTTTACGCATTGATGTCATGTTTTAGTCTGGCCACTTTGAACCTTTTTCCAACCTGAACCTCCTTCAGCCAACAATGTGTGATGAGACAGACGGTGGTTAGGCATATGTGACATATGTCCCGAACCTACCCTATAATTGTAATTATGAGTTAGGGCATACAGAGCTACAGCCGAGTTTTTCTTAAAATTACTTTCCTCAATAGGGTCTACCATTGTATGTTCTACTAAAATTTTGTGTTCAGTTATTCTCAATATCTATGATCGGCTGCTTTGATCTCACAATCATTACATAGTGTTTGATAGATTAGGTTAGTTTTCCTAATCAACTAACTCTACTGGATCTTTTAGCGTACACAGCTTTATTGTGAGCTAACTCATGGGTTTCAATGCTAACCTAATCCCAGCAATGCCAAGAACTTCACGTAAAATCTCCGATATGCCTTCTCTATACGGCAACACTATGTAGGTATGTTCCAGTGACGACTAACATTACCATTCTTTCTTTTATCAGTTCTAATAAACCTTTTTTAATTAATTTGGTAGAGTAGTTATTCGGAAGTAGTGTATGTCTGGTTAAGTCAGTGCTGCTATATGGTTCAGAAACTTGGAGCGTCACGAAAAGCATTTCCAACAAACTACAGACACTCATCAACAACTGCTTACGCTCGTTACTGAAGATCAGATGGCCAGAAAGAATAAGCAACAAGGAACTCTGGTCTGGTAAGGAACCAGCCAAGAACCTATCGCTTAGTAAATTTGCAGAAGGAAGTGGAGACGGATTCGACTGGACTGGGCACATACTGAGAAGGCTGACTGGGACATCACGCCCTAGGCCAGTTACTCGAGTGGAATCCAAAGAGGAAATGACGAGTTGGGCGTTCGAGGCGAGGGTGACATAGAGGAGATAGTGTGAGGAAGAAATGAAACCTTGTGGGCTGTCGTGGAGCCAGGTTCAAAAGGTAGCAGATCATAGAGTGGAGTGGAGACGTGCTACTGAAGCAGTGTATTCCACTAGGAACCCAAGGGATAAATATAAATAATAATAATAATAGTGTGTCTGGTATGTTTTAGTTCTTTATTCAAGTTTTCTGACTTACTAGTCAAACTCCTATCCTGATTACTTAGACATTTTATCAAGTCTACTTTCAAAGATATAGAGTGACATTGTGTTCAAAGACAAGCTACTTTGACTATGAAAAATAATCTGAAGGGATGGCTTTCTAGTTGTATAACACAATCATCAATCAAACTTCGTTCATATCTGACAACAAAATGAAAAATAAAACTGAATAATTTGATGAAAATTATAGCGAATTAGTCAGTTAGTCATGAGGGCAGACGTTCACACATGATATTGCATGATGGTTGGATTGTTTCGCAAATAGACGGAAAAAGATTGTAAATTGGACAACCCGAGATTACAACTCGGTAACTAGACAGAATATTGTATGTACCCAGAGATTTAAAGAGGCTTTATTCCTTCATGTATCATGAAGTTAACATAAGAAATGCACTCATCATTCTTGCGCACGTTTGTACAGTAGACAATGAGCCTCATCTACTGTACTGGGCGTTGCTGATAACAACGGATATAGGTAGTATATATCGAGAGGGTGGCAAGAATCGTAGGAAATCACCGGCAATGGGTAAGGTTTCTGTCAAGAGCAACGCAGTGGACAACACAGGCGTTTTACAGGGGATTCTGCTGATAAGAGTGTATGAAGAGCTGGTCAAGAGCAAATCAAGACAGGAACGGAGAGGAAACGAAGACACTTTCAAATGGCTGCGTGAGTGCAAGGAGTACCATATGTAACCACTACCATTCCAACTGTTCGTAATAAGCATTCTCTCGTCGAGTTGTCTTCTGTTCTTCACCACTACCTGACTGCTCAAACCTTAGTAGGTGAAGTAAGGTTCAAACCCACAACTCACCCTTTGGAAATAAATTGTATAGACCAATGAACCGTAGATCTAACAGGATAATAGACATACACACAATTGTGACCTTGAAAAGAAAACTTACGCTTCATATGAAGACCAATTGTCGTGAAGTAAACAGCTTAAACGTTCTGCTACACTCTTCCCAGTAGTCTTGTCCTGAAGCCGAGATATACACGTCAAAAGTAGATCCATACCAGGTGAAATGTAGTCTTCGATTAACCATACTTCATCGTTTACACTACTATGCTTCGATGATTCATTGATAATAGTTGACGTTGAGCCTAGTTTGCTCAATGCTTCAGCCATCAGCTTTTCTAAACGATGATTTTTAGGTAACTGTATTATGTCTTTTGATAAGGTGGATAATTTAACATCAGTGTTAGTAGTAGTAATCGCAGTAGTAGTAGCTGACTGATAAACATATTTAACCTTATGCACAGACAGTAAAGTACACACACCTAATGGGAATAGAAAAAAAACATTGAAGAAATTAGTAGTAACAAAACACTAGTGAATATTATGAATCTATACTTATTGTCTAGGTGATGAAGATACCCAACCAACAACAACAAGCACCAGTCACCACCCACAGGAGAAGCCTAAATGAAGTGTTCTCTTTCACCTACCTATCTAACTACCTAGGCACCATCCTCTCAACTACTAAACGGCACATGCACAAATCACGATATCAAAGCCACCATCCCAAACACACCAACACACGCCCTCCTTCATTATTCTCAAATCAGTGTGCAAATCTACTACACTACACTACACTCAACACAAAGTGTGAACAACATCCGCATTTTCAACACCAACATCAGTCACGTAAGTCAGTACTTCTACGTGATGCCTCATACACCTGGTGCATTACCAAAAACACTTCCAACAAACTACAAACATACATCACATCAACACCTACCATCCACAATCAATCACTCGATACTCAACGTCGATCACATGCACAGAATAATAAGAATAAGTAACAAGAAACTCTGGCTGGCTGGCTGGCTGGCAATCAACCAACCAACCAACAACCTATCGTCCAACAAATATCCACAACAAAGTGGAGATGGATTGGGCATGCACTGAGACGATTCGCGGACATCACGTACCAGGCCAGACCAGGCCAAGCCCTCAAGTGACAGCCAAATGAAAACGACCAGCTGGGCGTCTGAGCTGAGAGTCACATGGAGCAGATTGTGCGAGGAAGAAATGAAAGGTTATGGGCTGTCGTGGAGCTAGGTCCAAAAGACTGCAGAGAAGAGAATGAAATGGCAACGTGCTACTGAATCCCTATGTTCTACTAGGAACTAAAGAAACAAATAATAATAATACACTTATTGTCTGCTGGAAGTTGAAATCATACCCCTTCCCCTCCATTTAGAATTTAAAACCGCATGCCTGAGAGAGACATCCAACTTTAATAATGACTAGTGAACACTTTTATTCGACAGGAATACCTTTTCACCACTTGCATAGTTGCCCAGTTGCATTTGCATATAGAACTCGGGAGGGGGTTAGCGGTAAAGTGATATTCTTGAACAGTTCATAGAGAGTTAATCAACATCACAATAATCACACTTTGAAACAGAAGCAGGAAATTGAAAACATGAATAGTAAAAGGTAATTATCACTAGCGTAGTAATAGTGGAATGTAGGAGGTAGATTTCGTCCAGTTGAGACCCAACAACTGGATCTACCTATTTTCAAGTGAGTAACGTTGTCCCAAATAAGACTACAACCCATGAATGATCACTTTAAAAATTACAGCAATAACATGAAAACCACACCCGTTTTACAACGAGTTGCTACCGTGAATTAGTAGCGCAGTGAGTGACATTCTCAGTGCAACCATTATTCACTAGGATTTAGGTACATTCACCAGCTGACGAATCACGAGTTGGTCGAAACGCACTTCTTGTATCCCCAATGCTAGCAGCTATCGATCATAATCATCAAAGTGAAATTATACACAATATCGAAGTATCTGTGCAGGAGATCGAACGATTCAGTCAAATCAACAACGGGATACAAGCAATAGTCTGTCTATGAACTACACTTCATGGAGTATGATAACTAAGGTAGGTGGAGGGGCGGGGGAGTTGAACCAGTGACCAGGTGATTGATAATTGTATATGCCGATCATACAATTATAGTTTCGTTACGGGAAGTCAGTAGAATACGAAATTTATCTTTTAGGACAGTGCAATATTCTATACTTGTAATGAAACTTGGGAAGAAAGAATACATTGTAATCGATTCTGAAGTATAATATGAGTAACAGGTTCAGCAAACTTATTCCTAAAACAGAAAATCTCAGACAAGAAACCATATGCAATAAAGACGCTTTACTCATCAACAACTACCCTCCCAAGTTCCTTAGGAGTCATAAGAAAAATAAACCTAATATTAGTAACATATGTTAATAGTGGTAATAATAATGTTAATAATAGTAAAGGCAATACTGCGAAGAGAAAATTCAAAATCTCTACAGTATTACCATACAAAGAGGGCACCTCAGAGACAGTGTAAGATTCTCAATAAAGTTGGCTGGGATTAGAGTGGCATTTAAACAAGCTTTATAGGTTAAAAGATCCTACTGATCCAATTAGGCAACAATTGTGAGGGCAAATACATAGGTCAAAGTAATCGACCCAGGTCAATTAGGCTATCCGAGCACAAAACATCTAGGTAAATCAAAATTAGTAGATCCCAGTAAGGTAAGGAGTTTAGAAAAATGCTCACCCATAGCTAAGCATACAATCTCACACAACCACATAATAGACTGATTAAGACAGAGTGAAAGTCCTTCAACTTAACATGGCAAGGTGGAGGAAGAGATTGATAACTGAATCTTTGTTAATCCAATCAACAACACTTAACGTATACAACAACAGGAATGACTAAGAATCTGTTCCGGAGATATATGGGTAATCTTATTACCTATACAACAAAGAAGGTTACGAAATTAGGACTCTATGATGAATGTCTCATCTTTATATATAAACCATTCAACAGCCTACTCAATTTATTCTTATTCATTCCTTTTTGCATAACAAAAATGAGTCCTATGTAGGAGGCAGAGAGTTAAACAATTAAACAACAATGTATTTTTTTTTAGATGAATGGGGATTTTAATTTAGAAGTAGTATTCAGCATAGACTGATATCATTTGAGGAGCAGTTGGGAGCTGGGAGCACTAAATAGCTGTTTGGCTGAATAGCTAAAACATTCACCATGAAACCTGAAGATCGTGATTTCGATTCCTAGCCACGTTCATGGATGCATACTACTGAGGAGTTCTATACTAGGATGAAACGGTTGTCCAGTACTCCTAGATATCAGTCCATGATGAATACTACTCTTAAATTATATAACAGTCTATAAAAGGCAATTACACTTACCAGCACCAGAAAATAGATTAAACCATCGACAACCTTGTCGTTGATCAGTTGAAAACTCTTGAAAATATCTTGATGATACTGTATATATACAATCAGAATCATTTATTTGATCAACTAAGAATTTAAATAAATCAACTTCTAATTCTTCCATAGAATTCTTGTTACAATCTCTTATCAATGAAGGAGTAATAATTGTGAATGAAGCTGGTGGTAAAAATATTGATTCCATACGTCTAAATCCATTCTCAGAGCATAATGCTGGTAAGATACGATTCTCATTGAGTTTATTTGAAACTACTATTGGTAACATAGTGGGAAATTCATATTCACACAATGATGTTATACATAATTGATTGAAATTCATATCAATTGAAGCATAGAATTGTCCAATTGTTAGGCACCAATTCATTTTTTTCTCTAAATCTTCATATACACCTTGATATAAATCTTTTAAATAAGGTATTATCCATTCTTTGAGAACAATAAAAGGTGTAGCAATTTGTAATCCTAAACCAATTGGTGATTCATTGATTAATAGGTAAGAAAATTCTTTATATACACCATGATGATTATGAAATGCATCTGGTTTTACTAATGGGCCTAATTTGCTCAACATTTGTATATAATCATCTATAAAGGAAATGACAAAATAAGCAGAGAATATTAAGATATACAATTTATGAATCCATATATTATGCAAGGATACACATATAGGTATCATATACTTTATTAACTACCCATCTAACTTACTTTGAACACGTAGGATACAGAAAAAATAGTTTGTATATCCAATGACACTAACTTCATAGCATAGAGTAAGAATATAATCAAAGGAAACAAGACTGCTAGCATTACAAGTTAAATGAGTGACTGACCACCGTTCTTTTCGTAGTATAGGTCATATTCAGTGATCCCACCGCATGAGTCACTTGACATGGTTGTGAACCTTCATTGACTCAGATGGTTGGGATACGTGTTATGCATGCCTAGTCACCGTCTCCTTCATCACACAATATTGACCGAAGTAGGTTCAGACTGGAAAAAGACACAAGGCATCTAGACTAAAACATGACATCAATGCATGAAATCTTTGACTGTTGGTTTGAGCCATGTGCGCCGATACAGACTAGCCGGTTGGTGGTGTGAGGGATAAAAGAAACCAGTAGTTGGAGACTCTACATGATGACATGGCTGAGAACTCATGCCAGTGGTGCAGCTATACAGAATTTCACCACTTTTCTCATTCTTTCTTTCTGCATTTTTACTTGATGTACTGATATGAGCTGTGGCAACTCAGAGTGCCACGCACTAATGCCTGGTCGTACGTTGATATTGATGATGATGATGAAAGTATCTTGATTAGACGTCAAAAAGCTGTGCTCAAGCACAACATTGCATATCCAATAAAGAGTATAATGAGCAAATTATTTCAACTGTTCCAGCATCCTATCCTGAGATACAGATAGCACAATTAGAGCTGCTAAACTTCAACTCACTTCATCATAATTCATTGGAAATAAACTGTGTTAGCGGAAAATACTCTTAACTACAAACATTCTTCATAAGTTTCTTTATGCTATAAGTGCTTGATGAAATCATTCACTTCACTGTTACAAAAATTTCACCTCGATAGAGAGATATCAATATGTATGATAATGTTGTTGCATGCATTATCCCATCAATGACTGGACAGAATTGATACATCCTTACAGCAATATGGGCTCCTGTATGAATGCCTTGATATTGCCTGTTGTTTCAATTTTGATACTAATGATAGGTAGTGGCTAGCAGTAGGATCTATAATGCGCGTTTCGTCCTACTTAGGACTCATCAGCTAGTGGATATACTTGCACTAAACACTAAACGATAATATCAACGAATCTTCAGAAACATTCAGGTCACTCGGAACAACACAAGTTAGTGTATACATGTAAGTTGGGTTGAATATAACAGGAGGTTTCTCTTGTTATTAAGATAGACTGGTCGAACTAAATAACCGATCAACGCGTCTTTTAGAGGAGTCGTACGGAAATCTACAAGTTATGTATAACACGAATATTCTTTTCAGCATATAAATTGTATACGTTTACAACACAATTTTCCACTAACCATATGTGATTCCAATTAACAAAGCATCAACTTCAGATGGATGAGGGGGTAACAGGACAATGGGGGAGTATGGGCCCATGAATGTTCTGGTCTATCATCCAATCGTATACATTGACCGTTAGTTAGAGGAAAAATACGCAAATATCGAAGTGTTGCTAATACTCCACTTCTAGTTGATCGAGATGATGGTTCTGATGATGACGGAGATTTATCTTCAGCAGAGAGGCAAGCTTCAAGACTTGATAGTAATACTGATAAAAGACCAGGACGGTGAACATCCTCTAGAGAGAGAAAAAAGAGGATAAAGACATCAGTAGGAAAAATTGACTGAAATTAGGAAATAAGCATAGGTCTTGCTATTTCATATCATTACTTCATATTCAACTTCACTAACTAACTAGTCTTATGGAAAAACCACATTCCAATACAGCAATCAGATGGACGTGAGAACAACACAATCAGTCACAAATATTGTGTTAGGGTTTAAAGTACTACATATTTAGATCTCGGTAGAAGGAAAGTGGGGTTCGAACCCGTCCACAACTGGTTGTAAGTCAAGTGTCTAGACAGACATTAAATCGAAGTAGAACCTTGTATATAAGTGCATCACTTCAAGTTGTAACACTTCACACAAGTACACAAAGGACAAGCGGATACAAAAAAAATTGTTGTCAAAGTAGACAACAGTGTCTGCAAGGAGAGGTAATTTAAAAACCAACCTCATCTCAATGACTCCAGTCAAGTAGTCTACATCTAACTATAACGCTCAGACCAACAGTAAGAGACTTCATCAACCGATGTAACGTCTTGGTCTGGCCGCCCTGAACCCTTTACTAACTTAATCCGACTTTCCCAAACATTGTACGAAGAGGTAAGTGGTGACTCGGTATATGCAACACATACCCAACCTATCTCATTCTAAAACCTTATCGATTGACTTCCTTGCCTTGATAATATGATGGCTTCACCATATGTGAAAGAATGCTATGCAGATACCTGTGATCAAAAACTTATAATAGGATATCTCTTCAGTCGGTGTCACACATGACGCAAGCTGCCAAATGCCAAACAGGACTCCTGTACTTCAATAAGAATACAAACCAATTTATATTATGCTGCAGAAAATTTTGTGTTTCGAACTGCACATTCATATGAAGGCTAGCTAGCTTGAAACCATCAACTGTATCATCTCCATTACAAAATAAGGATTGTTTTCAAAAATTATTCCAGTGACTATATAATTTTGCACATCTAAATTGATTCATTTAACCTCGCCTGGTTAACTAGTTTACTAGTTACTAGCCGGTCCTAAGCCCGGGTAAAGAGGGAAGGTTGGGCATAGGGCTAGCAACCCTACCCCGTAAAACAAATCTAACCGCTAAAGAAACTTCAAAGCACAAACAAAATATAAAAAATGAAAACAAACTTATTCCCCGCTGGAATCGGAGAGGCGAAATGACGCCAGTTGGTGAAAGCCTGCCTTCGGGAAGCCAATTGGCCGATGTGTCTTCTCTCTCTCGATGAAAGCGAAAGTAAACGTGGGGACATGGAATGTCCGCACGATGTTTGAACCCAGTAAGGCAGCCCAGATTGCAAACGAGATGAGAAGGTATAACATCGAAGTGCTTGGGATTTGCGAAAGCAGATGGAATGGGAGTAGACTCTCCAAACTGTCAACTGGAGAATCAATAATCTACTCCGGTCACCCAGACGCCAACCACGAGCACACTGAGGGAGTGGCTATCATGATGTCCCCAAGAGCATCGAAGGCTCTCATGCAGTGGGAACCAATCTCCTCCAGGATCATGACAACAAGATTCAACTCAAAAGGAAGAAAGGTCACAATCATACAATGTTATGCACCTACAAATAATGCAGAGCAAGAGAAAAAGGAGGATTTCTACAGACAACTTCAATCAACACTGGACAAGACGTCAGTTGGCGATATCAAAATTCTGATGGGCGACATGAATGCCAAACTGGGAGGGGACAACACGGGAAGAGAACTAACCATGGGTCGAGAGGCACTAGGTGAAATGAATGAGAATGGAGAATTGTTTGCAGAATTCTGCGCATTCAACGATTTGGTGATTGGAGGCAGTGTGTTCAGGCACAAAGATATCCACAAAGCGAGCAACATGGATTTCACCAGATGGACACACTAAAAATCAAATCGACTTTATCTCAATCTCTAGAAAATGGAGACGCAGTCTACTTAACACAAGGTCAAGAAGAGGAGCAGATGTAGGTTCAGACCACTATCTAGTGCAAGGAACCTTCCAAAACCTGCACAACAGTATTAGGAAGGAAGAAGAAAGAAGACAAGGAATGGATCTCGACAGATACCTGGAAGCTGATAGAGGAGAGGAGGATGGTGAAGCAGAAGATAAACCAGTGCAAGGATGCTCAACGACAAGAGGAACTGAGCACAATGTATAAAACACTGGACAAAGAAGTGAAGAAGAGTGCACGGAAAGACAAAAGACACTTCTACGAAACACTGGCAAGTGAAGCAGAACAGGCTGCAGGTAAGAGAGACCTGACGACATTGTATCAAATAACCAGGTTGCTATCAGGGAAGAGACCAACACAGATGAAACCAATAAAAGATGAAGAAGGAAATTTAATTACAAAAGAAGAGAAACAGAGGAAACGATGGGCCGACCACTTCAAGAAGCTCTTGAATCGACCACCACCTGCACTTCGTCCAGAAATACCACCTGCAGCCGCTGAATTACAAGTGAACATAAATCCCCCAACGAAAATGGAAGTCCTGAACGCCATAAAGCTACTGAAATGCGGGAAAGCAGCAGGACCAGATGGAATACCGCCAGAAGCACTGAGAACAGATGCAGAGACAACAGCGGACATGCTCACACCACTATTGCAGAAGGTGTGGAAGGAAGAGAAGGTACCTGACGATTGGAAGAAGGGTTACCTTGTCAAACTGCCGAAGAAGGGAGACCTCAGTGCTTGCAAGAACTGGCGCGGAATCACTCTCCTGTCCACCCCAAGTAAAATATTAAGCCGCATCATCCTGGAGAGGCTAAGGGATGCACTGGATTCAAAACTACGACCGGAACAGGCAGGCTTCAGGAAGTACAAATCATGTGCAGACCAAATTGCAACGCTTCGTATCATCATAGAACAGAGCATAGAATGGCAATCACCTCTCCACCTCAACTTCATCGACTTTGAGAAGGCCTTTGACAGCGTCGACGGAGAGGTAATTTGGAAACTGCTTCATTACTACGGAGTACCGCAAACCTTTATCCGCCTCATTCAACAACTATATGAAGATGCTACATGCCAAGTAATCCACAATGGGAAGCTCAGTGATGCCTTTGAAGTGAAGACAGGAGTGAAACAAGGTTGCCTACTATCCCCCATGATATTCTTGATTGTGGTGGACTGGATCATGCAGCAAACAGTAGGCAGCGAGAAGAGGGGGATACACTGGACGACGGAAAAGAACCTAGAAGACTTGGATTTCGCCGATGACTTATGCCTAATGTCACATAAACTTGAAGATCTGCAGGCAAAAACTAACAAGTTGATAGAAGAGGCAGCGAAGACGGGACTTCAGGTGAATATAGAGAAGACAGAAGTGATGAAGATACCGCACCACCACCATCAACAACAACAACAAACTCCAATCACCGTCAACGGGAGAAACTTGAAGGAAGTAACCTCCTTCACTTATCTAGGAAGCACTGTTTCAACTACAGGCGGGACGGACGAGGACGTCAAAGTCAGAATCGGAAAAGCAAGACAGGCATTCATTAGCCTGAAACCAGTGTGGAGATCTTCTGCACTCAGCATGCGGAACAAGATACGGATTTTCAACACCAACGTCAAGTCAGTGCTCTTGTATGGCTCAGAGACTTGGCGCGTCACGAAAGGTATTTCCAATAAACTACAGACATTCATCAACAACTGCTTACGCTCGCTGCTGAAGATCAGATGGCCAGAAAAAATAAGCAACAAGGAACTCTGGGAACGAACCAACCAAGAACCTATCACGCAACAAATATGCAGGAAGAAGTGGAGATGGATTGGCCATGCACTGAGAAGGCCGACGGAGGACATCACGCGTCAGGCCAGTTGCTCGAGTGGAATCCCCATGGGAAGCGACGAGTTGGACGTCCGAGGGTGACATGGAGGAGGTCGTGCGAGCAGGAAATGAGAGCTTCTGGGCTGTCGTGGGACCAGGTTCAAAAGATCTCAGAGAACAGAGGTCACTGGAGGCGTGCTACTGAAGCCCTATGTTCCACTAGGAACCCAAGGGACTAATAATAATTAAAAAAAATTGATTCATTTGAGTCAAGTTAATTGTCGGCAGTGTAACCGAAAAATCAGTGGAAATCTACCACAGACAACATAAAAAACATAAACGTAAAAGAGACAAAGGCTATGAAGATACCCAACCAACAACAACAACAAGCACCATCAAAGGGAGAAATCCAAACGACGTTGTCTTTTTCACCTATCTACGTGCGTACGTACGTACCTACCTACTTGCCTAGATAACATTTTCTCAACTACAAACGGCTTAGGCACAGATCACCATGTCAAAGACACCAACACATGCCTTCCTTCATTATTCTCAAATCAGTGTACAAATCTACTACACTCAGCATACAGCGTGAACAAGATCCGCATTTTTAACACCAACATCAGTCACGTAAGTCAGTACTTCTACGTGATGCCTCATACACCTGGTGCATTACCAAAAACACTTCCAACAAACTACAAACATACATCACATCACATCAACACCTACCATCCACAATCAATCACTCGATACTCAACATCGATCACATGCACAGAATAATAAGGATAAGTAACAAGAAACTCTGGCTGGCTGACAACCAACCAACCAACCAACAACCTACCGCCCAACAAATATCCAGAACAAAGTGGAGATGGATTGGGCATGCACTGAGAATACTGTTTGTGGACATCATGCACCAGGACAGGCCCTCGAGTGCAACCCAAGTGGAAAACGACCAGTTGGGCATCTGAGCTGAGGGTGACATGCAGTAGATCATGTGAAGAAGAAATGAAAGGTTGTGGGTAGTCGTAGAGCCAGGTCCAAAAGACTGAAGAGAAGAGAGTGCAATGGAGGCGAGCTACTGAAGCCCAAGTCCACCAGGAACCCAAGGGACAAATAATAATAATAATAATCTGGAGGTTTGTAGAGATTTATTAATTGATTTCAGGTTGGAATTCATCATAGACTGACATCATTTGGAGGAACATTGGAAAGCTGTTTCACCCTGGTATGCGACTCCTCAATAGTGCTCACCCACGACTTCGTCGGGGGTCCAACCCGGGATATACAGGTTTCTTTGCCAGTCAGTCAGAATCCCATGGTCTTTATTTCCTACTTCAGTCAATTCACAATACACTACAACTTACATCCAATGTCGTCATTCAGTACTTTTCTTTATGTTCAACTCGGTTGGCTCCATTGGAACTCTAGGAATCACTTCTCGAAGCCAGTCACTAATGAGTCATAGATTAATTCAATCTGAAGGTTTGTAGAGATTTATTAATTGATTTCACGTTGAAATTCATCATTTATAATGATCCATTCATAATAATTCATTGATACATAATAAAATAGAACACTTACTAGGCATCAATTGTATAGCTAAATCCAATAGAGATGAAACTGAAATCGATTTTGCTCCAAGCCAAATTAATGATTCCATTCGAATTCGATTTATCAAATGGTTACGTTGCAGTTTATAACCATCGTCGTCGTCGTCAGCATTAATATCATCACCACCGTAGCTATTAGCAGTAGTAGCATCAGTTGATGCTGCTAACACAGTTGACTTTTTGCTTAAAAATAGATTTGGATGAGGTTCAAACATTTTTAGACAATCGATGAGAAGGTGTAAAAGAACTAAATCAGCATTCATTGAATTCGCCTATAAGATAAAAGATTATAAAGGGAAATAAAACAAAAAGTACTAGTCAATTGATTTACCAACTTATTCCAACTTTCCGAAACATTGTACGAAGAGGTAAATGGTGACTCGGTACACGAAACACATACCCAACCTATCTCATTCTAAAACCTTATCGATTGACTTCCCTGCCTTGCTAATACGATGATTTCACCATATGTGAAGGAATGCTATGCAGATACCTGTGATCAAAAACTTAATAGGATATCCACTAAGAATACTGTTTGCGGACATCATGCACCAGGACAGGCCCTCGAGTGCAACCCAAGTGGAAAACGACCAGTTGGGCATCTGAGCCGAGGGTGACATGCAGTAGATCATGTGAAGAAGAAATGAAAGGTTGTGGGTAGTCGTAGAGCCAGGTCCAAAAGACTGAAGAGAAGAGAGTGCAATGGAGGCGAGCTACTGAAGCCCAAGTCCACCAGGAACCCGAGGGACAAATAATAATAATAATAATCTGGAGGTTTGTAGAGATTTATTAATTGATTTCAGGTTGGAATTCATCATGGACTGACCTCAGTTGGAGGAACATTGGAAAGCTGTTTCACCCTAGTATGCGACTCCTCAATAGTGCTCACCCACGACTTCGTCAGTACTAGTCAATTGATTTGGTTTACAAAAAGATCATCTCATAAGTTATCGATATAAGTTGGAAAGTAGCTAAGTTTCATAAATATTACATGGAGCCAGGAATTAAGCGGTAAATGATGCAGCCGAACAAGCCAGTATATCCAATAAACAACTAATCATACATAATATGCAAGGGTTTAATAATACCATAAAGTTGAACAGGAGAGTGATTTAAACACGGTTTTAAGTGTTATAGACGAGCTACAAGCCTTTTATAAGCCTGAACCTATTTCGGCCAACATTGTGCGACGAGGCAGACGATGGCTGAACATATGTAATATATGTTCCAACCAACCATCTCAGTCGATAAAGGTTCAAAACCATATCAACTCATATCTCCTGTCTACAACTCTACGTCTGACTTCTGTTTTACTCACGTGATGACCCCGTGAAATATGACCTATGCTACGAAGGTAACCGTGGTCAAATACAAGAAGTCTTCTCCCGTATTCTACCTTTAGCACCCATGTTTCACAGCCATAGAGTAGGATAAAGCGGAATTCAGAACAGTACACTCGACCATTAACAGACAACAGGATATCGCGGAGGCGCCACAGATGCCGTAGATTGCCTAAAGTCAACTGAGTCTTTTGTATCCAAGCAGAGATTTCGTCTGCCACTGGTTCACCAGGGCTCATCCGACTTCCCAGGTAAGTGAATTATTCAGCGCGTCCAACTACATCGTTCTTTAATGTTAGTCCAGGTACCGCTGAATACTAATCCTGGAGCAACAATTCGCCCATCGGTATTGAGAAACGCATCCCAAACATATTCTTCTGAGATTAAATCAATCTCTTTGTAGACCAGTGACAAGAGGGAGACCGTCATAAGAACATCAATGATAAAATTGAATAAGAATGGAGAGAATGGGCATGTTTACCATAGGCTCTAACATTCTCACAGATGTTTGAGTAAAGAGCCTTCAACAGGGTGATGGACTTACTCGGCACTCCTTTCAATTAGAGGCATCGCTATAAGACTTCTCAATCGATCAAGTCTAATAATGCCTTTAGGTTGGGGAACACACCTATTGTCAGGCATCCATAAGCGTGCCTGTGTTCTAGAGCCAGGCGGAGTGTGAATATTTAGTCAATACACCCATGATCAGGTTTGAAGCCTGCCTAGTTTTATCAGGTTTGCTATTTTCGAGCTCTGCTCAGGTGTCTGATGATTATAGAACCTAGAATCTTAGACACTATGTTAATCAGGCTGATTTCACCGTAATCATAAGAGGACTTCTCGGCTTTCTTAAAAAGTAACATAATCAGTTATTGAGACCAGTTAGTGGGGATCCCTGTTTGACTCACATACACTAGTTAATACTTCAGTTAACCTGACTAAAAACACTACCACTGTCCTCATATACCTCAAGAACTAGTCCATCTGGACCTGCTACCCTTCCTCATTCCAAGTTACTTTCTAGACTTTTGCCAGTGTTGGGATGCATGTTTCAAAGTTCCATCAAGGATCCGACTGGATAGCGGCAAAGAAATGGTGGCTGGAGGCCAGTTAAACTGTTCCTCGAAGTGTTCAACCCATCGTGCCAGTCGTCTCCTGTGAGTTAATCGCAGACCCATCCCTTTCCGCTATAATCTTACTAACCATTCAACTTTTCGTCTAAGTCTCCTTAGTAATTGTCAGCTGTTATCTGCTGCCACCGCCTTTTCCATCTCTTAAGCGCTCGCTGACCACCACTGTTCGCGGTAGTTGCTTAGATATTTTGTCAGTCTACATTTGAGTTGCGTTCGCTCCTCATTGTACTCAGAACCTGCAGGGATGTGTTGGCGTGCATCCATTAATTTAGAAAAAGTTGCTGATGTTCATTGGCTCTTTTATAACGACTTTTGAGAGTTGGCAATGGCCCTTAACACTGTTTCCACAACACACTGGAAATAGCACCAAGCTTCTTCTGGATGAATGGTAGTCTTCTGTTCCAATAACTGGTTAGCCAGTTTCTCACTGAGGCATTAGTGCCCTCATTGTTGAGCTTCAATCGTAATGGTCTCGTTACTGAAGCTTTTCTACGTCCATTGAGATGCAGAGGAATACGTGCTCGAACCAATGCGTGGTCACTATCCAAACACGTACTCCAGAAGGAACGGCAGTCTTCCATCGACCCTCTTTAATGATGAATGATAGCAATATAATCTATCGGTGTCCATCGCTGAGTTGAACTCGGTGGACGCCACGTCAGACAATGTCTTTCTTAGCGTCTGAAGTTTGTGCCAGCTGGAATAAACGCATGTCTAAGCACAGTTGTAGTAGACGATCATCATTACCTGTTTGTTCACAGTCGGGACTCCAAAAGTGCCACCTAAGTGCCTTTCTGCCTCACTCAGTCTACCCACCTGTGCATTGAAGTCACCTACAAAAACCACCACATCTGAACGTTTGGCTTTCTGTAGGACGCTAGACAGTCTTCGGTAAAACTCATCCTTCACTTCATCCGAACTGCAGTCATTGGGTGCATCAGCATTGAGACATTGGGTATTGAGACAATGGGTAGTTTCACTGTTCCTTTTAGTTTCCATAGTGCCATTCAGCCAGGGAGCGCATAAGCGACTTCCATCTGAGATCCAGTCTAGTAGTGAGCTTTCTGTCCTAGTGCTTATAGTCAAAGCAACACCGGCAAGACCGCAGGAACCAGCCATCACTTCTCCAGAAACTCGAAAGGGTGACTTTAGCGGATTCACCATATTGGTCGGGAGAGGCTAAGTGAATAACCGCACTTAGGTCATGTATGCGTATCTCATAAATACAACACATATCCATGGCCCGAGTTGATGGATTCTTGACCAATGAAGCTGGTTGATCAATTTGATGGAGGGAGCCTGTAGTAGTATGGGAGATATAGTTGGACATACGTCCTATGGTTTTGGATTATCACTAACAATTGATGACTGATCTAAGTCACCACAAGGCATCATCTCATTGTTTAAGAACACGTGAAGGGTAATTGCTTTTTGTCTTACCACCATCCAACATACTACTGTGGTAAGGTAGGAAGCCTACCAGCATAACTTATTGTGTACCAGTGAACTGAAATGAAATTCGAATTTTGGACGTGACAGTTAGGGATCAGTTACCTAGAACCACTAAGATATACAAATCATTAGGTTTTCTAACCAACAGTGAATTCTTATTGGCTGTCGAAAGATCTATGAATTAAGCTTTTCATCAAGTCAACACATATTTTCTAGTTTATCGAGTATTCTCATTGTTCGGCATCCATTAACGGAACGAACTCGTTAGCAGATATCAAGCTGACTTTGTTACACCGATACCAGGTCAATTGATCCCCCCCACCCACCCACCCACCACTCCCCATAGAAATTTGAAATAGCTCCATATGCCTACAGTGAATATGTGCATGTATTCAAATAAAGGAATGATTTATATCACTTACGGACTCAGAATCTTTTGAAGGATGTTTGTTTTCCATGTTCAATCGTGACAGTGATGATGATGATGATGATGATGATGATGATGATGATGATAAAGAAGATGGTGGAATAATTAATAAACGATATGCTGATACAAATTCAATTGTTTCATAATTAGATAAATCATTAGATGAACGAACACCTGGTAACCATATTTTGCCTGACAATTTAGATTGTAATTGACTTGGAAGACCAAAGAAGACATTATCAATTGTTATTGTTCCTACTGATCCAGATGATGTAATTGTAGAATGATTAGTCAATTTAGTTGATGGTAATAAATTATACGGTAGACAAGAGAGGATACGAGCAATCAATTCAATACGTGTATATCCTAATTGATTATTGAATTGAGACGAATTCATCTTATTATCATTATTCGATGTGAAACAATCTGCTGGTAACTAGATAATTGGAGCAGAAAAAAAAAGGAAGAAAACGAAACACAAGATTATAACAAAAATTGTGTAAGAAAAACATATATATATATATATATATTGAATTCTCTCAATTGGTTACAACTAGGCTCCTTAAAATGGCTATCATCTCTAGTGAAATCGTCAATATATAACTGTTTTCTATTCATTGAATCTAGAGATAATTCAATAAAGGCAAGTCATGAAATAATACAGTGCTTAACTGTTGATTTGAAATATGCATGAAAAAGTCGAGTAACAGTACACAAATGGTATAGGGAATAAATTCTTGGAGAACAACATCGACATGAGTCAACATTGATTCACAGTGCTGAAGATGTAATCACTCTTTCAATATTTTATCAAGCTTTATAACTCTGTTCTTTCTCATTCCATATCATATATCTGAACAATTTCACAATCTATGTTGTATTAATAAGATGTCTAAGGTTGATTACTTTTATCACTCTTATTGTGTACTTTAAAAGTGTAAAAATTGTCAATGAATGCAATTTAAGCAGAATGTCCTACCTTCCTACTTAAGTATAAATAATTTTCCATGGAATACAACTTTCTGCGTTCAATATGCTTACGTTAGTCTTCGAGCTTCAATAAACCGAACTTGTAATGTAACCCCCATTAAGCACTTACACCTGTTCAATTGGCACATTCTCTCTGCACTCATCAAGACCCTTTTATATGTCTTTGAAATATTTTGTGTACAGATCAGTTTCAGTCATCTAACTAGTTAACTCCCTTAAAAAGCCAGCTGCTGGTTTGACTGTGCAATATTTGTTGATTGAGAGATTCCCCGACGGTGGTTATACGAAGAGCAGTTGTCGTTGTAGTGTAAATTACTTCACTATTATGAGGGTCTGAGGGCGAAGTCGTACTGTTGCTACCTGGATGGGGTGTGACAGCAGTAACGCATTCCCCTTGGATGACCAGCAATGATGTGCTGATGTTGCCTTCTTAGTAGAAGGAGGGGTTAAAAAAAGTCGGCCCCAAAAATAACACACTCCATCATACCTCACGGTCTGCCAGGTCGACGGTGTTGGTTCATTTGTCGTTTCTTTTAGACCATCCGGCCATAAAACAACAAAAGTTTAAAACAACTACACACAAAAGGTTGTGTGTGACAGGCTTCAAGCAGATGTCGAATCCTGAACGGAACATTGAGATAGGTCCCCCAACAACTGCAGAAGTCGAGGAAGCTGTAGGTAATTTGAAACGAGGAAGGGCAGTAGGACCAGGCGGACTAACTTCTGAGGCATTCAAGTATGGTGACAATGTGCTTTTAGTCATGTTAACGGAAGTCTTAAACAGTATATGGGAATCAAATACGATCCCCTCCGACTGTTCTGGTCTAAATCAATGATTATCCCAATCTTTAAGCGAGGAATTAGCCTGAGCAACATAGGTTCTATAATTTTTCGACGCATGAGTTGAGCTCGGGAACAACGAACCTGAGAAAAACCAAGCAGGCTTTAAACCCGGCCGCTGGTGTATTGACCAAATATTCAAACTCCGCCAGGTTCTGGAACACAGGTACGCCTACCGACGCCCAACAATAAGTGTATTTCTCGACCTGATCGAGAACTGTTATGGCAATGTCTCTCACTGAGAGGTGTGCCGAGTAAGGACATTACTATATTAAAGGCTCTCTACTCGAACACTTTTGGGCGCATTAGAGCCTATGGTGAGATATCCGGGGCGCTGTGCTCCTCAAGCGAGGTCCGTCAAGGATACCCAATATCTCCATTCTTATTCAGCTTTATCATGAATATTCTTATGAAGGTCTCCCTCTCATCACCTGACTACACAGAGGTTGACCTAGTCACAGAAGAATTCTCGTTAGACCTACAATACGCAGATGACATGACATAGTCCTGTTGGGTGAAGACGCTGACAAGATGCAGTCTTCTGAACACTTTGAGTGGCACTTTGAGAATGTTCGGGATGCGGTTCTCATCACCCAAATGTAAATTGTTGCTCCAGGATTGATCTTCAACGGCGCTCCACCGCGGCTAACAATAGAGAGTGTAGTGGTTGAGTGCGTCGACCACTTCACTTACCTGGGAAGTAGGATCAGCCCTGATGGCTCAGCGGCCGGTGAAATCTCTGCACGGTTACAAAAGGCTCGATTGGCTTTTGCCAACTCAAGCCACCTGTGGCGCCACCGTGATATCCGATTGTCAATTAAGGGTCACGTTTACAGCACAGCAGTCCGATCTGTTCTACTGTATGGCTGTGAAACATGGCCATTGAAGGTGGAAGACATGAGAAAGCTGGCTTCAGGTGTTTGACCACAGTTGAATTCGTACCATAGGCCGTATTCCGTGCTGTCACTATGTGAGTAACGCAGTAGATTTTTAGGGAGAAGAGGAAAATCCGTTGACACGATCGTGAATCTTCATCGACTCAGATGGTTGAGACACGTGTTACACATGCCTAGTCCCGTCTCCCTCGTCACACAATATTGGCCGAAGTGGGTTCAGGCTGGAAAGAGGTTCGAGGCGGCCAGACTAAAACATGGCACCAATGTATGAAGTCTCTGATTGTTGGTTTTAGCCACATGAGGCGATGTAGACTAGGTGGTTGGGGTTCACAGGGCAAGAGGAACCAGTGGTTGGAGACTCTAAGTGATATGGCTCAGAACGGATATCAGTGGTGCAGATGTGTACACACATTATCCTCATCTTAACGACGCTATATCGAATCTCACCATCTTATCATTCTTCCTTTCTCTATTTTCGTGCTTTATATTTCTTTTGACTGGATTTTCTTATCTTCATCTTGCGCCTCACTGACGTTTTACTTGATGTACTGATATGAGCTGTGGCAACTCGGAGTATTACGTAGTAATGCCTGGTCCTATATTGATAGATGATGATAATGACTCTAACATTAGAGATTAGAAAAATGAATATCTCGCTGAAAGATTGATTTCGAAATTTGTATGGATATTTTGAGGTGTATTAAATGTGTCCGTTGTGGATTGAATTAGGGGGGTCCCAACATCATCAAAAAGTATAACAAATTAGTAACTGGCTGATCTTCTCCCAGTTTCAATATTAGATCTTTAACACCCAAATAGCAGGTTAAGTGACTTCAATCTATTTTAGAAGTCATAAAGCAGCTGTAGATCTTCTTTCCTGGGTAAGCAAGATGCAGGAATATTGAGTGATATTTTGATGAGCTGACCTCCACACTGAAAATATTTTGATAACTTATGTTGCTCTAAAAACTGAAAAATCCTTATATTGTTAACAATCTCATTTGTATTGGTGAATCAGTCAGTTCTATGTGCAATAATTCATGCCTATTGTATAAAGACTAATGATATGAACTCGATGCTCAGACTTTGGAGTGAAATTTGAAATTCATGACTAACTTGGTTAAAAATTGAATGTCATTGAATGTGTTTATATGATTTCTCAACAAGTTATTTTGAAGCTGTTATAGTTTGATCTAGTCAGTGAACTTTTTTCAGTCCTTAGGGTTATAATTCGACGTCAAGTAGTACCGTCAGCCTTAATATAATAAGTGTGGTTTATTGGTAAGTAAAAATATTTACTGAGGTTTTTCTAGCAACTTCATTAAATGATGGATAGCGCCCATGAGATGATAGATATCGGTGATAGAGCGTATTTTTTTTTTAATTGGTAAAGTGCTTCAATCTCTTTCATTATCCGTGCATAAAACTGTTAACTATATCCACGACATAAAAGTTTTTTTTTCTAAATCCAAGTAATAACAATATAGAATGAAACAGTTTACCTTTTCAATACACTGAATCATATCAGCAAACACGTTTGAAATTTTGCCTACAAGCCAATGATTCCAAGAACTGGTTGAATCCACATCTTCACGAGATGAAGTTAAGTCAAAATCAGCTTGAGAAAAATAAGACAATATGTGAAAAAAAAAGGTAAAACAAAGATATTCTCTACAGAGAAACAAAAGTTGTGAAGTTCATCACAGATCTTTTATTTGCAAATGGAAATAAACAGATCAATGTCAAAATCGACTGTGGCTAAGGGGATAAAGCAATAGATATCCCTTTAATGGTGAAATATACTAATTGAAACTGCTCTGGTTGATCGATAGAGTTCACCAGCCTCATCAGAGTGATCTAAGCACCAAAGTCGAGCTTATTAGCAGTGTACCCGAAGAAATTTAGTTCATAGAGTCGAATACTTTTTTTTCGCTGGTTCATGATACTTTTTTCATATAGTTACAAAAGTAATAGTATCAGATACTTACCATTAATGTAGAATCGAAATCCTACACTGCGTACAGGTAAATAACAGAAGATTGGACAAATCTGTAATGGTTCTGGGTCAGTAAGTGAAATCGCCAAAGAAATTTCTGTTTGTGATGGAAGATTCTGTCAATAAAAAAATTTATGCATAAAGTAAGATACATGAAATATAGAATAAAACTAAGCAGAAAATGTGTAGGTATATGACTTTCGCTATTCTTGTACATACATAATACTCATAATCAACTATATATATTGTTCTACACTGAAATCGAGATAGATTATGATGATTTAATGTGAAGAATATTTGTAACTTGTTCAATCATGCGGATATTCCATCAAATCACCGACAGAATTCTTAGAAAGGATCAAAAGCACTAAAATAGAAAACGATGAATTAATGGTATACTTCGATGCCACAACATTACAGATAACCATCAAGCTCTATTAGGCCAAGGATACTATATCCGTCCAACTCAATGAAGACACAAACCTTTCAGAAAACATAAAACTTAAATATTCATGTCTGATAGAGCTCATCGACCTCTGACTAACAACATACTTCCAATTCAATGGCAAGATATACAAACATATGAAACGAACTCAAATCGGATCACCGATATCCCCACTAATCGCACAAGCAGTAACGCTGACACTACAACCCATCATTCTACCTGTGACCAAAACATAAATCTGGATTCCCTATATGCACCACACTTCTGTCATCATTAAAAAAACAACACGATATAGAAAGCACTAACACTTTGATCAAATTCACAATCCACAACAACCAGTCAAACAACCAACTACCATCCCAGCATGTTTTAGTCAATAGGACAAATACCGGAAAGCTGCAAATCCAACTGTACACGAAGCCAACACACACCAATCAAATCATCAACTACACTAACAACACACAAAATTAGTTCCATCCACACTCTATTCAAAACAACAAGAACACACTGCACTACAACAACATCACGGAGAAATCAACAAAATTATTTGATGTCCACCCTAAAGAAGAACGGCTACCCACGAGTCTTTATTATCACAACATGCCTATCCCGTACATCATCAACTACAAAGTCATAGACACAAATCAAAACATCCATCAGCCTACCATGTCACGAAAGGGATTTCCAATAAACTACAGACGTTCATCAACAACTGCTTACGCTCGCTGCTGAAGATCAGATGGCCAGAAAAAATAAGCAACAAGGAACTCTGGGAACGAACCAACCAAGAACCTATCACGCAACAAATATGCAGGAAGAAGTGGAGATGGATTGGCCATGCACTGAGAAGGCCGACTGAGGACATCACGCGTCAGGCCCTCGAGTGGAATCCCCATGGGAAGCGACGAGTTGGACGTCCGAGGGTGACATGGAGGAGGTCATGCGAGGAGGAATGAGAGCTTCTGGGCTGTCGTGGAACCAGGTTCAAAAGATCTCAGAGAACAGAGGTCACTGGAGGCGTGCTACTGAAGCCCTATGTTCCACTAGGAACCCAAGGGACTAATAATAATATAATAATAATAATCAGCCTACCATACATAAAGGATGTATCGGAAATCATGACAAGAGTTATGAGACCACTTGGAATTGGTGTGGCCAATCATAAACCAACAAATTCTTGCCAAATACTACTAGGCAGACTAAAGGATGCAACAAGGAAAGAAGACAAACTGAATATCATTTAGAAGACCAACTGCAATAACTGTAGTCAGCAATACACTGGACAAAGTAGTCGCCCACCTTCTCCTTCGTCTACATGAACACCAATTGGCTATTAAACGTCACACATGACATTTCATCATGTATCTCTCAATGCATGCAGATAACAACTATGGACATGAATTCAATTTCGACAATGTAGAAATTTTGGAGGGAGAGAGGAAACACAAAGAATATCAGAGAATTCATAGGACCTTGGCATTCAGGTCAGTCAGTCAGCAATCAACAAATGTATAGATATAGACCCAACCTATCAACTAATGAGAAAAATGAGAAACAACAGGTAGGTAAAAGGAAAAGTCAACAGGGAAATCTATATAGTCAATGATAGAATAATCAAAGGAAACAACCAATCGCAGACCCCTTCGTCTGGGTGAGCTACTAAATCACTCACGGAAAGATATTGACAGCTCACTTCATACTGAAATTAGTGTTGATGATGTTGGTGTCTAGCAAGACGATGAAATCTACATGATTAAACAACCCAGCTAAGAGAACACAGTACAACTATGGTTCAATGTCAAAGAGAATGGTGAACCAAAAAACTGTTGAAGAATGAGAAATAGTAATTAAGTTTACAAAAGCTTATCCGCAGCTTGCGCATTAAAGCCATCATCGCACCTAGCCCGGTGTTTTTGTTAATGAAGTGTTCCTAATAAGCGATTGGTCAGAAGGTGTATAGCAGACGCATACGTTCACAGTCTGGTGACCAAATGGTGCGAGCGACGATAGTCACTACAAGTTGAATATTTGACCAGTTACTACTTCAAAGTCAGTCTCATGACACAATCTACGAAGTGAACAACTCAATAATAGTAACAGAGCAAATCAACACCGTATCCTATGTTATATGTGGATCTCGATAGTCAGCTATGTCTGCTATTGTCTCTCATACTCTATCTAGAGAGTCGTCAGATACCTATGGATGCACCTTCAATACAATTACCCTTAATCTCACGGCACCACTTCTAATATTGGCCAACTCTGAGCTCCTTCTAACAATTCCAAGGGTGAATGAACAGTTAACAGTATGACAACAAATGACATGACAACCCGCCGAAGTCGGTGTTTCTAGATGAATCTATTCAACAAATGACGATCACTATAATGCGCAAATACACGCCAACTCCAGTCGAAATTACTTGCATATTGTTTCCACTGGATGCAAAGAATCCTACGGAAACAACTATCATTGAACAGGCAATTGTCGGACATCTTCACTTTACAGTGGTGTGATTTCAAAGGTTTGTTGTAGAACTGCCAGGATTGACGTGTTATACATCCAGCCTTCTACAGAAGGGCTAAAATCACTACAGTGTCAAAGGTAACCTAGGTTGATTGACTTGCAATATGCGGTTAGAGATCTCACTAATCAAACCTCCGCCAAAACTCATGCAACTACTTAAGAAAGCAAAGTTTTTGAGAACTTCCAGTAATTCACCATCAAAAGTGAGTCCTAAAACACACTGCTGACAACCTTCTAGAACCACTCTGCACTACTGTGGTGCAAAGCACATACCGTACTTACGGTATTAATGGTACCAACCGGTTGTACAAGTAGAAGTAGTTGGAGGATCGCGTGAAATCCGGACGTACTGTTAGAAGTTCGAGTGCTTACACCAATGAGTCACAGCTTTATATGAATAAGCCAATAATGAATTATGTACATCAAACACCTACTTGACTAAATTCATCTCAAACAAAATTTATCACTGTTTGTGAACATCAGCATTCTAACTACTACTAGTCAGTAGTATACAAATGTATGATATGCATAGTTTTCGTATCGATTTATAGTCTTACTCAATGTCTCTCATTAGTTTTAAGGTGGTGATTTTAGATCGGTTGATCAGTGTCACTACTTTGCAAATACGGTATGCACACTGTTGAAAAGAAAATTTACTAATAATACTTTCATACCTCCGTCATCGAGACATCATACACTTTCCTTCGAAATGTCAACAGACACAACCCTTCCCAACTGCTTATAACATAGAAGGTAACTTCAACTGAAGATGTGTGACAACTCAACTAACATTGATTTCGCCAAGTTCAAGGCTTAAAGCAGTTTCATCTCAAGATGATTTCATAAGAGTCATAGTTTTAAAAAGGATGCACTGCCGACGCTATAACTCATTAAAAATGGGGTGTATCACTCTTAGGGTCACTGTTCCTATTTAATTTCGTTATAAACATCCTAATAGACATAACCTCAGATATATCTGCATTCATAAGAAGTGATCTCTCTGAATCTCATCTGGTTGACTTGGAGTCTACAGATAATATTGTCCTACTACATGAAGACATCGACAAAATGCAGGGTCATCTGGATGCGTTGGACAGAAATGTGAGTATGTATAACACGGCTTTCCCACCCAGTCAAATGTAAGATGATGCTCCAGGATTGGTCTGCTGCAAGTACATCCAGTGCAATGATAAGTAGTGAAGTGGTCAAATGTGTCGACTACTTCAGTTGGGGAGCTGCATTAGCTTTAACGGGCTAGTCACTGACAAAATCAGAAGGCCCGTTTGGGATTTATCAACATACGTCTTCTGTGACGCCGACTGTCGAGATATCTGATTACCTATCAAAAGACAAGTATACTGCACTGCAATCAGGGCGTTCTGTCCTGTTGTATGGCCGTGAGACCGTTAAAAGTAGACAACATGAAAGGATTACAGGGTTTTGATCACAGATATCTTCGCAACATCAGTCACGTTTGCTGAAATCACCGTGTGAGCAATGTTGAAATCAGGTGAAGGGTTCTGGGTAAGGCAAGCAAGTCCATTGATGACATAGTGAAACTTCATCGGCTAAGATAGTATGGACACGTACAGCGCATGCTGAGGGAACCTGAATTAGACCAAAAGAAGGTTTACGGTTGACAGACCAAGACATGGCACCAGTCGGTGAAATCCCCAACTTTCGGTCGATCTAAGACGTGTGGAGAGATGTAGACTACTTGGCTAGGGTCTCCGAAACAATAGGAATCAGTGGTTGGGGACTCTTGGTGACATAACTGAAAATCGGTCGCTCCTTAATATATTCCCAAGCTTGAATAACCACATAAACCTTCATCTCACACACGAATCTGCCTACTTTGATATCACTCCTTTTCTATCCACGTGTTCTTTGTATACTACTGTGAAGTGTGGCAACTTGAGGCGATGTGAATGTGTGCAGTGTTCTATTTTGATTTTATCAGTCAGATATAGAATAGACACCACCATGTGAAGTGTTGGTTATCCCTATAAAGAATTTTAATCTTGTTACATCTCAGTACATTATTCAGCGGTTAAACTTGGGGTTTTGAATATCTGCTTCAGTAAACGCTCACTAAACAACTAGGACTGAAAGGAAGGTAAGAAGGTTAAGCAATTAGACAGAGAATAGCAACAGGAGATTACAAACATCAAAACAACAAGTAATACTCGTTGCACAAGAAGTGGCTCTCATACCCTACCGGCTTAGTTGATAACGGTTCGAGGTTCCAACCGATGGATACTAGGTTTGAGTCCGTGTGGAAATAACATCACTCACTGGGGTGCAGGGACATCCAACTGACAAAATGCACACCCTAGGTTCCACTGCTAGCCACCAAGCAGACACCAAGATAGAAAGTTAAATTCCTGAATATAGTAGAAATTCAAGAAATGATCGTAGTTTGAAAAGGTTATCGTGGTACGCAAACCTTTCATTGTATATGTTTCGTACAGCAAGTTGAAAGCACTACGTTTTCACCTGAATGATAAAGATTACTCAGTTGTGAGTTTTCAACAGCTGCCTACGCTCGATACTGAAGATCAGATGGCCAGAATGAAAATAATAAGCTGGACCGCGGAAAAGAACCTAGAAGATTTGGATTTCGCTGGTGACTTGTGTCTAATGTCACACAAACTTGAAGATCTACAGGCGAAAACTAACAGGTTGACAGAAGAGGTAGGGCAGCGAACACGGGACTTCGAGTGAACGTAGAGAAGAGAGGTGATGAAGATACCCAACCAACACTAACACCACCAACAACAACAAACACTAATCACCATGGAAAGGAGAAACTTAAAGGAAGTAGCCTCTTTCACCTTCACCTATCTAGGCAGCATCGTTTTAACTACAGGCGGTACAGGCACAGACGAAGACGTCAGAGCCAGGATCCGAAAAGCAAGCTAGATGTTCATTAGCCTGAAACCAGTGAGGAGATCTGTACTCAGTATGTGGAACAAGATCTGGGTTTTCAACACCAACGTCAAGTTAGTGCTTTTATGTGATGGTTGATAGACTTGGCGCATTACGTAAAGTATTTCCAAAAAACTACAGACATTCATCAACAACTGCCACCTACGCTGGCTTGTTACTGAAGATCAGATGGCCAGAATAGTTAGAATAAGCAAGAAGGAGCTCTGGGAACGAACCAACCAAGAAGCTATAGCTGAACAAATATGTACTGGAAGGAAGTGAAGATGGATTGGACTGGGGAAACACTGAGAAAGCCGACTGGGGACACCACGCGTCAGGCCAGCCAGGTCCTCGAGTGGAACCCCCATGGGAAGCGACGAGTTTGGCGTCGAGGCGAGGGTGACATGGAGGAGATGGTGCGAGGAGGAAATGAGAGGTTGTGGGCTGTCGTGGAGCCAGGTTCAAAAGATTTCAGAGAATATAGCGCATTGGAGACGTGCTACTGAAGCCCTATGTTCCATTAGGAACCAAAGGGTTAAATAGTAGTAATAATAATAATAGTTGTGAGTTTTAGTCACATGAACTGTATAATTCATGTATCACTTCCACTAGCTTTTCTTTTTATATAGAAAATAATGCAACTCACAATAATACACACACACACACACACACACACCACAGTTGTTCACCACTTTCTTCTTACTATGGATTTTTATAGAACTGTTGATCATGCAATTATATGCGAAAAGAAGATGTGTAAGGGGATTTGATTAATGAAGTTATTAAAACTTGAAAACTGTTACGTAATCTGCTTGATGTGATTTTGCAATGAAATATGTACGATTGGTTTTAGTGCGAATTCATTTTATTACGTAATATGATATATATATACGAGTATAAATAAGACTACAAACTAACCTTATTACTTGATTGCTTAAAATCAACCGGAATAATTTCTTTGAAAGATAACCATTTATGTATTTTATTCTTATCACCATTTGTAGATAAATTACGCTGAGTTTCATGAACTGTAATCACTTGTGTGAAACACTGAATTTTACCTACCATGAAGGTAGATAGTGTGTTAATGGTACGTTTCAATGTCCAGTGAATGTTTGACTTGAAAATTAGAAAGAAAAAGGATGGAATTACAAAAACTATGTATATATATATACAGGGTGGTGATTGGAGGTGAAATAAAAATTTGGACAGCAGCCGGATTCGAACAAGTGACCACCAAGTTTCAGGCCTGATGCTGTACCAACTGAAATACAGGGTACAGCATCGGACCGGAAATTCAAGGGGTCGCTGGTTCGAACCCGGAAGCAGTCTAAATCTTCATTACGCCTTCAATCATCACTAGTCTGCCAAACTACGGCTATCTCAGTTATATATATATATATGTATATATATATATATATATATATATATATATATATATATATATATATATACATGGCTAAGAACCGATGTCAGTAGTGCAGATGTATACACATATCAACTTCGTCTTAATCGCTATACTTATTCTCATCATCTCATCTCTCCTCCCTCTCTCTTACTACTTTCTATGAATTTTTTTGACCAATTTTTCTTTTTTCTCTTTGTCTTCCACTTTATTGCCTTGTGACTTGATGTGCTGATATGAAGTTAGGTGAGGCAACTAAGACCGTAACACAGTAATCCCTGGTCCTCTCTTAATCTTAATGATGATAAAGTTAGAGAATGATAAACACTAAGATATGAAGATTATGTAGAAACAGAATACAAGAAACTCACTTCCGTCGAAGTAAACGTAAGACATTGTAAACGTCTAAGAAAAAGCATTAAGCTGGGATTTAACGTAGTTTGAATTAACTGTGTGACTTGAAGCGCAGGAGATTGAATAATTGAGCGACCAGTAACCCCATATGTCAATGGTAAGACAAATAAAGTTCTACACCATGATGGAACTTCAGAGTTATCTAATACTGTTGAATTCTCTTCACACCATTCAGGAACTAGTATTAATGAAGGAGTTTGTGTATCTGATGTATTAGCTATCTTCGATTGTCTACGGAAACGAACATGAAAACCATTGGAATGAACTTCAGGCATATTTGTAATGTTGAAGACAGATTTGAAACCAATTCCTTTACGTCCTGTTAAAGAGCAAAAAAATATTGGTTGATAAAGTCATTCATGGAAAAGTAACTATGATAACTGGACAAATATTCACAGAATATTATTTCAGTCTCTGTTGGCATATCGGCTCCTGTGCGGATGCCTCGATATTGCCTGTGTTTTTATTATATATAGTAATGATGGGCAGTGGCTATATATATATATATATATATATATATATATATATATATATATATATATATATATATATATATATATATATAGAAAATCGTCCTAAGCTAGAAATTATCGATGGAAAGATGTTTCAGCAGACCGTTAAAAGTAGAGGAAACGAAGCAATTACTGGGTTTCGATCAAAGATATCTTGGTACCATTGCTCACGTTTGGTGAAATCACAGTATGAGAAATGTTGAAGTTAGCTGAAGGGTACTAGGCAAGACAGATACCTTGATGGATGATGTCGTGAACCTTCATCGGTTAAGATGGCCCGGACATGTACTGTGCATGTCAAGCCACTGCCTTCCTCGATATGCTATGCTAAGGAAAGGTGGATTACAGTACATGAAGTCGCTGACTGTTGTTCTAGATCATGTGGTGAGATGTAGACTACCTACCTAGTTGGATTCCTCGAGACGAAGGAAATCAGTGGTTGGGGATTGACTCTTGGTGAAATGGATGAAAACCTGTCACAATGGCTCAGAAGTACTCACTCATTGACATTTCTTAAAGCTGGAATATTTGCACTAACAGTTATCTTCAGATTGTTTATTCCCTCACAAAACTTTATCTACTTTGATATTACTCCTTTTCTGTTCACCTGTTCTATGTGTACTACTATGAAGTGTGACAACTTGAAGTGATGCACCTGTATGCGAAGTTCTACTTTGATTTTGTCAGTCAATCAACCAGTAGATCTAAAATGTTTCAGCAGTACGCACCACAAACTCTACAACCGATGAAGATTAAAGCTTTCGAGTTCCATAATCAACATACAGCCAGAAATTATTCATTCATTGCTTTTAACAACATAGATGATCTGTCATATCACAATATCATCATCATCTAATATTTTCCTTAGGTTCTCAAGATTAGGATTTCACCGATAATGACTTATGTTAAATGTCGCACAAACTCGGAGATCTACAGGCGAAAACTAACAAGTTGACAGAAGAGGTGGGGCAGCGAAAACGGGACTTCAAGTGAATGTAGACAAGACGGAGGCAATGAAGATACCTAACAACACTAACACCACCAACAACAACAAACACCAATCACCATTAACGGGAGAAACCTAAAGGAAGTAGTCTCCTTCACCTACCTAGGCAGCATCGTTTCAAACACAAGCGGTGGCACAGACGAGGATGTCAAAAGCAGGATCGTAAAGACAGCAAGACAGGACTTCCCTCATTAATTTCAAATCAGTGTGGAGATCGACTGCACTCAGAACAAAGAACAAGATCCGGACTTCCAACACCAACGACAGTCAAATCAGTGATGCTTTATGGTTCAGAAACTTGGCGTGTCACAAAAAGCATTTCCAACAAACTACAAACACCAACAGCTGCCGCTGCCTACGCTCAGTCGATACTGAAGATAAGATGGCCAGAAAGAATAAGCAACAAGAAAAACTCACTGTGACTGGCTGGCAAGGAACCACCTTGGAACCCATCGCCCAATAAACATGCAGAAGAAAGTGGAGATGGATTGGATGCACACTAAAGACCATTCAGAGACATCACGCATCAGGCCAGATACTCAGGTGGAACCCAAAGGGGAAACGACCAGTTGGGCGTCTGAGCCGAGAGTGACATGGAGATCATGTGATGAAGAAATGAAAGTTTGTGGGCTGTCGTGGAGCCAGGTCCAAAAGAATGCAGAGAAGAGAGTGCAATGGAGACGTGCTACTGAATCCCTATGTTCTACTAGGAACCCAAGGGAAAAATAATAATAATAATAATAACTCCGACTTTCTAATAAAACTCCAGCAAAATTGATCCAAGTACGAAAACTGTTTCTGTGAGTGCATGTAAACCATTTTACAGTTGAATGAGTGACAACGGAAGGTAGATATGTGAGCATACATAACAATTTACCAAGGCTTCATATCATGAACATAAAAAGTGTTAATATAGTGAGATAGTCAATGTCAACCCAGGACTTGGTATTACCGTAGTGGCAAGCTCCTTGAACTTTGAGCGACCTCATTTTATCACGGAATATATTGCATCAAACTTTTCCGTTCTATATTGTTTTAATCAATCACTTATATTATCTGATCATATTAAACACTCATGTGCGTTTTTTATAATCATTGCAACCTAACACTGGTCTTCAGCGGTACCGCAGCTAACAATAGAGAGTGAAGTGGTTGAGTGTATCGACCACTTCACTCACCTGAGAAGTAGGATCAACTCTGGTGTGTCAGTTGCCGATGAGATTTCTGCACGGATACAAAAAGCTCGATTGACTTTTGCCAATTCATGCCACCTATGGCGCCGCCGTGATATCCAATCGTCTATTAAGAGTCGCGTGTACTGCACAGCAGTCCACTCTATTCTACTGTACGGCCGTGAAACATGACCATTCAAAGTGGAAGATATAAGAAGGCTTCAAGTGTTTGACCACCATTGCCTTCGTAGTATAGGACGTATTCCGTGGTGTCACCATGTGAGTAATGCAGAAGTCAGGTGTAGAGTTTTAGGGAGTAGAGGTAAATCAGTAGACCAGGTTATAAACCTTCATCGATTGAGATGGTTGGCTCTGACACGTACTACGTATGCCTAGTCACCGATTGCCTCGTCACACAATGTTGGCTGAGGTGGGTCCAGGCTGGAAAAAGGTTCAAGGTGGCCAGACTAAAATATGGCACCAATGTATGAAGTCTCTAACTGTTGGTTTAAGCCATGTAGAGCGATGCAGACTAAGTGATTGGGGTCCACGGGACAAGAGGAATCAGTGGTTGGAGACCCTAGGTGATCACATGGCTCAGAACCGAAGTCAGTGTCGCAGATGTATGCCCACACACATTATCCTCATCTTAACAACGCTATACCGAATCTCACCATTTCGTCACTCCTCTTCCCTTTCTTCTCGTACTTTATATTTCTTTGACTGCATTCTCTTATCTTCATCCTTCACCTCACTACCTTTCTACTTGATGTACTGACATGACGTGTGGCAACTCGGACCGCTACGCAGTAATGCCTGGTCCTATGTTGATATTGATTGATTGATTGTAACCTATCAATTTACAAATTGGAAGGAGATCAAGGTTGTACCTGTACCTAAGTCATCTTCTGGATCACATGTTACGTTTCGACCCATCGCAATAACTTCCTCCTTTTTTGTAGACAACGAAGAAGTTACTCCTCCTCGTGTTTGAGCCTTCATTGATGGTTATCAGAGATTGAAAACAATTTGCTTACGAACACAGGTGAAGTACTTTAGATGCTGCCACTGTCTTGCATCATAAGATTGTTTTTAGTCTCGACAAAGGTGTTGAGTATGTTCGTTACGTCTTTTAGGATTACTCATCAGACTTTGACTCTGTTCCTAGACCACTCTTGTTAAATAAGCCTACCATAGTTCATACTGAGCCATGGATTACAAAGTGGTTGTCTTCTTATTTTTCTGAAAGGAAATAGTATACTGCCTATAAAGGGAAGCGCTCCACTTCATTGCTTACTGTAGCTGATGTGCCTACGTTTCTCTTGTTATTCTTTTGCATGATTTACCTTATTCTGTTGAAACTAATTTCATTAGGTATGCTGATGACCTAACGGTTTCTATGCCAGTTAACTCTCATTCATATTGCTCTCAATTAAATGGATTCTTGTCTGTATTATTGACCAATAGTCTCAAAGTAAACTCTTCTAAAAGTCAGACTGTAAATTCAAGTCTTAGGGCTAAATAAGACCCGTGCGAGCTGCTTAAGTCTCATGACGCCGCCTGTCATATTGATGGTATTTCCGCTGAAAGTAAAAATCGAGTGTTAACCATCTTGGATTGAGTTTTACTTCTGATCATTGTTGGTCGTCTCATATCTTATTGACTAGCAAAAAAATAGTTCGTTTAACGTATTACATAAAGAAACTAAGGCTTTCTGGCATAATTCAGCTTCTACTTTTACAATTTACTAATTCCTACATTTCACCTATTCTTCTCTATTATTCACCGTTGGTCTTTCCTCGTCTACTACTAAAAAACAACTGTTATATAAGAGCACACAACTCACCTGACAACTAACCAAAGGTTCTAACATGCCTAGGAGTGTTCGAGTGCAGAAGTTTCAACAGTGATCATGTAGTTACTCGGCACCCCTTTCAAGGAGGGACACTACCATAAGAACTCTTGACCGACGAAGACGAATGCCGCCCTCAAGTCAGGAAATACAGCTAGTGTCGGGCGTCGGTAAGTGTGCCTGTGTTCTAAAACCTGGTGGAGAGTTAATATCTGGTCGATACACATATGGTAGGGTAAGAAACCTTCTGGCTTTCTCGAGCTCTACTCAGATGTCTAATGATTATAGAACCTAGAATCTAAGACATTATGTTACTCAGGCTTGTTCTCCGTGGTTATCACGAGACTTCTCATATTTCTTGAAGACTGGAATAACCACTCATTGAAACCAGTCAAAGGCAAGCATATCCGACTCCCATACTATTTATTATTATTATTAGTCCCTTGGGTTCCTAATGGAACATAGGGCTTCAGTAGCACGTCTCCAATGCGCTATATTCTCTGAAATCTTTTGAACCTGGCTCCACGACAGCCCACAAACTCTCATTTCCTCCTCGCACCATCTCCTCCATGTCACCCTCACCACCGACGTCCAACTCGTCGCTTCCCATGGGGGTTCACTCGAGTACCTGGCCTGACGCGTGATGTCCCTAGTCGGCTTTCTCAGTGTATGCCCAGTCCAATCCATCTCCACTTCCTTCCAATGCATATTTGTTCAGCGATAGCTTCCTGGTTAGTTCGTTCCCAGAGCTCCTTCTTGCTTATTCTAACTATTCTGGCAATCCATCTGATCCTCAGTAGCGAGCCAGCCTAAGCAGTTGCTGATGAATATCTGTAGTTTGTTGGAAATGCTTTTCGTAATGCGCCAAGTCTCTGAACCATCACACAGAAGCACTGACTTGACTGGCGTTGGTGTTGAAAATCCGGATCTTGTTCTACATGCTGAGTGCAGAAGATCTACACACTGGTTTCAGGCTAATCAACGCCTGTCTTGCTTTTCCGATCCTGGCTGACTTTGACACCTTCGTCTGTGCCACTGCCGCCTGTAGTTGAAACAGTGCTGCCTAGATAGGTGAAGGAAGTTACTTCCTTCAAGTTTCTCCCGTTCATGCTGATTGGAGTTTGTTGTTGGTGGTGGTGGTGCGGTATCTTCATCACCTCTGTCTTCTCTATATTCACTTGAAGTCCCGTCTTCGCTGCCTCGCCTCTTCTGACAAATTGTTGATCTTCAAGTTTGTGTGACATCACACACAAGTCATCGTTGGCGAAATCCAGATCTTTTAGGTTCTTTTCCGCAGTCCAGCGTATCCCTCTCTTCTCACAGCTCCCCACTGTTTGTTGCATGATCCAGTCCACCACAATCAGGAATATCATGGGGGATAGTAGGCAACCTTGTTTCACTCCTGTCTTCACTTCACTTCAAAAGCATCACTGAGCTTCCCATTGTGAATTACTTGGCATGTGGCGTCTTCATATAGTTGTTGAATGAGACTGATAAAGGTTTGCGGTACTCCGTAGTATTGAAGCAGTTTCCAAATTACCACTCGGTCGACGCTGTCAAAGGCCTTCCGACTCCCATACACTAGTTAATAATTCGGGTAATTTGATAAATAATCCCGTCTTTAAATACCTCCTTCTACTATTTGTGGTTTCGGGTTACCTACCACTTATTCGACTTCTGCAAGTGTTGGGGATCATATCTTGACGTTCCATCCAGACTTCAACTGGATAGGGAGCGACAGAATAGTAGCAGGAGATCACTCAGTTGCGCCATGTGGCACTAAATCGTGAACTGAGAGAAGTAGGAAATATAGAACATAATATGTCAACCCATTGGATCCATGATAACATGCTGACCGCAAAACCTGCAGGCTCGGGGTTTGATTCTTGGTGAAGTTATAAGTGCGCACTTCTGAAGAGTCCCATACAGGGACAAAATAGTTGTCTGATGATCGCAGCTTTTCCAATACTTCTCCGACAAACGATGAACATTAACCTGAAACCAAATCTGTTGTATATAAATAACTTTTTCACCACATGAATTATATTTGACCTAGGTTGAGGGACATGTAGAAAGCAGTCAGTAAGTCAGAAGTTTTAGCCTCTTTAATATACATTCATCTAAGTATTATGACAGTCACCTTTGAATTACACTCATTGAGTGCGGAGTTCAGGGAACCAGTTGGCTGAGATGGTAATCTCAGCGATTTCCACCTACACCAACTACAATTAAAAAAAGGGATAACGAATGAAACCCAGTTGCATAAGTGAGTATCTAAATAGCAACAGACAGACAGAATCACAGTAAACTCTCGTATACAAGTGTATCAGTTCAAGTTATCACACTTCGCTGAAGTATACAAAGAATAAGTGAATAGATAAGGAGTGAGAATAAAGTAGACAAAGTAGTGTGACAGAATAATCAATCTGAAGATAACGGTTAAAGTAAATATACAAGCTTAAGAAGACCTCCAGAGTGAATACAATGCACCACTGCGATCGATTTCCAGCCATTTCGCCAAGAGTCAATCTTCAACCACTGATTCCTTTCGTCTCAAGGATCCCAACCACGTAGTCTACATCTCACCACATAGCCCAGAACAAAACTCAGCAACTTCATTGAAGAGTGCCATATCTTGGTTTGGTCACTATGAACACTTTAGCAACCTAACCCACCTTTCCTTGACATTGCATATCGAGGAAGGCTTGGCATGCTTAGTACATGGTCTAAGCCAACTCAGTCGAATAAGGTCGCCTTTTTTCCCTAGAATCGTTCACCTTAATATCCCTCTCATGGTAACTTCATCATATGCGAGGAATGCTAAGAAGACATCCAACATAAAAAACATGTAGCCCCTACAACCACCGTGTCATGACCGTATAACAGGAAAAGGACAACAGCCTAGTATACTCGTCCCATAATAAGTAGTCAGATATCTCAGTAGTCGGTGTCACAGATGATACACAAATTATCAAATTTCAAAAGGGCCTTCTGAAATTTAGTGAGCAAAAAGCCCGTTCAAGTTGATGCAACTTCTCAAGTAAGTGAAGTGGTCGACACATTCCACTACTTTACTCTCTAATCAATAAACTGAAAGTATTTGCAGCAGAATGGTATTGGAGCATCATCCTATATTTCACAGGTGCCAGTGACACATGTCAAATATAATTAGATATCTGATCAAGGAACTCAGAAGAGTCCGCATTTTGTCAGCGTTTTCATCTAGTATGATAATATCGTCTGCGTACTCCAAAATCAACGAGACAGTCCCCCCCTTCCCTTCTCCCCATGGAGTAGATCAATCCTAGTGAAGTAACAGATGAATCTAGATGAATGAGCAAATGCAATGAGGGGTAGAATCGAATCGATAATTGTTTTATTAGACAGCAAGCAACATGTATATAATAAGTATCGTTGACAATGATCTACACCTGAAAGAAACATCATTTTAATAGGGAGAAGGAGATTATTAAGCAATATGTAATCCATATTAGATTTGTTTATTTGATATAAAGCGCACAGTGATACAGTATTATTTAATTGATTACGTTTCGAGCATAAATTATTGCTCATAATCATATCAATGTAATCACACTTCTTTCGACATCTGATTTTATAGTCCTGTCACCTGATCTCTCTTTGTTTTTTTGATTGGTAGTAAAGTTTTCCATATCTCTGGTATAGGTGTTGCGTCATTCCTATTACATGTGTTGGGTGTGATTCGATGAACAAAGATTCAGTAATTAATCTCTCTCTCCACCTAGCTATATTAGACTTAAGTACAGTGGTTTTGTCCCATCCTATTGTGTGGTTGTGTGTTAATGAATGTAATGCAATGGCTGAGTGTTTTTCTAGGTTATTGATCTTATTGGGGTCTGTCGTTCTATGTTTAGCTAAATTCCTATGTTCTGTTAATCTAACTGACCCCGACCGGCTAGTTTGACCTATGTATTTGACTTCACAGTCATTACATGGAATTTGGTAGATTATATTATTTTGCTTAATTGGTTCTATCGGATCTTTTAGCCGACAAAGCTTACCTCTAAGTGAGTTTGTTGGTTTAAATGCCACCCTAATTCCAACCTTGTTGAGAATCCTACGTATGGTTTCTGATGTTCCTTCCTTGTATGGTATCACAATAGAGGTGTTGATTTCCTTTCTACTTATGTTGTCACTATTATTTGTATTTGTATTAGTGTTATTATTTTGCTTCTTATGCGTCCGTGTGAATTTCTTAATAAAATGATGGGGATAATTATTATTATTAACGCTTCTTTTATGTGTTTCAATTCCTTATTTAAGTCCTTACAATGACTAGTGAGTTTCTCAGCTCTGTTATTTAGACATTTGACTAAACCCGCTTTAACTGACACTGGATGAGATGACTTGAAGTCTAGATACCTGTTAGAATGTGTTGGTTTTCTGTAGACGGTAGTATCTAAACCACCATCTATCCTTCGTTTTATTCTGCAATCCAACATAGGTAATTCTCCTTGTTCATTTTCTACTTCGTAGTGAATTGGATTGCGTTAACTACTGAGTTTATGTGTGTCAAGAAACTGTCGATATGTTCCGATTTCAACACTGTAAATGTGTCATCTACATATCGCCACCATATCTTAGGTGTCGGATTATATGTTCGTAAAGCCATATCTTCCCAACTATCCATAAATATATCTGCTACTATAGGGGATATTGGTGATCCCATTGCTACTCCTTCTGTTTGTCTATATATCTTTCCCTGAAACTTGAAGACTGTCGAGGTTAAGCATAACTGCACTCCTAACATGATTTCACCAACCGATGCCTTGGTTCTTTGAGTAAGTTGTGAGTCAGTATCTAGTTGATTTCTGACTGCCTCCAGTGCCATATTGATTGGTATTTTAGTATAAAGACTTGTTACGTCAAAACTAACCATTTTTTCATCCTCTTCTATGTGCAGGTCATTAAGTTTTTGTTTCAACTCGTAAGAATTTACTAGTCTAGAGTTGGAACGGTCTCTAACAGGACGTAATACTGATGCTAAATACTTTGATATCTCATATGTAATCCATATACATGAAATCAGTACTGACTAAATAAAGATCATAATAAGTAAGTAGAATATGAAATTGACTAATTAACTAACCTATCTTCAAGTCACGTTGAGTCACCTTTGTACTTAAACCAACATCACATAGAGCAGACATATCATTTTCACTAAATCCAACTGATTCATTGTTCATAACGAGTAATGACAAGTTTTTATTGTCATCACTTTCAGTTAACGTCTTCTTAACACAAGATAAACAAAATTCTAATGTTGGTATCTCATCTACGGAGTATGTATTATCATCAGCATTTTGAATTAATTCCAGTAGAAAGTGTCCTGGTAATCCATACAGTTCTTCTGATAACTGGATAAGACTTCGAGACAATTTACCTTCAACTCTCTACATAACAATAAGAAAAATGAGTTTAGGAAAGTTTGAAAAATTTTGTACATCATTTCGATAAAATCTAGGAGTAGTATTATTAAAAACGAAAAATTCTTTGATTTATAGTAATGATGGATAATGACTAGCAGTGGAATCGAGAATGCGCGTTTCGTCCTATTTGGGACTCGTCAGCTGGATGTGCCTGCCTCTCAGTGAGTGGTGTCATTCCCAATGGGATACCGACTGGAGATCGAACGCTTCAAATGACAGAGCATTATCGACTAAATCATCGAGCCACGGTAGGACGAAATGAGCATCCTGGATTCCACTGTTATCCACTATCCATCATTACTATAATTAGAACACAGGTAATATCGATGCATCCGCACAGGAGCCCATATGTAAATAAAGATTGATCAATTCGGCCCAATCAACGACGGTATAACACAAACAATAATACTAAATTCTTCGATTTAATTGATAATAAAATCCCCCACATATTCGGAAAGGGGTTGAGTCATTTCGGTTACATGTATCAGGTGTCGATTCGATTAAAAAAAGGTTCAGTTACCATCTACCAGTTAATTGTTATGATCTATATATTATATCTCCCAGTCATTACATGGCATTCAGTAGACTAAATTTGGTCCTAGTGATGGCTAGCAGTAGGATGAAGGAAGAGCGTTTCGTTCCAGTCTGGACTCATCAGCCACATCCACTAGAACCACAGTGAGTGTTGATCTTACTGAGACTCGAACTCCGTACCTATCAGCGTCGTTGTACAAGAGGTGGTTGTCCTGCCTCAATGGACTAGTGGACAACGCTTCGGTGGTTGAAGCGACTGATCGTGTGAACCAGGGTTGGTGGGGACAACATCACTCAAAAGGGATCATGTACATCCAGTTGAGAAGTCCCAAGTAAGTCGAAACGCACGTCCCGGATTCCATTTCAAACTATAACCAAGCCCATCTCCCAACAGAGGTCGATCAATTTGATCCAGTACAAGAAAGGAGAATTACAAGCATCAAAAAATAAATTTGCTCTGCTCCACTGTGTGACACATCACAAAAGAACTATACTGCAAGTAAACTCCACCAAAGTGCCAAAATTCTATTCTCATATCGAATCCAAATGTGCATTCACAGCTAAATAAACAAATGATGACATAGAATAAAGCGAAGTTGTATACAGTAACCACTCTGATTCCTAGTACTGTCTCAAAGAAACCTCGTTCAATTATCGCATACATAGAAACATGCTATGAAGACTATGAACTGACTTAAATCACAGACAGTAGAAACGAAAAGATTTGGCATGCATATCTGAAATTAATACAACCGAGAAGAAAAATAAGCAGCCGCTTCAACACTACGGTTTTAGTGCTGCAAACCTTTATCAACCTCATTCAACAACAACATCCTACTCTCATATGATCCTACGTGTCAAGTGATTCACAATGAAAACCTCAGTAATGCCTTCGCAGTGAAGATAGGGGAAACGAGTAAGACAAGGTTGCCACCTACTATCATCGATCACCATCCTGACTGTGGTCAACTCGACTCGACTCGACCGGACCATGCAAGAAAATGTGAGCAGCGACAAGAGAGGTATACACCGGCTGGAAAGATCAAAAGACTCTAGAAGATTTCCAGTTCGTCCATGATGATTCATGTACAATGTCTTGTCATACAAAGTCGAAGATCTACAGGCGAAAACTAACAAGTTTGCAGAACAGGCAGTGAAAGAAAACAAGACTTCCTTCAGCTGAACGTTCAGAAAACAAACGGGATGAAGATACCCAACCAACAACAACAACAACCAATCACCATCAACCAGAGAAATCTAAACGAAGTTGTCTCTTTCATCTACCTACCTACCTATCTAACTACCTACATCACCTACCTACCTACCTAGCCACCATCTTCCCAACTACTAAACGGCACATGCACAAATCACGATATCAAAGCCACCATCCCAAACACACCAACACACGCCCTCCTTCATTATTCTCAAATCAGTGTGCAAGTCTACTACACTACACTACACTACACTACACTACACTCAGCACAAAGTGTAAACAACATCCGCATTCTCAACACCAACATCAGTCAAGTAACTCACTACTTCTATATTATGCTTCACAGACTCGGCGCCTCACCAAAAACATTTACAACAAACTACAGACATACATCACATCACATCAACACCTGCCACCCACAATCAATTACTCGATACTCAACATCGATCACATGCACAGAATAATAAGAATAAGTAACAAGAAACTCTGGCTGGCTGGCAACCAACCAATCAACCAACAACCTATCGCCCAACAAATATCCACAACAAAGTAAACATGGATTCGACACACACTGAGAAGACCGTTTGAGGACATCACGCACCAGGTCAGACCAGATCCTGGAGTGGAACCCGAATGGGAAACAACCAGTTGGGCATCTGAGCCGAGGGTCAAATGGGGGAGATCGTGTGAGGAAGAAATGAAAGGTTGTGGACAGTCATGGAGCCAGGTTGAAAAGACTTCAGAGAAGAGAGTGAAATGACGAAGTGCTACTGAATCCCTATGTCCCACTAGGAACCCAAAGGACGAATAAATAATAAATAAAATAACTGAAGTCATAAAGTTTTGATTTGTGTCATCTAAGATAGTATAAACTGTCTAACAGATGTTTGGGTAAGAGAACTAGCATGACATTGTTTCAGAATTTCAGACATATCCTGACTCAATATCTATCTGTTTGTTTATCACCCTTCAACAAATTCTACTGAGTTTATTAGCCCTCAATTTTATAATGGCTCTGTTGATTTTTCTTCATTTTGCAGGGTTCTCTCCTCTTGAACAGGAGATAGTAAACTGGAGTTATAATCCTTTTCTTTAATTACCAGTTTGTTTTTGTTTTTTTACTCCCTAACCCCCCTACTTTAATCCGCTGGAGTACCTAACTTATCTGGTTTGTTTAATGCTTTATGGTTTGACTCCCCAATGGTAAGTAAATGATGCTGCGAAAATAACACTGGTGAAATACTTCAAACTGCCTTCAATGGCCATGTTTTTCAGTCAAAGAGTACGGGTAGATAGAGTACTTCACTTGTCCCTTAATAAGAGCTCAGATATCTCACTGACGGGATCAATTCTCACAATAGTTATTTAAATCTTTATTCTGTCCATGCCAAGGTTTCTTCAACCGTTAACTTATCAACAATCGGTGATTAAAGCGAAATAACAATCTGGTCATCAGTTGTGTCTTGGTAGGGCACCGAGCCAGAAACCTGGAGTATATGGTCAGTGAATCGAATTCCTAACATATTGATGCAAAGTTTAAAATATAAGCTATCCCAAATCTGATTATTTTTCTCAACTTCCTACTTCCCAACTGACTAGATTGATTCTGGTGTAAGCTACACACTTTGCCACACTAATTGGCTGATTACGCACAATAATCAGTTGACATAGTTGTGAGTACGCAGGCAAAATGATCACGATAATGATAAACTGAAGGACTATTTAAACGCTTTTCTTTTCACCAGCAAATTTTAGATGTAGATGAAGGAGAAAACAACGATAATAAATAATTAACCTGAACTAAATCAGCTGCCTCCTGGCTCAATTCTGCACCTAATCCAAATTCTCGGCGTCTAATATCTTCAATAAATTGACGACGATCAGAAATATCCTTTGAATCAATTATCACCAATTGTTTAGTCATATTTTCCACTGTACATTCACATATGGTATCATCAAGTTCTATATTAGTATTCTCATTAATTGTTGACACATTGCATAGAGTATCCTTAAAAACAGAAAAGGAACCAAGACGGTGCATCATAGGGAACTCTAAATTATCAGGAATTACAATACAATGATATATAGATCGATAATAGAAAAGACAGTAAAACGCCCACTAATAACCTAACACTCGATTAGCACACTCTTCATTCTAGCAAACAAAATGTCACCGACAACTTTAACATTCGTGTATTGATTGGTGATGGGAGTGCAACTAATTTCATGTTGTCTAATCCTGAGTGCAGACCGAATCCTATCGATCATATTTGCAATGTGACAACAAAGCTAGGAAGCTCAGCATCGTGGTGCACATTAGTAGATGTTAGTTAGTTGGAGGCAATCGGCAGGAAGCCCTGAACCTAGGTTTCGCACCTCTAACCAACTAACATCTACTAATGTGCGCCGCAATGCTGAGCTTCCTAGCTTGGTTGTCACATTGCAAATATGATCGATAGGATTCGGTCTGCACTCAGGATTAGGCAACATGAAATTAGTTGCACTCCCATCACCAATTAATACATGTAAGCCAATCCTACAGGAGGTCAATTGCAGCCCCAATAGCTCAGTGGTAAAGTCACTGACTATAACACTGGGTGATGCGGGTTCGAATCTCAGGCAGGACATCAGTTCCGTCGAGACTGCAGATACGCCTTGCTGACGAGTGCCAAAAAGCACAGGACTTAGGTCCAGGGCTTCCTGCCGATTGCCTCCAACCAACTAACATCTACTAAATTTAACATTCCTCTAAATGTTGGTTGGTCTGATTATACAACCTGTTAATTTGGATACTATAAAGCAAAGATATGACAATACATTTGTCCATTGCTTCAGCGAACTGATTAGAAATCTTACTTTGCATACAAAATCATAGAGTCAAACCTATTCCTTCAAGATCACTGTTCACTAGAATCGTGTTGCATTGCAAGTGTTAATGCACCTTAGACAAAATAACAATGAATAACACCGTAAGTACATAAAAATGCATCATGCTGCCTTGATTGTCGATTGTGAACTTTTATCGACCAAGATGGCTCGCTCGAATATGTGTCACGTATGTCCAGCCAACCGTCTCCTTCATCACTCACCGTTGGCCGAAATAGGTTCAGGCTGATAAAAGCCTCAGAGTGGTCAGACTAAAATATGGCATCACTCTATGAAGTCCTTGACTGTTCGTTTCACTCATGTACGGTGATGCACAACTAACCAGGTGAAGTCCATGGGACAAGCGAAACCAGTGATTCAAGACTCTAGGTGAGATGACATGGCTGAGAACCCATGTCAGTAGTGCCGATGTATACACACTATCTTCGTCTTAACCGCTATACTGATTCTCACTATCTCATCTCTCCTCCCTCTCTCTTACTTACTACTTTCTACTAATTCATTTGACCAACTTTTCTTTTTTTTTCTTAGTCTTCCACTTTATTGCCTTATTACTTGATGTGCTGGATATCAGATGTGACAACTTAGACCGTAATGCAGTAATCCCTGGCCCTAAGCTAATCTTGATGATGACTATTGATTCAATATACACAATCAACATCCAGTTAAAAACACCGTAATGCAATGAACAATAATATCAAGGTAGCATTGCTTTGTGGGACTATCAGAGACCTTTCAGCACTTCAGTAATTCCCGTAAGTACACAAATTCAAAATCCGAGCGATAACAGATATTCTATCTGTAATATTCCAGCTAATAATATAAAACACTAACTGGTTTAAAAACGAAAATAATGAAGAGCACACATTATTAAGACTTACTTCTTTCACCTCGGTTATCTCAAAACCACTTTCATGACCACCATCATCTTCTTCAGATGTTCGTTGAGTGTGTTGTAGTGATGATGATGATGGGAAGACAGTGATTGTTGCTGGTTGACAAACAATTTCAATGTTCATTTTATCATCAATAAGCTTGAAACGATTCTCTTCAAAAAATTTAATATACGCCGGCCATTTAAGTTGATAACCAATACTACCTATAGCTGAAATTAAATGATTTTTAGTCCAATGGGAGTCAGCTTCAATATTATTACATTTGTACAAAGGAAGAAGATCTTCATCAAAGAGAATATGCAAAAGACTATAATTGATAGATGAATTTTTCAATGAAATATCAGCTGTATCCAATGGCCAAGAAGTAGAACTTCGTATCCCTGCTGATTGTAGACTAGGGACAACAATCTGAAAATGAGAAGTAACCACAAACAAGTCTTTAACAGGAGCATATCTAACCTTCCTTCAATTAAAATATATGTCAAAAACCAGAGAGACAGATAAAATCAAAGTAAAATCTTGTAAACAAGTGTATCAGTTCAAGTTATCACACTTCACTTAAGTATACAAAGAATAAGTGGATAGATAAGGAGTGATAAAAAAGTAGACAAAGTTGTGTGATAGAATAATCAATCTGAAGATAATGGTCAAAGTAAATATTTAAGCTTAAGAAGACGTGACCGATTTTGAGCCATGTTACCGAGAGCCTTTAACAACTGATTCCTTCGTCTCGAGGATCCCAATCACGTAGTCTACATCTCTCCACACGACTTAGACCGACAGTCAGGGACTTCATCGACGGGTGCCATGTGTTGGTCTGGCTACCATGAACTCCCTTCCAACTTCATCCAACTTCTCTTAGCGTGACGCATCAAGGTGGGCGGTGGCTCAGCATACGTAGTATATGCTCCAAGCCATTTCAGTAAACTAAGGTTCATAACATCATCAATCGACTTGTCTGTCTTGTCTAGTACCCTTCACCTGATCCCAAGATTGCTCAAACGGTGATTTCACCAAACACAAGCAATGATGCGAAAACATATGTGATAGAAACTATGGAACAGCTTCGTGTCATCTACTTTTAACAGTCATATCTCAAAGCCGTACAGCAGGACAGAGAAGCACTGACTGCAGTGCACTATACTTGTCTTTTAATAGGTAGCCAGATATCTCGCTAGTTGATGCCACAGATCACCAACGTTAGCAATTGCCAAACACGTTTTCTGTATCCGAGATGAAATTTCATCAACAACTAACCCGTTCGAGTTGATACAAATCCTGAAGTAAACAAAGTGGTCGACACATTCCATCATTTCATTTCCTATTCCTAATCTAGGAGTAATTACACACAAGTCTTGGAGCATCATTTTAGATTTAACACGTCCAAGTGAAACACATGCTAAACATACTCAGATTACTGCTCAACACGTCCAGAAAACCCTGCATTTTGTGAACGTTTTCACGTAACAGGACAGTATTGTCTGCATACTCCAAGTCCACCAGATTACCTTTAGGAGGTAGATCAATCCCAGTAAAGTATATTCAAAAAAGATTATTTAAAATATTTGTATATTAATTCCTTAGTGCCGTAAAAGACAACATATCTCAGTGACTTGATGATAGTTGAAAATCTCAACACTCACTGACCTACTACTTTCATTTAAAGCTCTACGCTAACTTCTATACTACTGATTTGTTGGTTCCACAATACACAGACAGTGCCAATAAAAGGCAAAATGATCGGACACCTGCAGCCTTTCCTTGTGTCTGGTCATCTATTGACAATGTAGAAATTCCAACCAATAGCTTCTACCTTGATGCGGTGACTTGATATGCATATCACAATGATCAAACTACTTATACTGGTGAGACACATCCCTTAGACGACTTGCCATACCAGATAAGTCGGTTGAATAGTAATAAGACGACAAGCGGGTATCATTATTGTGCAAATTACTACACTGTGATGAGAGTTTGAGGGTCAATTTGCACTGCCAACTGGACAGAAGTATTACGCCGGCACTGCATTTTCTACGAAAGGCCCGAAGAATAACGGAGTTCTCGTTGGATGGTCGGCGGAAAATTCCCTCTCCTTCTAAAGCATGTGTTTGGACAGTGACAACACCTTAGTTAGAGCAAGCATATGTCCACGCCTAAGCGGTCGTAGGAAATCTACAGCACCAATACAATTGTGAGCGCTGCTTAATGATGATGATGACAATATAAAGGCAACTTTCGGCAAGAAACTGACTACCTTAGTTACCAGAACAGCACAACATTACTTATCTAAAAAAGGCGGATTCCACAACCAATCTGGTGTAAACAGCAGTGTTGAAGACAGCAACTATCAAGAGAGTTTAGAAAGGACCCGCGAACCTCAAGAGATTCAAAATCAATTAATGCACATGAAGGCAATCTTGTACAACTGCTCCAAGTACAACGAGAACCGGAAACAACTTAAGTATAGACAAATAAATAACCTATGCAGTGGTTAATGAGACTGTGTAGCGGACAAGGATAGATTCTTACTTACGAGTGGCTGAAGTAGGTCCAGACTGGAAAAAGGCTCGGGTGACCAGACTAAAACATGGCACCAATGTATGATGTCTCTGACTGTTGGTTTAAGCCATGTACAGCGATGCAGACTAAGTAATTAGGGTCCACGGGACAAGAGGAATCAGTGGTTGGAGAGTGACTCTAGGTGATCACATGGCTGAGAACCGATGTCAGTGACGTAGATGTATGCCCACACACATTATCCTCATCTTAACTACACTATACCGAATCTCATCGCTTTCTCATTCTTCGTTTCTCTCTTTCTTTTCGTACTTTATATTTCTTTTGACTGAAATCTCTTATGTTCATATTGCGCCTCACTGCCTTTTTACTTGATGTACTGATATGAGGTGTGGCAACTCGGACCGTTAAGCAGTAATGGCTGGTCCTAGGTTGATCTTGATGGATGGAACTAATGGCTAGATGAATACACTTTCATCATACATTTTCACTGCTTCTTACTAAATAATTTTCATACACAACAAAAGATTACCATGTAAAATCTTATATGCATCAAACGATTACGTAATAATCAGTATAGTATCCTTACCGAAGAAAACACCAAACTGAATAAATTGAAGGGTAGATTCATCAATAAACTGTACACAAAGTGGATCCATTCATCGGGATCTACAAGATAAATGATAAATTAGTCCACCAATAAACAATATCACCATTTTTTTTTCTAACTGAAAAAAAAACATTACCTGAACTAGATGTATCATGAGTAGTGAATAGACGTTGAAGAGATGAACACGCTTGTTCACTTGATAGTGAAGTGGTTTTAATAACTGCACCAATTAAATAATCACCGATAAGACGAATTGTATGAGTATTTCGACTACATTGCCATTTCTCTAGGGCATTTTTTAAGTCGTTAACTGAAGGATGTGCAGTTAGTCGAAGTATTGGACCACCATACGGTAGTATACGAATAGCCATTAAATTGAATCTACTACACACTAGACAAGATAAATAAAGAAAATAAGGTTGTTTTTTGTTAAGAAAAAAAAAGCGTAATCGTTTTAAAAGTAGTAAACGATAATTGACTATACAAACGATTAAGCATTAGATGAAAAAAAAATACCCAGCTTGAGTTGTAGTTAGTCGGCGGTAGTTGAGACATAGATAAGCCTATGACGAACAGGTGACTGGATCATAACAGTGTTTGTATCTTCGGACAGAATTATTATTTGCCTGCTTAGAAAGACAATCAAATTATCTAATCCTGAATCCTGAAGGTCCCCAGCCGCGTCGTAGGTGAGTACTGCTGAGGAGTCCCATACCAGGACGAAACAGCTGTCCAGTGCTCCCAGATTTTCAATGTCAGTCCATGGTGAATACTACTTTTAAATAAGTCATATGTCAAACCGACTGATAATTCGGTGCGTAGATGTCTCAAAGCTTAGTTCGGTGGGAAGAGTAGTACAATAGGTCGGTAATCCGTAGACCACTGTTTTCAATCCTGCTGTGAACCACGTTCTCATTTCACCTCCAAGTACCACCGAATAACAATCAAAACCATTTCAGACAGCTTCAATGACCATGTTAAATCGATTATCAACCTATTTTTACATTATTAAAGTCAAGACAACAAGTATAGTTAGTTATCTACTTGGTGTATAATCTAATGCATAGATATATTAAGGTTTACAACCAGATATACACCAATGAACAGTGAGTAGCAAAAAACAACATTATCCCCTTACCTCTCTGTATCATAAAAGAAATAAAAGAATCCGATGGAGATATGAATACAACCTTCACATGGTTTCTTCCCTCTAACTCCTCTCTGACAAGTGAAGAAACGGTCTGCTGCACGTTCATTCTATAGATTGTTGTCTCATTGACATAGGTGAGCCATATACAAAGATCATGTATCTTTTCACAGTAGCAAAAAAAAATAACACAACCGTACTCGAAATTATTATTTGTTGACATACTTGTAATTCCCCGTCGGTATACTGGATCGATAAAAATATGCTAGAGAGAAATACTAAACTTGTCATCTACTCGGTCTCAAATAAAAGATTATTCATTAGCCTAGAATTTAAAAGTGACCTAGTATCATATGTACTGAAGTATCGTCTATGCAGCATGACTTCAAATGACTTTTATCAGCCGTAAACTATTCTCCGTTTGTATTAAAGATAAGGGTCACTTGTTTGACCGCCTCAATGTGAGTCTACCAGTTTCATCTGCTCATGTGGAGCAAGGTACATCGACCGTAGGCCAAAGAATGCTTTCCACATGTATACAAGAACATATTTTGGCTTGGTTTTATAAAGGTGAAAGAAAGTTTGTTAAAAGTTCGATTCTAGAATATTTGATTGATTTCTATCATTCAATAAACTCAGACAATAACTTCAAAATTGTTCATCAAAATTCATGTAAACCTCTCATGTTTCCCTCGTTTTCAACTGTTTAAAACAGAGTAGGCTTTAGTTATTCATGAACTGATCTGTGTGTACAAAAGAAGTATGTACAGTCACTGTTTTTATCATGGCCATAACATCTTCCCTACCCCCATTAGCTTCTCTTCCCCCTTTGTTAATTTTAACCTTTGTATCCTTCTTGCATCAGTATTATTGTTATTATAATTACCTTCACTTTGATTATTTTCTGGTGTTATTCTACTTAATTGTCTAGCAGTGTGATCTAACGGGTGCGTTTCATACTATTTAGAAGTCGTCAGTAGGATGTACCTGCAGCCCAAGTGAGTGATGATGTTCTCACTGCGACTCAAATCCAGTACCCATCAACATTGTGCAAGAGATGGCTATTGTGCTTCAGTTACCTAGTAGATAAACGCTTTGGTATTTGAAGCGATGGATATGGGGTTCGAGTCTCACTCACTAGGGTACAGATGAATCCGGCTGATGAGCCCCAAACACGATGAAATGCACATCTCCGATTCAGGCAATTTCGATGAATCCGCATAGGAGCCCAATCTGCTAACAGAGGGGAATCTATACGATCCAGTATACCAACGAGGAATTACAAGTATGTCAACAAATAATAATCTCAAGTATTGGTGTATTTTTCCCACTGTAAAAGAATATGTAAGCTTTCTTTGTGTTTATGTGTATCAACCAGAGAACAATGTATTTATTCGTTCAAAATGAAGTGACTACTGTTAACAACATCACTGTCCAACAGACTTTTGTAGTATAGAAGGACATCAAGGGAACAGGTACCCCATCAACTAACACTAAGCGATAACGACTCAAGTAAATTTCTTTCGGCTTAAAAACACTGTAATCAAGCTAAACTATTCAATAGACAAGTAGAGTATGGTTGATTGGCTTAGATCTTTATTCGATTGTTCTGCAATGGAATTATATCTCACTAAAGGAGAGTTACTAACAAGTAAAAATGTAGCTTATCAGTGTGTACACAAATAGACAGGATTAAAATAAAAACTCACTGTCAGCATTCTCATGTTGCATAAGAAATAAGTCTAGACTACCCCAACGATCATAGAATAAGCCATCTTGATACCATTGAGACCATACTTCTAAATCGGTTAAAGATGGACAAGTTGATAGAAATTTCAATAAATAATCACGTTGAGTAAGTAGACGAGAGATTATAGTCGATGATCTTGAACTCATAGACTGTTGAATTTCTTCAGTAGTTAAAATACTCGGTAGACGGACATTATGACTGGAAAAGAAAAAGAGAATGAACCAATGAAAACACAAGGATTTTTAGTGTACTAAATATGAGTAAGCAAGAAGATCGCGAAATGAAATTCTGATTTATAGTTTAAGTGAAATAGAAATATCAAAAGTTAGTTAACAGTTGCAAAATGTTGAAAATATTGAAATTTATTCAGTAACCTTCAGCATATTCCTGCAGTAGGCAAACAATGACAGTTAATTACCCTACCTGGCTGTCTGAGATCATAGAAGAGTATTAGAATCCCTAACCCTATTTCGTTGAAAGTCATCTCTGTTTCTCTCAGCCACCAGCCACAGCTCCATATCACAAAATGTTATTTCCTAAAAATTATTATTATTATTATTTTTCCCTTGGATTCCTAGTGGAACATAAAGATTCAGTAGCACGCCTCCATTACACTCTCCTCTCTGCAGTCTTTTGAACCTCGGTCCACGACTGCCCACTAGCTTTTATTTCTTCCCCACACGACCTCCTTCATGTCACTCTCATCTCTGACGTCCAACTCGTCGTATCCCCTTTGGGGCCACTCGAGTACCTGACCTGGGACGTGATGTCCCCAATCGGCCTTTTCAGTGTATGTCCAATCCATCTCCACTTGCTTCTGCATATTTGTTGAGCGATAGGTTTTTGGTATGTTCGTTGCCAGCCAGCCAGAATTCATTGTTGCTTATTCATTCTGGTCATCTTCAGTATCGAGCGTCGGCAGCTGTTGATGAATGTCTGTAGTTTGTTGAAAGTGATTTTTGTGACGATTTCCCAAAAATATTTCATCTGAAAATCACCGAGAATATCAATATTCTTAACTACAGTATATTTAAAAAAATTTTAAAGTCGAGAGTAAATCCTATCTTACGTATTTAAACTTATATATTGGTCTTTTGGCTAGCAAAAACAGTGTTTACACACATATTTTACATCAGATGCCTAAATTCTACTCTTCTCTTCACGAACAGGTTATTACTAGAATACTGATATACCCAACTAGCCTATATTGATCTCACTTTAGTTCTGAATGGCGTCGATCTCCGAGAGACGGTGTAAGTTCCTATACTCATCAAGTGGTGTCCATCAAGGATGCCCACTATCTCCATTCTTATTTAATTTTATCATAGATATTCTTATGGAGGTTTCCCTCTCGTCACCTTATTACACAGACGTTGACCCGATCACAGATGAATTTTCTTTAGATCTAGAATATGCAGATGACATGACATAGTCCTGTTAGGTGAAGACGCTGACTGATGAGATGCAGAGTCTTCTGAACACTTTCAGTGGCAATTTGAGAATGTTTGGGATGCGATTTTCACCACCCAAATGTAAATTTTTGCTCCAGGACTGGTCTTCAGCGGTGCCCCACCGCGGTTAACAATAGAGAGTGAAGTGGTTGAGTGTATTGACCACTTCACTTACCTGGGAAGTAGGATCAACCCTGGTGGGTTAGTTGCCGATGAGATTTCTGCACGGATACAAAAGGCTCGATTGGCTTTTGCCAATTTGCGCCACATATGGCGCCGCCATGATATTCGTTTGTCTATTAAGGGTCGCGTGTACTGCATATGCACAACAGTCCTCTCTGTTTTACTGTATGGCTGTGAAACATGGCCACTGGAAGTGGAGGATACAAAAAGGCTTCAGGTGTTTGACCACCGTTGCCTTCGTAGTATAAGTGGCCGTATTCCGTGGTGTCACCATGTGAGTAATGCAGAAGTCAGGTGTAGAGTTTTAGGGAGAAGAGGTAAGTCAGTAGACCAGGTTATAAACTTTCATCGACTGAGATGGTTGGCCCTGACACGTACTACGTATGCCTAGTCACCGATTGCCTCGTCACACAATGTTGGCCAAAGTAGGTCCAGGCTGGGAAAAGGCTCGAGGTGGCCAGACTAAAACATGGCACCAATGTATGAAGTCTCTAACTGTTGGTTTAAGCCATGTAGAGCGATGCAGACTAGGTGGTTGGGGTCCACGGGACAAGAGGAACCAGTGGTTGGAGACCCTAAGTGATCACATGGCTCAGAACCGAAGTCAGTGGTGCAGATGTATGCCCACACACATTATCCTCATCTTAGCAACGCTATACCGAATCTCACTATTTTGTCACTCCTCTTTCCTTTCTTCTCGCACTTTATATTTCTTTTGACTGCATTCACTTATCTTCATCCTTCACCTCACTACCTTTTTACTTGATGTGCTGATATGAGGTGTGGCAACTGGGACCGTTACGCAGTAATGCCTGGTCCTATGTTGATAATGATGATGATGATGATGTAAGTTCCTTGAAGTTTTCAAATGAATGCCAATATAAGCAAGAAACTAAGGTTTAACATTTTCCTGTCAATCCGACTCGTAAAACACGCAATACTAGGATCTTAAATCCTATTTCAGTATTCATCAAATCATTTCAATTAGCATCAGTGATGACAACACAATCACATAATCAACATATATACACCTAGTATCTAGCAAAAACAAGCAAACACTGACAAATTCTGTCGAATCTGTGGAACTTCAATATATTGATGAAAAGTCCACAACAATTTTTTTTAATTGTTAGCGTTTTAAAAGTATCCTTTGAACAATCTTAGAGTTTAATAAAGAGTTTCGCAGTGTGTGAGTACAACTTAACTGAATGTCAGCATACATCTACACAGAAATCCACTATATAAAAATGAAATCTCTGGAAGAATGCAAAGCTTACAATAATCACAAACTTCAGAATGGTGAAATTTAGTTTATTCAAGACGTTATCATCATCTAACAAGTTTGCAGAACAGGCAGTGAAAGAAAACAAGACTTCCTTCAGCTGAACGTTCAGAAAACAAAGGGGATGAAGATACCCAACCAACAACAACAACAACCAATCACCATCAACCAGAGAAATCTAAACGAAGTTGTCTCTTTCATCTACCTACCTACCTAGCCACCATCCTCTCAACTACTAAACGGCACATGCACAAATCACGATATCAAAGCCACCATCCCAAACACACCAACACACGCCCTCCTTCATTATTCTCATATCAGTGTGCAAATCTACTACACTACACTACACCACACTCAGCACAAAGTGTGAACAACATCCGCATTTTCAACACCAACATCAGTCAAGTAACTCACTGCTTCTATATTATGCTTCACAGACTCGACGCATTACCAAAAACATTTCCAACAAACTACAAACATACATCACATCAACACCTACCATCCACAATCAATCACTCGATACTCAACATCGATCACATGCACAGAATAATAAGAATGAGTAACAAGAAACTCTGGCTGGCTGGCTGGCTGGCTGGCTGGCTGGCTGGCTGGCTGGCAACCAACCAACAAATATCCACAACAAAGTAAACATGGATTCGACACACACTGAGAAGACCGTTTGCGGACATCACGCACCAGGTCAGACCAGATCCTGGAATGGAACCCTAAGGGGAAACAACCAGTTGGGCGTCTGAGCTGAGGGTCAAATAGGGGAGATCGTGTGAGGAAGAAATGAAAGCTTGTGAGCAGTTGTGGAGCTATATTCAAAAGACTGTAGAGAAGAGAGTACAATGGAGACGTGCTACTGAAGCGGTATGTTCCACTAGGAACCCAAGGGACAAATAATAATGATAAGATGTCATCGAGTATGTATCTATACATCATACATGAAAGTAAAGATTTCCTTTCTCAATATTGATAATAAAGAAAGGTAAACACACCTACAACCGTTTTTCAGTTCAGCGCCAATGCTATTTCATCTACTTTTTTTTTTCAATTGTCATCAAAATACAAGTGTAAAGAAAAACAAGATGGAGTTAAAACCTATTTCTAAAAAACAACAAAAAACTGTTTTAAGGTTTAATGTGTTTGTCTGTTTGTATTTTTAAGGAAAATGTTTACACAATTCAACTTACTGATAAACTAAAGGTTTCAATTTATTCTCTTCTTCACAATCATCAGCAAGTTGAGATAGAATTGAACCAATGAATTGATCCAATTTTGGTGAATATTGAATATTTAAGTTATCACAGACAAGTTTACACAATTCCTAAATATATGAATACACAAATTACACATGGAAATAAGTTACAAAATGGTAGTTTTTTTAAATGCAAATACAGAAAATCTAGGAGTACTGTATACCCCGTTTCGTGCTAGTCTACGATTCATTAGTAATATGTCACTAGGAAGACATCATTATCCAGTGTTTGCTGGTGACTTGCTTCAAGACAAAATTCTCCTTAGTGTAATGAAAACTCGTGTAGTGTGGGTTTAATCAAGTCAAAGGTGATGCTAATTCTATTTGATGCCATCGGATGACATTTAGGCTACATCGTGAATCAATAGAATCACAAGTAAGTGAACTCATTGCAGACCAACCCAACGGTTGAATGGTAAGATCTGACGATCCTGAACATGATCCTTCACGGAGACGCAGTTGCGCATTGAAGAGGATAAAACAACTGTCCAGGGCCCCAAGTTTCTCAAATAATTTCCGTTTTTGAGAACAAACAAACGATATCATATGATGGGTGTTTCATGAATATATAGCAGTCTTGCAAGGGGCTGAATTGTCATCTATTCGCGAACAACAAATGTAGGGATAAGCGACTGACATAAAACAGACAATACACAAAACCATCTCCTATACTGACTTCAGATTGAAACTCATCATATACTGACATTAGTTGAAGGGAAATTGGAAACCTTGCAGCATTGGACAGCTGTTTCGTCCTGGTGTGGAACTTTTCAGCAGTGCGCACCCATGACGCTGCCAGTGGCCGAATCAAGACCCTTCAGGTCCCGCGCCCAGTACGTTACCATTGAACCACTAGATCAGAATCCAGTGGTCTATATTTCCTACTTCTGTCACTTCATGATATAGTGCGACCTCTATTCAATATCGTCGTTGAGTAACTATCCCTATGTTCGACTTGATTGGCTCCAATGGTAGCGACTTCTCATTGGAACTTCAAGAACCACCTCTCGAAGCTAGTCATCATTGATTTATGATTAGAAATGTCTAACTTCCAGCTGTAGCTAATCAGTCTGGACATTCAACTAGTAACCAGTGGATTACTGGTTTGAAAACCGCTCCGTTTACCGAGATTTGGTAGCCAAGTAGAAATACCAGTCCTCATATAATAAGTGAACAAACCTCAACATGGTTGATGAATGACATCACATTTTGAGGAAATTTCGAATCTTCAATTCTTTTACAAACTACACTTTGAATTCTTCAATTTCGTGATATTTTTAAGTTAAACAATCTTACCCCTTCTGATATCGATATGTTTCGATTGACCTGTTCTTCATTTTAGTTGATCAAAAGGTTGCTTATCCTAGATCCATTCGATGAACAGTTCTTCATTAAAATCTCTTTCTTCTCCAATAGAAACGGTTATTGGACAATAAAGATGAAGTGGCTATGAGAAACCTCACAGCTTATCGAAGTTTATACACCAAATTTGTGATTTAATCGCTAAACTAAGCCATATGACACTCTGGTTTATGGCATTAAATGTTGGCAGTTGATCATGAAACATTTAACAAACCATAGTACTGAAACTGTGGCTCATTTATTTCGAGAGATAACTTCTAACTATGAGGTCATAGGTTCAAATTCCGCTCCAACTACAGAGGTTTCGGTAGCCAGGATAGTATCATTGGCTTCTATACAATAGGTGTGGCTTACTGTCTACTGAATGAATGTACACATACTTACTAAGTGCACATGGATTCGATTTTGACAATATTTTATCTCCTCTGATGTCTTAGCTAGGCTGAGTTAGTGGTTGACAGATAAGATTTAATGATGTGATATACAATCAAACGGATGGAGTCTCTATAGAGTATCTAATAGGTCCTTTCTTGGTTGATATATTCATGATAAGTATCGAAAATAGGTCGCTTATAAAAAAAAATCATCTCAGAAGTTTATCTATATAAAAAGTACAAGGAGGATATTGTTTTAGTTGGGACAAAACATTTACTATTAAATTTGTTGTTAACAAGGAACTATATTCAACATTTCACCTCTTAGATGTGATGTTGAAGAGGAAGGATAATAGGTTTACTGCAGACGTCAGTCAATCGTAAACCAACTTGAACCAGACAGTTCACTAAATTTAACAACTGAATAAGATATAAGGAGAAGACGAAACCCATGTCCTGGATTCCCCTGTTAGTCACAAAGATGAATACAACATAAGGAATATTCACTGGTATCGAGGCTTCCCCATTGGAACCCGTCTGTCGACAAAGATCGAGCATTTCAACCCAATATAGCAACGGTAGATTATAGGTATCAGACAGAAACAAATGATACCTATGCCCTAGTAGAAGACCACGTAGTGTTTGTAGCGATGGGTAATGGATTCGAGTCTTCCTACTGGGGCAAAGGTATATTCGGCTGATGAGTCCCAAACAGGAGGAAATGCCCATCCTGAATCCCACTGCTAGTCACCAAGATGAATACAACATGGAAGAAATCTCATTTGTTCACTGTTTTCTAGAATTTCAAAAATCTCATATAATACATTCAAAGATGGAACTGAAGCTTTCAGAACAATATCAGTAAATAATGATTGTATTCAGAGAATTTATCGGCAGAAACCGATATAAACAGACTACTCCTTAACCAATTACAGTCCCAAGGAAGAATTTAGCTTTAAATATAAGATTCGAAATAAATGTCACAGCTGATATATTGAAGAGTCATTTGTCTAAATACAGCATCAAAAATACCTTCTACTTCTCTAACCTACAACTACCAGTATTCTTGAGCTGTCACTTGATTCAACAATATATAAAGGAGAGTTTGCGGCTTACAGTGAGACAGACAGTAATACAGATTGTACAGGTGTACAAGAAACTCATACACCAAAACACAACAATCAATCATAAAGTTTAGATAGGAAAATAATGTACGTTTCATAATGGGGCTCTAGAAATTCAGTAGTCCAACGAATTAGTCACTTGTCTTCTAAATGATCGTTTCTAAGCTCAAGTACTCAGAAAAAACACTAACACTCATAATAATGCATGCATACACAACTGATAGATGTAAAATCAGTTGACAAGTGTGTTCTTCATTGCATTACTGGCTCCCACTGCGATAAATTGGTATATCAACTCATTGATTGATAGGACTAGTTTAAAACAACACCTGATAAGAATAGACTATTATTTGAGTTGATTATGATAAGAAATTAAATTAGTGTAACTCACTTCTTTGCTTCTTAAAGAGATACAAGTTAACTTCTGTACAAAATCAAAAACTACAGCAGGATCTACATCGTTTGATAAAGACTTCTGATCAGCTTCAGACACATTAGTGTTCTGTGAACCAGTAAAATCAGAACTATTAGTACCTGTCTTGTCTTGTTGAATATTGGTCAAATTAACTGGAAACTAACAAAATATACACAACAATTTACTTATCATATTGGTTATCTATACTCATATACATAAGGATACAAATATAGTTACGTAGAATACTTTTAAACAACAGAACAAGGAAATATATGTAAATCGCTTAAATCAATCAATTAGTGTCAACATAGGACCAGGCATTACTGCGTAACGGTCCAAGCTGCCACACCTCATATCAGTACATCAAGAGAATGCAGTCAAAAGAAATATAAAGTAAGAGAAGAAAGAAAAGAGGAGTGACAAAATGGTGAGAATCTGTATAGCGTCGTTAAGATGAGCCATGTGATCACCTAGGGTCTCCAACCATTGGTTCCTCTTGTCCCACCGATCCCAACCACTTAGTCTGCATCGCTCTACATGGCTTAAACCAATAGTTAGAGACTTCCTACATTGGTACCATGTTTTAGTCTGGCCACCTCAGGCCTTTTTCCAGCTTGGACCCACCTCAGCCAACATTGTGTGACGAGGCAATCGGTGACTGGACATACGTGGTACGTGTCAGAGCCAACCATCTCAATCGATGAAGGTTTATAACCTCGTCTACTGATTTACCTCTTCTCCCTAAAACTCTACACCTGACTTCTGCATTACCCACATGGTGACACCACGGAATACGTCCTATACTACGAAGGCAACGGTGGTCAAACACTTGAAGCCTTCTTATGTCTTCCACTTTGAATGGTCATCTTTCACAGCCGTACAGTAGAATAGAGTGGACTGCTGTGCAGTACACGCTTGAATACATGACTCTAGAATTCCTGATCAATCATTATGTAAATTATTTATCGATACATACAAATATTAGATTAGTGGAGCTGTGGTTCACGAATGGGCCTGTATACGGTGCCAGAGCGAGAGAGGGAGAGGGTGAGAGAGAGAGAAAGAGAGGGCGATCACGAACATTCATCCCTTACTATCTTATTTTACTAAATCAGCTGTTTTTCACTCAGTGTCCATCAAAAAACACATTTATAACACAGAAAGACTTCGAAAAAAACCTATTTCCAAGCGTACACCTCGACTAGATCATCGAAGCAAACAAATGAAAAAAGAATAGTGTCGAAGTAGCAAACGTGTTTCACAACACCTATCTTCGTGATAAATGCTTCGCGAAAGTCTACGGGAATTCGGTCTATGCTGTAGCATGATCGGAATAATCTTGTTAGGAAGTCTGATGTTTTAGTAAAGAAATTAGTGTACAGTGTATGTTTGCTTAATAGGATCCTTTCCGCAGCTGAACGTACGCGCACAAACACGACATCAGCTTGCATACAATGTGTTCCCTTAATGATTTTTTTCAAAGCAAGAACAACAAACATTGTGGATATGAATCGAATTCACATTTCGTGTACTCTAAACCTTCTACATATGCAGTTGTGTACAGTAAGCAGCCAGAGTCTAGTAAAAGTTATTTCATGTATTTTTCAATAGTAAATTCAACATCAAACACATCCTTCACACTTGAACATCAATATATATATATATATATATATATATATATATATATATATATATATATATATATATATATATAGACCCTGGAGTGGAATCCTAAGGGGAAACAACCAGTTAGGCGTCTGAGCCGAGAGTCACATGGAAGAGATCGTGTGAGGAAGAAATGAAAGGTTGTGGACAGTCATGGAGCCAGGTTGAAAAGACTTCACAGAAGAGAGTGAAATGACGAAGTGCTACTGAATCCCTATATTCCAATAGGAGCCCAAGTTTTTAAACTCATATTCAAGATTAATTTAGTTTACTTCATTGTAATGAACGTGGTATTTAAAAACAATACTTTTAATTCAAGTTTCAATAATTGAACATCAGAATGAATAATAACATAATTTCTGAATTTCTTAGAAAACATTGTTTAACAAGTTCTCGAACTACATATGGTTTACATAATTCAATCTCTGTTAATGGACCAGTAGGATACTCCAATATGACAATAAAAATGGAAGTTTATGCGACAAAATATATATTTAACGAATCCACAGTTGATGTATTACAACTAAAAGGTACTATGTAATTGACTGAATGTGATATTACTAGCAGTCGCCATATATCGGGATCGAGTAAGGCGAAGTAAATTCCTACAAGTAGGTAATAGATTTAACCGTCATATTGTCAAGCATACACGTTCTACACTATTATTATTATTAGTCCCTTGGGTTCCTAGTGGAACATAGGGCTTCAGTAGCACGTCTCCAGTGACCTCTGTTCTCCGAGATCTTTTGAACCTGGCTCCACGACAGCCCACAACATCTCATTTCCTCCTCGCACCATCTCCTCCATGTCACCCTCACTAAGGACGCCCAACTCGTCGCTTCCTCTGGGGATTCCACTCGAATGTCTGGCCTGATGCGTGATGTCCCCAGTCGGCCTTCTCAGTGTATGCCCAGCCCAATCCGTCTCCACTTCCTCCCAGTGCATATTTATTCAGCGATAGCTTCTTGCTTGGTTCGTTCCCAGAGCTCCTTCTTGCTTATTCTCATTATTCTGGCCATCTGATCTTCAGTAGCGAGCCAGCGTAAGCAGTTGTTGATGAATGTCTGTAGTTTATTGGAAATCCCTTTCGTAACGCGCCAAGTCTCTCAGCCATACAGACGCACTGACTTGACTGACGTTAGTGTTGAAAATCCGGATCTTGTTCCACATGCTGAGTGCAGAAGATCACTACACTACACTATTACGTCATATTATTTTACTTTTTCCTTTTATTGGTTGATTAAGTCATAAAATCTGTCATTCATCTCTCTTCTTTTGTATGATATGCACTGATGTCTAAATGTGAAAGGTATACTTGATATCGATTTTATTATTGAAATGTACCAAATAACTTCTATTGAATATTGAAAGGTTACTCTGTATCAGTTTTCGTCTTCTGATACTATTGTGACTCAGTAAAACTTAAGGTTTCGAGGTAAACAGATATTTTCCGTGTATCCAAGTCCTGAGTTTTTATTAGATCACTTCACAAAATATCTCAACAACAACAAAAAAAGCCATATTAAAGAAAAAAACACTTGAAATTTTGCTCAACTTACTGGAGTCACACTGTTTGCATCTTTGTTTATAGCCTCAGATAGATAACTTAACAGAGATCGGGAAGAATTGATATTGATCCTGGAGGTTTTACATTTCTGATCCAATTGAGTTAAAAGTTCCCTTTCCAATGATGCAAGTGATAACCATAAATTTTCTGATTGTTTTTGTTCATTATTTTCTGTCTGTTGACTTAACAATTGATTAAATCGGTCTACGATCTCTGTTAATTGGGGATATTTATCAGCAATATTATCATCTGAAATGACACACAGACACACACGGAGAGAGAGAAAAAGGTATACGGTTTACACTACCTATCTTAGTACAGTAGAATAGATAGACAGAATCAACGTAGAAGTGGGCACTCCAGATAAGTAGTCTATATCTCGTCATACGGTTAACACATACAGTCAGGGACTTCAATCACTGGTGTTACCTCTTAGTCTTATAACCATAGAGCATTAGTGGAAGTAATGTCTCCTAAAAATACTGAAGCCAACATCACTCAGTGTTACAATCAATAAAGTTTGTCACTGATATATTCGATATTAATTCAGAAGTTAAACGACGTGAAAGTATGATGGTAAGTCATTTAGTAAGCTTGTTAACAGGAATTGAAAAGTTTATCAATAAAATTCGATCAGTACTCAAGACTATAATGTTTTCGAATTAAATTTTCTCTCTCAATAGATTCTTTCTAATTCCGAAAGTATGAGTTTCGCCACAAACAAGCGAAACGGTCATCCAGTGTTTACGTAAACTCTGATCTGATTGGTGGAATCTACAGATGAGTCTGTGTGGTGTTTAACTACGAAATTTTTTCAGCAGTATAATATTCCGTTAGATATTTTCTTAGTCTATACTTAACTAAGCAGCACCTCAGGTTGGTGTACATCATGGACTGACATCAGGTGGAGGAACATTGGATAGCTGTTTCGTTTCACTAGTATGCGATTCTTCAGCAGGGCACATCCATGACACTCCCAGAGATAGAATCCAGGAACTTAAGGTCCCGCGCCCAGCACATTACCACTGAGCCACTTGGTCGAAATCCAATGGTCCATATTTCCTACTTCTATCAGTTCACGATATAGCACCACCTGCATCTAATGCTACTGAGTAACCGTCCTCTTGTTCGACATGGTTAGCAACAGTGGTCACCACTTCTCGTTGGGACTTCGGGAATCACCCCCCGAAGCTAGTCACCAATAAGCAACAGAACAGTTCAATTTTGAGATTTGTGGGGGTTTGTTGATTTCAAATTGGCATTCATCATGCACTGACATCATTAGGAGGGATATTGGATCTACGGCTCATTGAAGACTTCCGAAATTCTAATAAGAAGTTGCGACCAGTGTAGTTAACAATGTCGAACAAGAGGACAGTTGCTCAATAACATTAGATGAAGGTGGCGCTATATCGTGAACTGACGGGAATAGGAAATATGGACCATCGGATTTCTACCAAGCGGCTCGATGGTAACGTGCTGAGCCCGGGACCTTAAGTTTCTGGGTTCGATCCCTGGAGGTGTTATGGATGTGTTCTGCTGAGGAGTCCTATACTAGTGGGACGAAACAGCTATACAATGCTTCCAGGTTTCCAATGTTCCTCCAACTGGTATCAGTCCATGATGAATATCAACCTGATGTCAATAAATCCCCACTAACCTCAAAATTGTATTAATCAGTATCTACTAGATAACACACACACGCAGAGTGAAGTCAAGTTTATCGTAACATAATGGTCATCATAGCTCTCACCATCAATATCAGGTGCAGTTTCACACAATTTATCCTCTTCATTATCTGAATTCATGGTTAAATCAATAAAGTCTAATGATGATGATGATGTTGCTGCTGGTGGTGTTGACGATGATGCCAATACACTGTTTGCCTTCTGAGTAGAAGATAAAACTCGAGTTAACAGTTTATTGATATCCATTGATTCTGTGTTGAAGATTAAAATTAGTAGATGTACAAGTGTACGAAAAGGCTAAAAGAGTGGAAAACAGAAGAAGATTAATGTTAGAGTAAAACGTAGGCACTATGTTAGAATGCAATTCCATATTAGATTGTTTATTGAATACAGCATACAGTATTACTTACTGCATGACGTTTTAAATCGTCTGTAGTGTTGCCTTAAAAAGAAGATACATCGGAAATTTTACGTGGAATTCTTAACAATGCTGGGATTAGGATGACATTTAAACCCACAGACAAGCTCGAGGAAGCTAAACGATTTAGTATAGTCAATTAGTCAACAAGGAACTCTGGTAACTAACCAACCAAGAACCTATCGCTCAACAAATATGCAGAAGGAAGTGGAGATGGATTGGGTATGCACTGAGAAGACCATTCAGGGACATCACACGCCAGGTCAGGTACTCGAGTGAAACCCAGATGGGAAACGACAAGTTGAGCATCCGAAGTGGGGGTGACATGGAGAAGATCGTGTGAGGAAGAAATGAGAGGTTTTGGGCTGTCGTGCAGTCAGGTTCAAAAGATTGCAGAGAACAGAGTGCACTGGAGACGTGCTACTGAAGCCCTATGCTCCACTAGGAACCCAAAGGACAAATAATGATTATAATAATCAAATACCATGTAACCATGGTAAGGTCAAGTATATAGGTCAAAGCATCTGATGTGAATCAATCAGATTAGTGGAGCATAAAAATTTAGCACAACATACAACGGTAGACCCTACTAAGATAAGTAATTCTGAGAAAAACTCAGCTATAGCTCTGCATGCACTGACCCATAATAACACTATATGGTGGGTGAGAGATACGGTGACAAGTTTAAAACTCAATCAATCTAGCTGGATGGAGGGAGAGGACGACCATTGAATCAACACCTAACACAAGTGACGGGAATGACTCGTCACGTATTGTAGATATCTGGAAATGTTTACTACCTTTAAGAAAAAAGAACGAAGAACCGTTACACTATATAAAGAAAATTTGAGAATCGTTATGATTATTTTTCATATGGGCATGAGAAATGTTCAGAATGTTATTCAATTAATAATACTATATCACTGTGTGCTAGCTATATCAAATAAACAATCTGCCGACTATCTATTAAGACATGAATCAAGTGAATACTATGAACAATCTTACCCCTGTAGCGGCAATTCGCTGCATAAACTGACCAAATACCAGTAATGAGTCTAAATGACCTTCAGGCCAAACTAAATTTTTCTCATCTGCCCAATTTTGCAGTTCAATGTGCAGTTTTGTAGCACAATTGGCCAGTTGTTTTAAAACAATAATAGGTTTTCTTGATCTATGCAACTCTAAGACAAAGACGAGAATGGAAACAAAACAAAAAAAAAAGATCAAGAAAAGCAGTGAAAATACTTTCAAGTTAAACTGAAACCAGTTTTTAATTACTGAAATGACAGGAACCTAGGCAAAAAGAGTAGTAAAGCAAGAAATTCAACACAGAAAAATATATGAAATCATGAGATCCTAGAGTACACATATGAACTGAGAACTGAGAGCACTGATTGTTGAACGGTACCCCAAAAAAGCCTAAGCAACTATCCACCAGCCTCTGGTTCTATAGCCAGGCTAGAAAGCACAGTAAAAAATTATTTTTAAACTAATCAGTCATTAGAAAAACATGTTAATATATGAAGGATTGTCTCAGAATCGAAATTAATGTCTATCGCATCGTATAATGTTAATTGAAGTAGCTGCAGACCGGAAAAATGTTAGACGAGTCCAGACAAAAACATAAGTCCATGAAATTTTTCACTTTTGGAGTCCGTGCGATAAAGAGAATCGGTGGTTGGGAACTCTAAGTGATATGGCTTAGAACCGCTTTCAGTGGCGCAGATATATACACAAATTATCTTCACGTTAATCATCACACTGAATCCTCTTTGCCTTATTTTTTTAAGACACCTATGATAAAAGAAATGTAATCACTTCATATACCCTACTTTGAAACGGTATGTCTCGCAGCCGTATAATAGAACAGAACGAACTGCAGCACAGTATACCCCTCCTTTAATATGTAGTCGCATATCTTGTTGGTCGGCACTACAGATAACACAACTTAGTGAACCCCTAACTGAACTCCTGTACGCGGGATCCAAGTTGAGATTTCATAAGCAACCAGCCAGTTCGGGTTGATGCAACCCCCTAAGTAATTAAAGTGGTTAACACATCCCACCACTTCACTCCCTAGCACAAAACTAGGATTATTTGCAGGCCAGTCCTTGAGCAACACCTTATATTTCACAGGTGCAAACTCCAAGCTAAACATACTCGGATTACTGCTCAGTGCGTTCAGAATGTCCTGTATTTTATCAGCGTCCTCACCAAGCAGGAAAATATCGTCTACATACTCCAAATCAGCTGGATAACCTCCAGGGAGTAGATCAACGCCTATGAAGTCAGACGTACCTAAGGTTATGTCCGTTAGTACACCTATAAAGAATTTAGAAGACTGATTGGGCGAAGAAATATATTCCTTTTCAATTAGGTCTTCATCTTGGGCTCTACACTAATACATAGTTTTACAATTTAATCAAATTACCAATCAAGTGGTGATGTTTCGAAGACAATGATGTAAATAATCAATAGAGTTACTAAAATTGGAAGTATGAAACAATAAGCAATTATGTAATAATAACAGACTAAATGAATATTGATAGAAACAAGAAGGGGAAGAGGTGTACAAAGTAAACCTACAAGTTACATCATGTTGACAGCCACGGTAATGAAAGCAGTCGAACACACTTCTTTTGGATACAAAGGCTAGGTTTGTGAAGGTGGATTGCAATCGCCTCTGTTATGTGAAGTAACCGAGTGCGTAATCCATGAGGTAAATTATTTGGAATCTGATGGATGATTTTGAAGATTTTCTAGTAACCACTTGATGTCCTGTGTCAACTAAGTGTGCAAGTATGGAGCTCTTCATAGTTCTAATTTGTCTCTTGTTCAACCATGATGGGTGGTGCTCAGAAATTCGACGATGGAACCGCCTCATTGTACGCCCAATGTAACTAGCTCCATAGGAGCAGCTGAATTGATAAATGCACATAGAAGTGGCAGAATCAGGCAGTTTGTCCCTATATCTTGCACCTAGAATCGGGCGGTTGAAGGCGGGATATAATGTAGCGGCTGGGAATGCTTTATGCAAGACTCTTTTTATGCGTTGTGTGATGATCTCACTGGCAATGTCATTCTTAAATTCCAGCTTCAAGAAGATTTGCTTCTTAGGAACGGTTGGCATTGTTGTCTTAACCCTCGTAATATTCATGAGCTTAGTTACAAACTTGTCTGGGTAGCCATTCCTACTAAGCAGATCACGGATGGTGGCGCACTTTTCCTTTATAGCATCCTCTGAGCAAATAGCTGAGGCACGGTATGCTAAGCATTTCACTAGATTCCTTTTGTGTTGGAGGGGTATAGCACTAAAGAAGTATATTGACCTGTTGATGTTGGCTTTCTATAAACACTTCGCTTCAGGGTTTCATCTGACCTTCTTACTAACAGAACATCAAGAAATGGGATAGTCATTTTCCTCCTCTTCCATTGTGAAGTTAATTGCCGGGTGAACACTGCTGAACTTCATCAGAACAGCATTCTTATCAGTTTCACTTTTGAGAAATAAAAAGAATTTGAACAGGAACGGTGACAGCGAGCATCTATGGTGGACACCACGAGTTGTTTTCACTTCAACTCAGATGAAAACTATCAATAACCGCTTAATGGCCTGTGTTAATTTGGATAAATAGCTTTGATTAGCGTTACATACTAGTTCGATACTTTTCCACAGTCAGGCTGTCAGGAATGAGAGTCAAAATCCACTTACGGGTCAAGAAACATGATAAGTGTAGGTCACCAGTAAGCATGTCTTTGTTCCAGAACCTGTGGAAGAGTAAACACCTGATCGATGCACCCTCAACCAGGTCTGAAAGCTGCCTGGTGTTTTCGAGGTTGCTGTTCACAGGTTCCTGTAAATGTCCGTTAACTATGAACACAGCACCCCGGACAAGATGTTAATCAAACTGATGATCATATGGTTGTCACAAGAAGACTTCTCTCCATTCTTATTGACTGGAATGACCAGTGAAGTAGACCAGTCGGCTGACAGCACTACCTCTGATTCCCATACACTACCTAGTACCTCCGTTACTCTACTTAGTAATTCGCCACTCCGTCCCTTAAAATGCCTGGTGGAAAACTATTAATTCGGATTGCGTTGCAACGTTTCAGGTTCCATACAGCCTTCTCAACTTCAGAGAGTTGGAGGACCAACATATACGTCCCATTTGAGTTCGAACTGGATCCCGGTAAGCAGAAGCGTTGCTGTGGGCAAGCTGAACTCCGCTACACAGTGCTCCAACTTTACAGCCGTTCGTTTTGACAGATTATTAGCGTCCCCTTCTTTTGGTGACTGTTTTACTCACTATATTTTTCTTCGTCGCAGTATGCTTAACAAGCCTTAACAATTGCAGCGTATTACTTAATAACCTGGTGCCTTCATCTCTCTTGCTCTCACCACCTACCATTGCTCCCAATCATTGCTACCTCGTGATAAATTTACATTTGAGTTGCTTTCGCTCCTCATTATGATCACAGTCAGCTGGAATGAATCTTCTCGCATCAGTTAGTTAGTGTGAGGTTTGTCAATCTATGGTTACCAACAGTTTTTAATTGTTTCTGCAGCAGACTGAATATGACGCCAGGTTTCCTCAGGATCAACAATGATGTCACGTTCAGATAAGGGCTTAGCTACCTCCTCCCTAAATACTTACCTAGCGTCCTTACCTTCCAATCCAGCATAAAGAGGCTTTACCATCAGCTATTTTCTACGACCAGTAAGGCGGAGATATACATATGTCCATAATGACGTGCGATAGGAATCCAAACAGGGAGTCCAGAAAGAAAGGCAATACTCCACCGATCCTTTCCAACGGTGGCTTATAACAATACGATCTATTTGTGACCATCGCTGGTTTCATGTCGGGGGATGACGTGTGAGACAGTGTCACTTCTTATGCTTGAAGATAGTGCAGGTCAGAAACAAGTGAGTCAGAACAAAATTGCAACAGACAATCACCATCATCGGTTTGTTAACATGGGATCCCATAAATGTCTCCAAGATGCCTTGTCGATTGGCTCAGTTTTCCTACTTGAGCGCTAACGTCATCTGCTGTTATGATTGGATCTAAACATTGCATTTTGTAGCAAAACTGACAGCTTCCCATAGAATCCATCCTTTGCATCATCCGAACTCGTCAGTGAGCTCATAGGCATACGACCCGGCCATTTACACGATCCTCCATAGTTCTTACAGATCCATTCAGTTAACCAGCACACAGGTGGCTACTGAGGTATCCAGTCATGAAGTCCACTTTCTGCTCCGCACTCACTACTATGCCTACAGCAGCAAGTCCACAAAAGCTAGTCGATGAATCTATGGACATACATAAATTGAATTTTGAAGGTTATACGAAATGGTCAGGTGATTTCAAGTAACTAAACCCGGGTCTTGTGTACGTGTCTCAGAAACGCAGCATACAACCATGGCTCAAAATTCCAGAGTTCTAGTGGCCAATGCTTGTTATCCGATTTGGTATAGGGTTCAGACGTATAAAGCCGGAATGTGATACCAACAGTGGGGTATTAGAAGACTAGGAGTAGCATCTTGCCGGATCGGATCGTTGCAGTGGTCGGAGAGTGAGAAGTTGGCGACGTAAAAGATTCAGCACAGGTTTCAGGAAGTCAAGTCAAGTCAGGAAACACAGATAAGGAGAGTAGGTTGTTGTTGGCTTGGTATCGCATACTACTTGAAGCGTGATGGTGGTTGGTACTTCCCACCATGTGGAAGTCGTTTCTGTGAGGTACCTGACGGAGTAAAAGAAATAACTCTGCGTAACCGCAGAACCTATCGGACATCTGTTTGTAACCTTTCTCACACAGATTTAGTTGGATTATTGCTTTTAGATCTAATTTTCCTGACGCCGCATAGAAAAAAACCCATATCTCCATTACCACAATACCCCAGGATAATGAGTGTGCTATTTTTAGAACCTTTTCCAATCCACCCTTCCTATAGGAAAAGATAGCATCAGCATGGTACTGCTAATCATCCGCAAGAAACACCTTACTGCTATTACACCCCCCCCCATTCAGTCGTCAATACGTCTTCGCGCTCAGACCCATCAATGTTTTGAGTAGAGAAATAGTTTCAGATCAGGAAGGAAAACTCCTAAACAAAAATAGGGTGCAACACTACCAAACAATGTTTTCACCATTGCCATAATCCTTCTGTGCATTTGCATATTTTTAAATCATTTTGTCCTCCCTATGAATCCATGGGTATCTTTGAAAGGTAAAGGCAAGGCTGAAGTCTTGCAAATCTGTGCTTCATATGACTGCGGCTAGTTGTTCTAAGCAGTTAACTTGCAACCAGTGCCGTGAGTTTGAATCCCGCTCTGCCTACCAAGGTCCAGTCAACCGAGCAGTATCATTAGCACTTACATAACCGGTATCATGTCACCTAGTGCATTAAAATGAAAATGGTTGCCAAGGTAGTCCTACTTAGTTCAGTCTGTGCAGCATAGTTTCGTGCTGTATGACCAAGGGTCAATTGAAATAATCAAAGACAATAAAATACCAACAGATAGTTACGAAACAATAACAATTTACGGAACTTACTCATAGCACGGTCGCTTAACAGAGAAGAGGCGAATTTTTCATATATTTGACGTATATCATTATCTAATTGTTCTTGAGCCAATCTAGAGGCCTTGTTAAGATTTTCAGGACGCAGACCGTTGATAATTTCCTACAAAAGGTGGAATTGAAGAGAAATTACACTTTTTTAGATAATTAATGCAATGTGTGACTTACTAAGTTTACTGACTTCAATAATGATAAGCATTCGTTGCACACATTATCATAAATGCTATGCACATACATATTTTACTGAAATACAATACGACGGTAGAATATTCATATCATTTCTGCTGGTTAAACTTAAAAAAGCGGTTTATTTTTAAACTAAGTAGGGTTAGTTGCACCTAAAGTTCACTAATTGAAAGTCAGATGGATAAACCAGTTAATGGCACTATTGCAAGTTGGTCAGTTACTCTGTTTGAAATATGAATGTTTAGTGCAATGATTTCAGCAGGCAGGAGAATGTATCAGTCATCTGAGAGCTGAATATGAGATATATAATCATTTGAACAGTAGTACAAAGTATGTATTTTGTAGCTAATGAAACGACAAACTATAAACATAAACTTTCAGATACTTAGGTCTCACAACAAATACAATCTTTTCAAATGTTACTACATGATATTACTTAATTTCCACTGTAATTATGCAGATGATCCTAGAAAATCTAACAGCGTTCGTACACTATTTGCAGGTAAAATGACAACTCAATTACATTTCCAAATCTTCTAATGACTTCATACGACTGTTGACAACATTTTCTCAATTTCTGTCTTTCAACTTGAAAATTTACACCTCAGTGTGCTGATGTGAGTTATGGTAACTTAGACCGTCAGGCAGTAGCACTAGATACCACGTTATTACTGACTTGTCTTGAAAATATCATCCAGCATTGAAAAAGATTGTCGGCTGAAGTTAGCATATATTCTTAGTATGACTAGGAGGAATAAATTATGCTTGAAATATCATCTTGTAAAAGACACTATATCACTCTATCCTATATCAAAGATTATTATTATGATTCAAAAGATGGATGAAAAGTTGCAATACCATTACAATGCATCATCATCATCATCATTATCAACATAGGACCAGGCATTACTGCGTAACGGTCAGAGTTGCCACACCTCATATCAGCACATCAAGTAAAAAGGTAGTGAGGTGAAGGATGAAGATAAGTGAATGCAGTCAAAAGAAATATAAAGTACGAAAAGAAAAGAAAGAGGAGTGACAAAATAGTGAGATTCGGTATAGCGTTGTTAAGATGAGGATAATGTGTGTGGGCATACATCTGCGACACTGACATCGGTTCTCAGCCATGTGATCACCTAGAGTCAGTGTCCAACCACTGATTCCTCTTGTCCCGTGGACCCCAACCACCTAGTCTGCATCGCTCTACATGGCTTAAACCAACAGTCAGAGACTTCATACATTGGTGCCATGTTTTAGTCTGGCCACCTCGAGCCTTTTCCCAGCCTGGACCTACTTTGGCCAACATTGTGTGATGAGGCAATCGGTGACTAGGCATACGTAGTACGTGTCCCAACCGACCGATAGCTGCTACCTTGACGTGGTGGTCGGGCTTGCATATCACAATGACCCAACGAGCTATGCTGGTGGAACTCTTGTTCCCTCGAGGTCCTACCATACCAGAAAGGTCTGTTGGATAGTGGTTAGACGAAAAGCAGTTACCGTTATAGTGTAAATTGCTACACTATGATGGGGGTCTGAGGGCGAAGTCGTACTGCTGCTAGCTGGATTACAATGCATAGGTGCGAATGAATTATAATTACCAATAAGTCACTCAAACAATCATATTGTTTCAAGCATTAGTCGAAAATTTGGCTTACTTGTGCAATATGAGTGAATCCCTTAATTCTTATACCATACTTGGCAAGTTGGTCTAATGTATCAGATTGACTATTTAAATTTGCAACTCTGACATTGTCCAAAATTGCTAACATATGCTGAGTGAATACTGATTCCCACCATGTATAAACTGATCCACGACTAACCGTTGTAGGCAGACGATAACGATTTTTGCAAATGCATTCTTTCAATTCATTCAAAATATCCTCTGTACACATTTTTAATACTTGATTTGTACTTCCCAATGTGAAGCATGTGATTACACGTGGATTGAATTCACTGGTTTGTAATATTTCTAATGCAGCTGGTAATCTTATAATCGGACCAAGTAGTTGATATTCATTTGGTGATGCCATCTATTGAATTAAAATCAACAAGAAGATACTATCAAAAGAAGCATTAAAAATGATTTCGAAGCATGTAGGTAGTGGATACAATCCTACTAAATTGTGTAAAAAAACTTTATGTATGTTAGCATGAATTATAATTATAAAACAAGTTGCAGAGAGTGTCACGAATCTGTTATGATTTCTTACATTATTTTACTTATTACAGTCAACCTACAACAAAAAAAGAAAGCCAAAGCAGAAGCTTTTATAAACTGTGTTTATACCTTTTATGTTATTTAATCGACGAATACATACCCAGTACCATCTTGCATAGACCTTCACAGCATTATTTACCCTTACGGTAGATTGTAATTTAGACGTATCAAAGAAACTGAGGTGACAAGATCAGTGGTCAGTGAAACTAACGAAGAAAGATGAGTTTGAGATCCACTCACATGAGAGACAACTGGGAAAATGGGTGGAACACTTGAAGAAATAGTTCAACTGGTCTCTATCTACTATCTCGTTGCCAACTGTCTGGTCGGAACTCGAATGAAACATTGAGATAGGGCCTTCAACACTTGTGAAAGTCGAGAAAGCTGTAAGTAACATGCAACGAAGAAGAGCATTAGGACTAGATGGTATGACACCGGAGAGATTTAAGGAAGGCGGTAGGGAATTGTTGGTCAAATTAAATTATGTTAGCTGGTGTTTCAGAGTCACATATGATTTCCTCTGACTCGTTACAATCATTGATTTTCCCAGCTTTTAAAGAAAGGTGAGAATTCCTCTTGTGACTTCCAGACGAGTCAGATGGCGTATAAGCAGGGCTCGCGAACCACAAACCTGGGAAAAAAAAGGTAGGTTCCAGATATTGTTACTTCTGTACCGATCAGATGTTCACACTCCACCACGTTCTGGAACACATACTTACCAACGCCCGACACTGGCTGCATTCCTCGACTTGAAGGCAGCATTCGACTACGTGGATCGATAGGTCTTATGACAGTATCCCTGGAAGGAATGCTGCATAAGCCCATCGCCTTGTTGAAGGGTGCACGGGTGGGCAATTTAGAACCTATGGTCAGTTATGACGTGAGTTGTGTACGTAGAGTGGTGTCCATCAACGATTTTCGCCCACATCATTCTTATTCAACTTTATTCCAGATGTACTCATACACGTCTCCATGTCGTAATCTGACATCAAAGCAGGATTCTTCGTACATCTGGAGTTCGCCGATAACATAGTCATCGTAAAAATGCACTTTGAAAGTACGAGGAATCTTCTGGATATCTTGAGTAACAATTTGAGAACGTCTGAGAAGTATTCCACACCACCGAAATGTAAATTGTTGCTTCATGACTGATGTTCGCTGGTGCCCTATTTAATAGTAGGGAGTGTAACGGTTGGGTGCGCTGAACAATTCACTTATCTCGAAAGTCACAGCACAGCTGGTGGGTAACTGACCGACAAAATCTCTGCACGGATACAAAAGACTCGGTTGGCTTTTAACAAATCCCGTATTTATGAGGCCACTATGATTATCTATTAAAGATCGGATTTTATGTAATGCAGTTTGCTTTGCTCTACTATATGGATGTGAAAAATAGTGATTAAAGGTGAATATTAAGACTCAGGTGTTCGACAAGTGTCGCCTTTGTACTAAAGGATGTATCGAAATGTCACTCGATCAATAACGTTCAGTTAAAAGTAGTTTCAGAGGAGGAAGGATAGTTAGTTAATGAGGTGAACTTTCATCGACCCAGGAGGCTGGAACATGGATTGCGCGTGCCTAATCACCATCTGGCTTGTCGCACAATGTTGGCTGAGTTAGGCTTAGGCTGTGAAAATGTCTACGGTGGCCAGACTAAAACATGGCATCAAGGCATGCAGTCTTTAAGTGCTGATCTCAACCGTGTACGGAAGTGTGGACTTTTCAGTTGGGGTACGTGTCACAAAACAAACTGGTGGTTGGAGAATCTAGATAACAGGCAAGAATCGATCTCAGTGGTGCAGTTGCACCTCCATATCATATTCATCCTAATCATATAAAATTCTATATCGTTTCATCCCTTCTTCCCATCCTTATACTAGTTTCTCCTGCTTTTAGTGACTTCATTTCCTGTTCATCGATGTTTATCTTCAAGTCTCCTACCTTGATTTGTTGATGTGAAGTAGGGTAACTTGGGCAGTTACTCAGTGATGACAGATATCACGCTGATATTGACTGCAACAACATGATGAGTAAAGTTATAGACTCAGCGAGCAGAATAAGAAAAGTTGACTAAGGACACTTGACAAGCTGAATCAACATCCAATGTAAGATGTGGTCTGGTAGTTAGGACGCCATGCTATCTATTAAGAGCCACAACCTTTACCATATCCACTGTGGTTCGCGACGACAGATAGCGTTACCAGTCTTCGTAGCTTGAGTAGGTGTTCCGCGTACTTGTCTAAGACTGCTGGCCTTGCTGACTACTCAGCCACAACACTAATGGTTCGGTTTGGTGCATCCACTCAAATCTAGAGCCATCACTCATTGTCACGGAGATTTATCAACTTTCAACTCCACATATAGTAATGCAACTAGCCAATATGATCATCTCTCGACTAATAGTTATGACTTATTAGCAGACCCAAAAGCACATGAATCACTGTTGATTTATGAAGACATAAGCATCTAATAATGCATATTCAGTGAGGTGCATACGACTTCCTCCTCCATGAAAATAGTCATTAAATAATCTTCCACACTGATAAGAAAGAGAAGACGACAAGAGGATAAGCAAAAGCTGCTAACTTGAGTGAACTATTGTTCCAAACAAAGTCTACAAGTGATGCAAGCGTAGAACTCAGGAAGTGATATTGTACAATCCTGTACCAGGTTATTCTGTTTAGTGCAATACACAAAGTTGAGGTACGATTTACTATATAATAAATGTATTATAATGAAACCATAATACTGCATCTGTATCACTGTGATGCATTAAATAAATCAAGCCAGTGTGTGAGTTTAATAGACTTGGAACAACTACTAACAAAGTCTCAAAACCTATAACGGTTAATATTTAGGCAGGTACCAGTTTCGAGAGTGTTGAAACAAACCTGTATTAATTGTTCCATATCTGCCAGTGTTAAAACATTGCGAGTAGTAGCATAGGCCCAAAGGTGTGTATTTACTCTTTGTATCAACCTCTTATGTTCCATTAACCGAGGTATACAGTCCGGATTCATTCGTATGCTTCTAAGGAAATCGATGACAGTTGGGTAGTGCTAAAATTTATTCAACATAAATATATAAAGTACCCTGAATAGTTCTTCTTGAACACAACCAGGGCCAGTATAACGATATTCTCGCGAAATTTTCCACAAGATCAGCTGCACAACGTTGTTAACATCTTCCAAAGTTCTAAAATGATACTGTGACGTAGTTGGTGACTGGAAACTAAAATTTGTCGGTATAGGTTCAGGGAACGGCATTCTTGAGCGCCCAGTGACCTTCAGAGTCGCGCTTCCGTCGAATACCCGGCTTGACATTCAACTGCCAATGGAAATAAACAATTGATTTAATGGTAATAAAAACGCTAACGTTTCTTTGGAAGAAGTCTACTAAGCGCAAAACAATGTGCTTCTTTTCCTTACTTTGATGCCAGAAGAAACAGGAGAGATAGTTCACTGTGTCCATGAAACATTTTTGCATTGCGAAGAGAAACAAATAATTTCAGCGATCGGTGTGATGAAAGGCAGCAGTTCTGCTAGAAAAACTCCCATAATTGGAAAGCATCACTTTGTTTAGACGTTCATAACAAGTCTATTCGTAACCAACAGATAGCTCATACTTTGTGTTGCAGTGTGATGTTTGCTAGTCTACCTTCTGCGACTGATAAAATCAGCTTATCACGTCGCACCCATGTCCATCGGCTAAAGTTTCCACGCTTCAAGGTAGTACACAGAGAACGGGCGAGTACAGAACCAGCGACACCAAAGCAGATAAAATTACACTGGAGAACAAATCTGAAGATAATGGATAAGTGTCGTGTCCACCTCGCAGTTGCCTCCGAGGGTCAAAGGTTGTCGATGTCTTAAAAACTTTCTGACAGGAGGATAAGCTGCAGTGAACTGTAATCTGTCTCGTGTTATACCCATTTTTAAGGGTGGTCGATGAAGTGGCCCGATGAGGCACATGCCTGCAACTCCTATGCACACCGTCAAAAGTGTTGGAGCCACAAATTTGCAGCGGTTTACACGACTATCTAATGTTCAGTGACTTATTTGTACTCCACTGCCATGGTTTTGGGAAGGGATAAACATGTGTTGCAAACCTGCCAACCACATTGAACTGTTGGACTACAATCACTGACGATTAAAACAGAATGGATGTCAAGCACGTCGACTTTCTAGGGATTTCGTTAGCGTCAGCTACATCTGTCGAATCAGCTGGATATTCTACGGTGCATCCACCGTTAACATAAAAGTAGGTCCGCATTCTACGAGGCTCCCCAGCCTTCACAGTGTCGTCGACTCGGGTCTGAGATATTTTAATGGCATTCACCGAACAAGTTGTGACTCAAACCCAAAAGTCAAGAACTCTTTTGTTCGCAACTTCTACGGCCATGAACCGAAGCTTCTACTGCACAAGGCTGTGTGGAGCCACTGCTGGAATACGGGTCATTCATCCTGAATGGCATCAGCATTAGTGAAAAATTTAGGATAGCAAGAGCAAAGAGGTATTTCACACATAGTCTGCTCGAAAGCGAATGGGGACAGGATTCCCTATCTAAATTTATGTCCCTTCAGTCGCAACTACTATGGATGAGACGATCAAGGATAAGTCTTGTTTTCTTTCTCAAGATTGTACACTATATACTATTTTCATCTAGTTACTAACCCCCATTCACACAGGGATATTACTATGAGTCACGTAACCACACGCACAGGATCGGGATAAAAACATCTTTACATGCTGGCTACCTTTCCATCAAATTCTCCCAAATGTCGAATCAACCCCCTGTTGAAATTAGGGCCAACACCTCACCTATCTACTTCATTTGGCTGCTAAACAAATTCCTAACCTCTAGTGGCATGGTAGGTTAGTCTGGTTCACCACAATTAGGCTCCACAACACTCAACATACTGGGCCCCATGAATGTCTAGATGGCTGGGTGTATGTAGTAACCATCAAAATTTCAGACAGAGTGCTGATACTATGGAGGATGTGTCTGGTGATCTCGTGCAGCTAAGCCCACTAAAATATCCTCACCATGATAATCAGCTAAACACAAGCCGCATCAAACATACAAGGATATAGCAAGCTTCTTTATGATTTGCCGGTCGTTTGAATGAGACAAAATAACAAGCATATTGGGTCCACGAACAACTCCTAAGCCTTATGTATATACACATATATGTATATATTTGTGTACAAGAAACCTATCGTAGGACAATATCCTTAACGTGGAGCAGAATTCCTCGAATTCTCAACCCATTCTAGCGGCATAGACTCCTCCCCCCTCCCCACAACAAACATAGATAATAACAATAATATTTACTCCTGAATGCACAGGCACATACCATTTTTACAGGTATGAATAAGTTACCGGGTAAATTATGTGTATTTTTATAGCACGTAGTCTCAATCCCCATCTGTTCTGTCACTCGAAGGTATAAGTGCTGCATGTTTATATAATGGAAAATCCCAGCAGAATAAGTATGAAAAATTTACAAGTTGGACGGGTTGAAGTATTGTCTTCTGATGATTAACAAAAAAACAAGTTTGTGTCTCTACATTACGCGTATTACCTGGAAGGAAATAAAGCTTGAAGCCCGTACTTCCGTTATAACAGTTTGCACACTTTGTCTATGCCAATGATGAAAAGTCTATAGGGGGATGAATACTCAGGTTGTTCGTTTACTGTTCTTCATCATGATTCCAGAAATATATAGTTCATGTATACCAATACCATTTCACATCAAGGATTCATACCCTTGCTGAATATTACGACTGTGGGCTAAATACCTTCATTTTTCCAACTCCAACATCCGGAGGCAACAGACCTGGTTGAATGCGTCAGATGAACTTCCAGGACATCTTGTCTGACACTATCACGGGTCGTGACGGCCCTGATGTCGGCAAGTGTTAGACATTCCCGGTTAGTTTTGTGAGGAATAAATTCCAGGTTTTGATAATTATGAAGCCGCAGTCCAGCGAACACTCTTCGTTTCTGTTTGTTGTGGCCAGGTATTTTGAAAGCCGTGATACTGACCACTCTCCATGGAGGGTAGCTTCAGCCAGGGTCTGTCCCTTAAATGGTTAATTTTCGATGACCACCAAGCCAACATTTAGAAGTGAATTGCCTTTCTACAAAGAGAAAAAACAGAAACAAGGCAGTAGGCAGAAGAAGAGGCAAGAACTCCAACAAGGAGTGTGCTTCCTGCGTTCATGTTTCTCCTTGCCTAACTTCCTTTGCTATAACCTTCATTCTATGTGCTTTGTCTACTGAATACTTAATAACACAAATTTCGTGATGCCGTGTAGCGCAAAACTGCTATGTTTGATTACTTCGTCGAGTAGGGCAGGATGTGCCATTAGTTTTAGGTCATGACTCGTGGAAGTCTCCTCAGCGTTTCATTTGAAAGGCCAGTGCAGGTATGGTGGATGTCTCATTGTACATTCAGAGGGCCTAGTATACGAAATGCCATGGAGGAGAGTGTTGGTGCACTCAGTAAGCCGGACAAGTTGCCAGATGGTTAGAAGCGAACCAGTAACCGACTAAATTCAGCGGCTGATTTATACGCCTTCACTTTAGCAGGAAGTCTGATCCACATCTCAGAGAATTTGATGGTGCAGAAATCCTCACACAAGCAGGATTTGAGCAGGTCCATTGTGGCACTATTGGAGTGGCTGCGCAGACCGTGACATATCTTGTGTCCAAACTGAAACCCATCACTGGCTGTAAAAGTGAAGTTGTGTAGTTCATTGACGAAAAATGTCAGGTTAATTTTGAGTTGTCTCATTCAAGGATGTTCCAGACTTAGGGTTCTTCATTTGGACTTGTTGTCCTGTATGCACCCACATACTAGTAACCTGGCCGTAAAATGCCTTTGGACAACCCCTATTTTTAAGCCGTGTTTAATGCGGAAGCCGCCCAATACAAATGGATGATATCCTAATACTTGACGTACGCAAGTTTTATAGAGCAGTAACTCGACTTCTTTGAGGCGACAGTTTAGGTCATACACTAAACGAATGCATGAAAGCTGTTTCTAAGTGTTTACTTAATAAGGCCTTTCCAACCTACATCATGGCAAGGAAGGTTAAATAAGAAAAAGCATACAAATAGGGAACAAATTCCTTGTCCGGATTCTGCTTCTTTTCTCTGTCCCCGGCTCTGCTTTTATTCCCTGTTGTAGCAAAACGATTCAGTTCTAAGCGTTGGCTTGGAAATAACTGAAAATTTCTTGAAAGAGCGAACCTTAGCGGAAATTATTCTTGATCGGTCGATGTGTGACATCGTTGACAACAGCCAACTTCAACTGCCAGAAATGATTCATACGCTTAGGATTACAACCTCATAGTTATGTAGCCTTGGAATTTATCGATTATGAGGGTGACCAGGAAAGTCTCACAATTACCAGTCACAGAATGTCACGACCAGCAAAAATGACAGACAAAATAACCTGGTCGTCCACTCGATGCGTTCGTAGCTGGCTTGTAGTCGTAATGTTCGGTAAGATTGCGATCTGTTAATGTGAACTGCTCCAAGAACGACAGACAACACGCAAATATTCATCCATTAATTTTTCCCTGTCATGCTTATGCAGGGTGAGCAGGGTGCAACAATGGAAGTACTGGCTTCAAACTTTATTTTTCTCAGGTAGTACACGTAACAATTATATACAGGTCCCGGCCTTTTGTTGGTGCGAAGATAATACTTCCACTTGTCTATCTTGTCAGTTTGTGAATACCTATTCTGCTGCCGTGCTTCATCCTAATGATGTGCATAACACGTGCCCTCTAGTAAATGAATAGGTGCGGGTTGAAACTACCTGCCTTTAAGAAACATGTAATTTATGCAGGAGTTTTACGCATACGTCTTAAAACGACGTGCGATTGTATATTGCTGTTATTGAGTGAAGGCCCTTGAGGAAACCGGCGACCGTTATTTCTTTGAGAATGAACTTCTTGACGTGCTTCCCCTCCTTATTTACATGAGGCTTACACATATTTATTAAGC